AAATTTAAGCAAATTAACATTTTTTTTTCGCAAGTCAACTAATAAGTTATATTTACGCATAATCAAGTTTGGTAAATGCATCGATTGGCTCATTGATACGAGCTTTCATTTCATCAACCCTATTTAAACGGAAAGTTCACATGTTTATTTTTTCTATATACTTTACTAAAAGCAAAATTCACAACCCGATAGATATTCTGTGTCAAATGTGTTGTCCTGTTGTCGCACAGGAAATACTCACATGCGAAAGTTTAATCAGCCTATATTCGATACACATTTCCAAGTAATTTTAGTGATAGGAAATATCTTGGCTTCGAAATTATTTCCGTCCCGAATTAGCTACATACTTAATGGGAGGATATTTTCTGAATACTTTTTTAATTTCTAATTGATTAGCTTCGAAAGAACGATTTTTCTTACCATTCTATTGAACCTGCAATGGGTGGTTTATTTCGATGTAGCTCTATTGTTCCATGTTCTTTCTTAAAAGCCATTTGTTTTTCGTAAATATCATGGCAAGCGTCAATTTCTTGTTCGACAAGAAGAGTTACACGATGGTAATTTCGTACGAATGCTTCCCGAATAGTTGGTCTTTCAAGCATTGAACCGAGAATTGAAATAAGTTTAAATTGACTAGTAAGACTATTTGAATCATCAAATGCTTGATTGATAATAGCAGCTAGTTTAAGTTCCATATCTTTAAGAAAATGTTTAAAATGTGCAATATCTTCGAGAAATTCCTAATAAGAAAAATAATAAATTTATTCTTCATTCGTTTTATTTCATAGAAATAAACATACGATGCAAGCTGGATCTAATGGATCGTATTTTTTGTTACTCATTTTTTCAAATTCTTCTTTGAATAGTTCAAAAATATTTAACACAAGTGAACTAAGTGTTTTGCCTTTGACACCTGAAATATTAAAATAGAAACTAAAGCAAGTCGAACGCTAATTTGTTTGTCTAACCTCCAATTTCGACTTTTTCCAAACGAAGAAATTCAGCAGCTGTTTGAAATAGATCTTGAATAATTCGTACACGTTCCATGAATTTATCCCATTTAGCAAAAACTAATTTCGGTGCAAAATCGAATTCTTTCACTGGTTCACCATCTTTAAAATAGTTCTTCATCTTATTTTTGTACGTTGTATATGCTGATTGATATGCTTCGAGTGAACGGACAGTTACATTGATTTTTTCCATTGATTCATCGGGTTCACCTTTAAATAAATCGATGGGTTCCATGAATTCTGAAGCCTATCAAATTTGAAAACGCAAAGAAAATACATATGATCTATATCGAAAATTAAGTTCATACTTGTTTCATAACAAGATTGTTTAGTTCTTGTAATAGAACAATGATTCGAGCTGGTCGTCGATATGCTTTACAATTTGCCCACATAAGACAAACTGTATGAAACATAGGTCCAAATATCGGTTCTGTTTCACCAAAATCTGTTGTTTCAAGGCCATCAAAATGCTGAGAAACTGGTTTAAGGAAAATATCGATTTCTTTTGCTTCCTCTAATGCTTCGCTAACATCATTCAATAGCGATTCAAAGGCTGGATAATAACTTGAATTTGTTTTTCGTAACAGTTCAGCCATTTTTTTCACTCGTGCATCATTTAACTAAACGCAACGAAAAACAAAGAGTTTTAGTATTTGACGAAAAAGAAAACTGTTCAGTACTAACTTGCTCATGAATATTAAGTAAATTCGTATAACGTGATTTCCAGAATTCGACTTCAATGCCAGGACGTGGACTACCACCATCAAGTAATGCTTGTGATGAATCTTTTTTTAGCACATCTTGAACTTGATGTGACCATTCGATAACAACGGACTCAATTGCATGTAATAAATTACTATCAACTGCAGCAGCATGCCCACTCTCTTGTTGCCCACTTGTAGAGTCATCTGTTGCACGTTCAGCACCGGCAGGAACTGGTAAAAGTGTTTTTCCTAAAAATCACAACGGATATTAGATTAGCGAGAAACTATAATTTGTAGAATTATCTATGAAGGACTTTGCTAGTTTTTATTATTATTCACGATTGACTCGACTTATTAATAGTTTTGTCTATGTTGCTAAGAAACCAAATGTCTTCGTCGATCTTAGTTACTCATGACAAAGAGAAAACTTTTTTTCTTTGTCGCATTCTTACAGTACATTTATAGATTTTTATACCGTAGCAACCAATCGAGTTGAACGACTGTAAAGTAGATCGATAAAAAAATCAACAAACCTTTCATTTGTCCATTTAAAATATGTACTTTGTTTTTAATGCCCAGTGCGTGACGAAGAATGTCTTGTGAAAGTACTTTCGGCCATGCTTCATTATTTGATGGATTTTGAAGAATAGGAATAAGTAACTAAATAATGAGAGGGAAAAAATATTTTAACAATAAAAAAAAGACGGGAAATGATTATCATCATCATACTTCATCGACCATAGCTGAAAGTTGATCGACTGGCGATGTTGATAGATCACCGTACATCATAACATCCCGTAAGATGGAATCTCTCGGAATGTTTTCACGTTTTTTTTTGATAAAATAACATGATTTATTTTTCAATACATTTGGAAAAACTACCGTTGGTTGAAGCGAACCAGCTGCTGTATATTGAACGACAAGTATCGGTGAATCAGCTTTATCGAAGAATTCATGTAGAATAATTTTATTTTCTTCCAAATTGTACATTTTAGCAAATTTATCTGATTTAAGTTTAAGCGTTTTGAGAACATAATCGGCCACGAAATAAATTCGTGGATCGTTCAATTCAAGATCTTCAGCCATTCTTTTGTTTGTCTCAAACAAATGAAAACAGCTGTTGTTTTGAATGTATAAAGTTTAGTACTGATAGAGAATACTAATTGAAACCTTTGAATGTTTTCTTCTTACGAGACGACAAGACGATGCTAAAGGAGAGAGAGAAAAAAGAAACTGAAAAGAAAGTATCGATCGACTGAGAAACACAGTTACGACGACAACGAGCGAAATATTTTTAAAAAAACTTTTCTCACTCTACATTTAATGCAATATATATATATATATATATATATATCTACACGCTATTCTCTTAGCTAACAGTTTCTCCACTTTACCTTTCAGTTAAAATGAATGAATGAATGAGAACAAAGCAAAAGAGAAAAGAGAACAAATAACAAACGATCTCACCACCTCCTAACTTCATAACAATCGGTTTCTATGTATACAGATGAACTGTTGTTGTTTTATGAAGCTTCAATTTATTCCATTATTGAAAAAAAAACGAGAGAAAGAACGAAAAAAGTAAACGACATGTTCTGTTGACATTTATTGATTGCATGAGAAATACCACTTGGAATGAGAAAAATCAATCGTGATGTAACGTACTGGTAGAATCCGTATGAATACAGTTACCATATTGATGATTGATCAGTGATGAATTGAAAATTAATGACGAATAGTGCAATATAGTTTGAGTTTCAAGCACACTATGCAAATAAAATACTCTCCTCTGTAAAAGAGTATAGTCATCAAGGATAAATCAATTTTTTTATGTGACAATAGAAAAAAAGTATTGATATCGAATTCAGTACATTTTAAACATGATTCCGTGGATGGCAGTTGACTTAGATTGATTCAAATATTATATCCGGCTTCTATTTGTATATGTATATGAACTTGCCAAATCAGATCTATGCAGCGAAATTAGTTGCGAAGACTTTCTGTCTATTGAAAACTTCTGATCATTCTCCCGTGTTAATCTATACAAGCGTGAACAGTTACCAATGAAATAAGGGTTCCGTATTTTTCTTGCGTGATAAAAAGAAAAAGAAGAAATGAAAACTGAAAAGTTCCGTTGGTTAAATACATGCAATGAAAATAGAGCCCTTTTTTCTAATGACTTTCTTGTTTTGTTAACATCAATCAGCAATCTTTGACTCGCCAATGAGACAGTATAGAATCTTTTTTCTCTTATTTGTACAAAAATCAATTTATTATTATTTTCTCTGTATTAAATGTATGTAAAAGATTTTCTTTCTATTTCAGCCAACAACTGTTTCGCAAATAATATTTGAAGCGCCTATTCAAATCTTTCATACTGATGTATGTCGAATAGCATAAATATTTGAGTTAATGCAAAAGAAAATAGTACAATAAATAAATATGTTGAGAAATTCTAGGGTTCCTCTACTGAAACAAATGTAGGAGCGCTACACTCGTGTCGTTCGCATTGGACGGAAAACATTGATCTTGAATATATATTCATCGATGTAAATTAGTTATAATTAGCCAGATTTTTCTAATTACTTATTTTCATAATTTTTTGTGGAATTTTTATTATTAAGTTAAAACAGTTTTCGAACGTTTGACACCAACATCTTGTGGTTTATTTTCTTATTGAAAGATATGATTTGGTGAATATAAGAATCGCAGAAACATTTCGGGTAGCACTTAAAAAAAAAGACAGAAATGAAGCTGAAAGCGAACAAACGCTATTTATATTTTTTTGATCTACTACGTACATAATATTTAAGATGATGACTATCAGTTATAGTTTTCCGATTCCCTTCGGTTATTCATTTTATTTTCGAGCTTCTAATATTATTTAAGCCTTTAAAAATATTTCGTTGTCCCGTCTATTCTCAGGGGACCGGGGGGAGATGGCGAACGCCGGGTAGTCGAACTGGTAGATCCGCCAGTGACTCTATTTTGAATACAACCGACTGTAGTATGAAGTCCTATAACATGCAAAACTATGACCGCTTCAGAGTACTTATTTGACCCGAACATCGGAATGATTTAGTAGAAAATAACAGTTTGATTTCTATCAAATATAGTATTCATGTTTTGATTTTTATTGGAAAATAATTCATCTTACAATAAATGTACACATATCAGCAAGCAATCTACCACGATCGATGTCAAATGTATAGAAATATCTTTTTTTTGGAACGAAAAAACCAGATATCTGACGATGACAATGATTTGTTTGAATTGTAATGAACGACTAGAGGACTCGACGGCGGCATTCAGATGAGCCACAATTACAATCCATTCGACGGCCGGCTATTTCACCTACTGTATAGTTATAATCCCAACTGAAAAAAAAACAGAGAAAAATAAATAGAAAAACCTATTTCATTTTCTTTGTCTCATACCATAATTCTGTTCCTGCTCGAATTGTTTTCGTAGTGAAAAATCCAATCCATGGAAAATGAATATCATGTGTCTAAAAATATAATTTAATTGCTGCAACAAGAAAGAAATCTTTATCTTACATCAACAAAAACATTTTGAACAGCAATATTTGGCGAACATGAATGATTAAAATATCGTCCAATATTACCGACTAATTTCGCATCAAGTGTATAGACAACTCCGTCATAATCCGGTAGTAATGTTCGGTTTAATATCGAGTTTTTTTCTTTCGTTTCAGCTGTTGAATTTGATGTTTTCTTTCGTTCTTTTTTATTGTTTGCATCACGGGAACGTAAACTTTCTAAACGTTTATTCGCTAAATTCAATAGAAATTAGCTTTTTGGAAATATTTTAATAAAATTCTTTACTTGATTCAGCATTTGATGAAGGCAATTTATTTTCTTCGTCCTCATCGCTATCTGATGAGAAATTAGCATCGCTTTTCTCATTGTCGTCGTCTTCTTCGTCGGAATCATTATTAATATTCTTGAAAAAAATAAAACTAATTCGCAAATTCGTCTAACAAAAATATGCTCACCTCAAAAAAATCTAAATCAGCTTGATATTCATCGCCAATTAGTTTGCCTCGTTCATCTGCTTGTTCACTCGTAAATATTTCACCTGAGTAAACACTAATAAAAGTTCCTAATGGAAGATCATGCAAGGTTCGAACACCCCAACCTCGACCTATAGTTTTAAATAACTATTAAAAAAAGAAAAGAACGATTTATAAAAACAACCGAACAGTTTTAATGAAGCTAAATACTTGAAGCTGTGCAATAATTCCATTTTGAACAACCCGATTCGAACATGTTTCTTTGTTACAAGGGCATTTATTATTACATTCATAGATGCCACCGGGAACATTTTTATGTAAACGTCGAAAACCATAACCAATTTGATAGAGAATTTCAGCTTGACTTTTATTTTTTGCTTTCATTGATTTGACACGTTCATCACCAACTAATTCAGCATATTTCAATGTACGTAACCAACCTATTTAAAATGTAAAGCGATATATAATTTCGATGTACAAACACACCCATCCGTTCTTTGAGAAGTTTTATCATGAAAAATCGCCCTCGATTTTACACTTTCAGTAGCTTAAATTGATACGGACAAATCAAATAGTTCTATCAACTTCTTTACTTCACATATTTTCAATAGTAACCTCATTCTCTAATAGAGAGAATGATTATCATTAAATATAGATCAATCTGATATTTCCTGAGTTAGTTTTGAGTGAATCAATATTTCGGAAATTCATTTCATGTGAAAAAAGACTTTTCGATTCAACTAGAAACACACAATGGCAAAAGCTATCTGTCTACTCTTAAATCATTTTAGATAAAAAAAAAACAACTTACAAGCACATCGAGTTCTATCTCTACAACCATCCGTACACGAACAGCACGTCATTGTCGGTTCATTAGTTATCAGATTAACGCCTTCCACTGGTGTACGTTCAACGCGATAAGTAAGCGCACTTGGATTATCATTATCAACTTCATTGACAGCCATAATTGGCACATTTTCTTGTCCATCTGATATATCAGAACTTATAACTCTGCCATCGCAAGAAAAAGTTTGTTTTATATTAACCAAACTATCAAATACAAAGAGTTCAATTGATAGTTGAGATTTCGTGACATAAAGATATCTATCAACTTGAATCTCATTGAATAATTTTCTGCCACCTAAAATTAAGAATTAAATGAAAATAATCAGGAAAAAAAAAGAATTTACATGGTGCACAGTAGATAATTATTGGACGTGAATTTTTAACACGAATATCATTTGCTTTTCTTATTCGTACTGTCTCAAGTATTGTCCATTGACATGCTATTGGTTTTAAGAATGGATTCATTGTTCTTGGCAATTGACCAAAATATTTCTCTGCATACATAACACATTTATTGGAACAATAATGTGGAATGAAATCTTTGGAATACTGCAAAAGAAAATTTTCAGCTAATTCAAGAAATAATGGATTCATGACAAGCTTTGTATTTGTCTATGAAAATAAAAAAGAGAAAAAGATCGATTGAATTAATATAAAAATTAAGAAAAACAAACATGATTAGCACGTGATGGCACTGACGTAATAACAAGATTTGACAGTGATGAGGTTGTTCTTGCTATCGTTGTTGTTGTTGTTGTTGTTGTTGTTGTTGTTGGCAGTGGTAGTGGTGTATTGTTGTGTTGATGTGATCGGAGTGTACGAGATTCGGTTTCTATTGATGAAGTTTGTTTTACATCGTGTTGAGATTCTACTCGTGCTCGTTTTACAGATCCTAAATAGTATTTCAAAATAAAAATATTAAAATTTCTGTTCAAGAGAAGATTGAAAACTACGGAGTCATCTTGCGAAAGTTTTAAAACTTTACTTATTAGAAGAGCGTCTTCCATTTAGCAAAATATGATTTCTACTGTATTAAAGTGGTTATAACGAAAGTCGATATGAAAGATTTCATAGATAATCTTTGATTATCATCTAAGAAAGTTATATTCAGAAAAGATAGAAGAAGAAAAACTCCATAAATGAGATCGCTTAGACATATATTACAGAGAAAATTTTATGAGACATGAGTTTTTGCATTTAATTCATTCTGTATGTCGATACCGGTGGACGTCTATTCATCATGAAATTTTGCCGAAGGAAATCATATTTAGTCTGGTAGAATAGATTGTAATCAAGATTTTTACTCCGATCATTTGGATCAAACCGTTATTGAAAAACAAAAACCGAAAGACGATCGTAGCTCAAATAGATAAAAACTAACTTATTTCATCAATTAATTGTTCCGCAGTTCGACCACATTTTGTTCTCATTTGATCATTGAGACAAATAATTTCCGGTGCATTTGATCTTCGTGCTGACAGATGCTGTCTAGCTGATTGCTTACGAAAACCACCATTATCATTACTATTTTGTGTTGTATAATAATTATTCATTTGTTCGATTAATGTTGAACCACGATAAATCCAAAAACGTTGTCTAGTATTACTTAATTCAATTAACATCATTGAACAATCGATTTGTATGACCATAGCTTGTAAAAATACATTCCTAGTGATAAATAACGGATTTCGTATTTTAACAATTGTGCCTTCTTTAGCACGTAGCATCATACGTTCCGGATAGGACTTGAAATAGCTATTAAGAAAATCATTTTCATATTCAAATTTTTGATCTAAACATATATGAATATCCGATGATGAATGATAACTAGCTGATATGTTTGCTGTATCATCCGTGAAAAATATTAAACAACGGTATTGATTATTTTTTCCTGGTTCCTCACCAATTAATCCGAAGCGATGCCTTTTCGTTTGACCATCAATAATAAGTACACGTAATTTCAATGGTAAAATAATGTTCTTTTCACATGATTGAGCAAAATAAAGATATTTCGTTGGAATATCATAAGTTTTGTTCGTTTTTTCTTCAAGAATATTTATTACATTTGTATGAATTAAATCAGCAACAAATTTATTAACTATGCCTTTTGTTGGTAATTGTAAATTGTGATCATTTTTAATAATAACTTCTGTACGTATATAAACCATATGTACTGGTTTATAATTAATATAAATCGGTTGTGCTGGTGTCGAACTTATATGTATAATTGAATCATCAACGATATTCGGACTATTTTCAAATAATAAAAACAATTTTTGTATTATTTCATTATTTTTCTTTAATTGTTTAGATATTTCATCGATCTTAAATTGATTTAATTGTTCTAATTCATAGATAATAGCATGAAAATAATGAACAGAAAAACCATTTTGGAAATTTTCTTTGAGATAGTTAATGAAAGAGTCGAAAATTGATTTTGAACTTGATTCGGATTTGATTTTATTAGTTAAATTGTGATCAGCGAAAAATATATCATCTACTTCTAAATAACGTTTCATACATAATTTACTGAATGTTTCTAACCATTTGGAATCTAGTTTTTGTCGATTTATTGAAGAAAATAATAAACGATAGTCGTCGTCATTTAATAAGTCGAGTAAACGAAGTAAAATCGGTTCAATGGCGGATGAATTACGGAGTTTTCCTAAATAAGAAAATTTTATTGAGTTTTAGAAAACTAGTTCATGTTAGAAATAGATGAAGGTTTTATCCTTATTGGAAACCGAGATCTTTGAAATTTTTGGATAGATAATTAAACAGTAAGTATTTTTCTTTTTCTTTCTTCGATAGAATATAATTTCGGAATCGTTTTCTACAGGCCGGGTCGAAACTGAGAGTGTTAGAACTATGAGCTTTTTAAAACAGTGAATAGGTGACGGGAATTAGGTAAGAAATTGAAATTTTAAGCTTTACAATAGAAATATTTATTCTTTCGAATTCCCTCAAGGAAACATTTTTCTAAAATTTCCCCAACGTCCATTAATGCAAACAAATCGATTCCGTATCTCTACGAGACCGACGTCGAGAAAATGCAATCACTTAAATTGCGCAACCTAGAAACTTAAATATGCATATCGAAATGTTTTGTTTTAAATTATAAAAACTGAATAAATATTCAGTTGGGTAAGATTTTTTGATCTCTGTAGACGACATAAAACATATGTCGTATTCTTTATTAGCAATGAATTATTCGTCAAAAACAAGAAATCTTAGATTGAGTTTTAATTTCCGGAGCATAATCAAGTCTTCTATTTTTTTTTGAATTGACAGCTTGATGTCCCTTGCTAACAAGTTAATGCAAACCTCTTGACTATTGTCACGTATTATTTGAATATGAACTTCCATAAATGATGCCATCTTAGGTCAAATAGTATTCGTTTCTATTCAGATCGAGCAGATCATTTCATTTTGATAGACAAATCCCTCAATAGGACATTGAAAATTTATTATCGTAACCTTGATTTCGGAAAGTTTGTTTTTCTAACTACGTCTTTACTTACGTAAATATTGTTGTTCATCATCGAATGGCTTTAAGACACTCTCAATATCCATTCTAAATCAAATAAAAAAAAAACAACATCAATCTATCAATACTGTGACATTCTCCATCGTCTTATTTTTCCCATTGGCCTTACCGTAACGAACTAAATCTTTGTCCTTCATTTGGCATCTTGTTTCTCCAAAAGATCTAAAAATTGTTTGATTACCAAAATGGTCACAAGACAATTACGAAAAAACTCTTTTCCTTTTTAGTTGTGGTTTTCTTTTTAATATGATCATCTCGTTTGTCAACGCAAAAAAGTGTCAAACGAGCACAAAACAAAGAATGATAAATAATTGTTTTCTTTAAACAGACGACAAAAACAATTACACATACGTCTAAGAAACAAGTAATGAAAAAAAAACAAAAAACAAGCGCTTAATAGACATTCGTCATTGCTCAATAGTGAACGCAGCAGATATAATTTAAAAGAAAATTGCGCGATGAATAAACAAAAGCTGTTTTTAAATTTGTTTACACGAATATTTTACATAGATATCTTTCAAGGAAACGGAGAAAAAAAAAGAACTTTTGGTTGAGATTTTCAAACGAAAACTGTTCAAACTGTTTAATATATTAAAAAATAAAATAATAACATTCATCTCTATGTATCAGATATTGGACTATAGAGAGGAGTATATTCATCATCAGGTAACTCAGTAGGATAATAGTGTTTCAGTCGAACATGCCACGCTATTGATGTTACTGCTGATAATGTACGAAATTGATGAACGACATTTCGTGGAATAAAATAAATATCCTAATACGAAGAAAAAAATAATAATATTACTGAAATAGAAAATATAAACTAATTTTAGTCAATTACATTATCATATAATGGTAAACGAACATAACGAATGCCATCACGTCGTAGTTGATTTAATTTACCTTCATCACACCATTGTAGGCACTAAGATAAAAGGCAGAATAAGTTATCAGTGAATTGCACACTTTAAATATCACACTCAATCAGTGAATGACGTCAAAGTAAATGATTCTGACAGAAAATTGACTAAATGAATCATATTTTAGTTCAGATAGTAGAAGAATGGAAACGACTTATTTGCTTCTGTACGAAATCGATGAACATTCTAGCATAAATGTAAGACTGGCTACAACACTATCTATGATTTATACATGTCACTGATTGCATATAAATTAGTTGCGTCTACCGAATTGATGATTAAAACTAGCGGGTCATTGATATGTTATAGAAAAATTTGCATAATGAATTAAATTCCAGTGAACTTGGTGATTCTAATTTGAGTCAAGAGTATGAATCACAATTTGATCATAAGCATGCGATACTTCAATTTTAAAAAAGTCAAGGTCAATGTGTTAGAGTAGCTAAACCCATAAATGGAAATCAAATATTTATCTTACTTGTGATGCTGGCGGCTCATATAAATCAATTTTTAATTTTTCCACAACTTTTTCAAAATCTTCCGCATGGAAACATACTACATCTTTCACCATACGATTAACTGTCGCTCTTTAAAAAAAAAACATTTCAAAAGTCAATTTTTTAGAATTTAAAAAACGCGACTAACGGTGTTCCGCAATGTACAGCTTTTAGAATGCCAACGGCAGCTGTTGTTTCAACTCCATCTCCATCACAATGGTCACTGTGTGGCTTGGTTCGATCTTCAACTAATACTTCTCGTGGATCTGTTCCGCGTCCAGTGAATGTTAAATTTCTTAATTCGTTCGTCATTCGTTTTTTTGGATGACAAATTTTATGTTCAGCTGTGGGAACATATTGTTCACCTGGTCGAACCCACAGTATAGGTCCATCATTAGATTCCGTTCTAGATTTCATTTTAACTGACGACAATGGTCCCCATGGCATAACATATTGTAAAAATGGATTTTCTTCTAATTTATCAATAAAAGTCGGAAAGTAATCACCTAAATTATTACAAAAGACAATAAATAACATGGATCTGACTGCGGCGCCACATGAGGCAAACTCATTCGGTATTCTAATAAAAGCCCTAAACGAATTTTGGTTCTCTTTAGAGTTTTACAAATGTAAAAATAACTTTTCCAAAAATTCTACGGCCCTGTAGCTAACATCTCTATTAAAAACTCAATAACTAATTAAATCTCAATAGACACTGACATCCCTTTAGCAATTTTATTATAACCACTCAAAGAGTGTCCCTGACACCGCTATAAATATGTCTTCTTACCACATTCTTCTCTACCAGTTACTTTTCCAACTAAGGATATACTCATTAATGGTCCATAACGAAATGTTCCATTCGAATATGATTGTACAATGCGATTTCGATATTCTCCCATGTTGGTAGTTAAAACTTCTTTTGAATTAATTATATTTGACGTTTTAACGATCATTTTCGGATATGACAGACTAAAGTAATCGACTAAATCAGGCAAATATCGTGCACCATCATGTAAAACACCGATCGAATATTTTGCGCGTTGATTAATTTCTCCGTAGACAAGATTAAAAAAATAATTAACAAACAAAGCTGCATTTTCATTTGATAAACGTAAAAATTCATTATAATATGTACGAATCAAACTCGCACCGCCATTCGGATGTTCTTCAGTATGAACAAGACTTTGAAATAATTGTAGACGATCATTATTACTATTTGTTATAGAAAAATCCATGTAAGGAGATGAAATTTTTTGTTGTTGATCATATAAAACAGCTGGTGAAGATATTGGGGACGATGGCGATGATAATGGTGAACATCGATCAGATATTCCGTCATATTGTGTATGAGTAGATTTCACAGTACATAAATAAACTTGAGAATCATTAGGACAATTAAGATCTGTTGTTTGAGTTTCTTGTTCTTCTTTACGAATCGTCTGAGTACTATTTTCGCATAGTGGCTGATCAATGAAATCTGTATAAGTCGATTTATCTGATTTGATTAAACAATTGGTTTGTACAGATTGATGAAAAACTTCAATAATATCATCGGATGTTTGACATTCATTGGTTTGATATTGTTTGGAAGAAGACAATGGCGAATGAAAATATTTATATTCGCCTGGTAGTAGATCATCGACCGTTGTTGTTGAACGATCCGATGTTTGTGTTGTGATTAATTCAGTGCTTAAATTACGTTTGATTGTTGCTGAACGTTTATCGACTGGTGAGTCATGTTGCAAGGAATTTGATGGTGAATAATTATCATTGATAGGATTATGTTTCTGTTTTAAACGAGATGATGAACGAGTCTGTACAGGTGGATTTGTAGATTCTTTAAAAGAGAGAAAAAAATATATATATCGTAGACGAAATGATCACTTGTATGATAAATATATATATATTGGATAAGACGAAGACGGTCTTCAAATGAACATATTTAGTGGCGAGTAAATGATTCTTTCTTTTGTTTTCGTTGAATGTCACAGGGTTACGGCCTATGTATTCTGACTAACTGCAGACAATGTGTCCTTGTTAATGTCTTATTTAGATCCCTCGAATGATTCATTATTATCAAACAAGAAACGAGAATTTCTGCAAACTACATCTATGTGACATTTCCTGCTGTCCTCTGATTTAGGGCCTCGCGCAGCGGATAAGCAACAGAAACATGACTTGTGAATATCTTATCTCGCAAAGGATGTCCTCTAACGGATAGCATCTGTTCAGATAATTAATTAAATAAAGATTTTTTCCCTCCTTGAATTCACAACAATGCACGCTAATATCATTAACTCGTACTTGTATTATTCGTTTGTTGTTTAACTGTTTTTGTTGTTAGTTTAGTCCGTTTTTTTTCTGGTTGTTCATTTCCTGATTTTCGTTTATTTCCATTTGCTTTCGGTGCTTGTTTTTTTAATGTATTTTCATCATATATATTTATATGATGATTTGCAACAATTTTTGGAAGATTAAATATTGTTGAAGATGTATGATATTGATCAGTTTCAACTAATGACGAACGTCTTGTCGATATAAGACGACGTGTAAATTTATTATTCATAGCTTCAGTTGAATTGAAAAATTGTCTTGAAATTATTCGTGTTGACGATTGCTGATCGTTGGATTCATTTGGTTGTAGTTGTTGTTGTTGTTGTAATAGGAGATTTGTTGTCGGATGTATTAATACTGTATCATTTGATGATGGCGAACAAACACGTCGAATGTGTAATTTGATTGATGTATGTTCATTGGGCACATCAATCGAATGTATTGTTGTTGACGATGTCGAACAATTCGAGGTCAAAATATTGTATGAAGATGTTGGAGTTTGTTGATTATTTGTTTTACATTTTATTATTTTTGTTTTAACAGATTGTTGTGCATCATCATCATCATTATCGTTCATAGTAATATCGTTAATATTATTCGACATTGAAATTGAATTATTTTTATTATTATTTAAATCGTTAATATGATCATTATTTAAAGGAGATGTCTAAATAGATAAGTTAAAATCAGAAGAAGAAAGAAAAACAATTACACGATAAAAGACCTTTGTTTCATCGGCTAGTGGAAGTACTTTGCTTATATCAGTCATTAGTTCATTTGTATCTGAATATTTTCAATTTTTAATATCGGATTTCATTTTTTTTTGTCCTGATTTGTTTTAATAAGTTTTGTTTTTCTATTCGATAACGATGCGCTTTAATTGAAAAAAAGTACATACATAATAGTCTTGATCGGAGAGAAGGGAAACAGAAGAGAGAGAGAGAGAAGAGTCTTTTTTATAAACAATTATTGGTATTCTAGATAACAACCAATTGACAAATGAGTACCATGATGAATCACAATGAAGCTCTAGAGATGGGTGTGTTTGATAAAAAAAATCTAACCATAGAATTTTAATTTGTTGAAGAACATAAATTTCATATAAATTTTTTACGGCATAGAAAGTATTTTATTTAGATAGATGTCGCTCGAATACAAACAGCAATGATCGAAAGCATATAAAAATGTAATTAATGTTATCACGACAGTGAGTTTTTTGTGATTGATTAGGTACTTGAAGAAAAAAATGAATGATTAGAATTGTCGTCGTTTTTATTTTGTATGTAGAATAACGAGACGAAGATATTTCTTCTTTTTAACCTTTCTGTTTTTCTTGTTCTTCCCGAGTTAGTTCTCTGTACAATAACTATACAGATGGTTATAAACAAAGAATAGTAAGAAAAAGAAAATCATATGCGAGTAGCTTTTATCGTCCTCTTCTATAGCATGATGCATACGCATTTACAAAGCACACGTAGACTTTTCTATTAGTAATTCTTATAGCTTCTCGCGCACCTGCTCCTCATGAAATATGCCAAAAACAGAACGGAAAAAATTTGCAAATGTCAATGACGTCTTCGATGTTTTGCTTTATTTCAATCATTTTACAAGGACGAATAAAAAATAAAATTCAATCTATCTTTTTCTCTTTCTTTTTCTTTCCTCTCTTATTTTCTATTCTTAATGCTACAATGATACTGATTACATGTGTCTTGTTATTGCTAACAGCTATTGTTCAACAAACCATTGCCGATACATGGACTGTAACACCAACAAATTGTCTGTGGCATAAATATACGTCTAATAATCGTTTACCCAATAGAATAGATTTACGTGACATTCGAAATCAAATTTTTAAGTATGTTTTATTTTTATTTTCCTATCAGTCATAAATCTATCCATTGATAGTTTTTCATTAAATGAATCAATTTATTACTTCAATCCGTGCAAAACATTTAATTTTCCGATTGGGCAAGATCCATATGCAGCTGCTGGTGAACAATGTCATAATGTTCTAGGTTGTAAGCTTGTAAAAAAAAATAATAATCATTATGAATACTATACAGCTGCTATTAAATTAAATTCAACTCCAATATCAAAAGCAGCAGCATTAACTATTCGATATTATGGAATAAAGTACTAGAAATAAAAGAAAAAAAATTACAAATTCTATTTTTCATTGAAGAAAACAATTTCCATTTCAGGTCATATGCAAATAAAACGATGTATCTTAAATGTGAATGTAATGAACTTATACATCGTGCAGAATTTAAATTTCTTAAATATCAATATCATCACTCACCGGTAGGATTTTATTTACACGTTTCATGTATTAAATAAAATCAGTAGTGATATTAAACGCAGGTTTTCTCCTTGACTCATCGTTGTTGTTGTCCAAATGTTTGCGGAGGTTTCTATTATGATTTTTACAAATAATTTTAATATCTCTATTTTTCTTTTCTTAAATCAATAGGCAATACATTTCCTAAAGCGTTGTTACTTATTCTTCTGTTGGTAATTCTATTTATTATTGGTACAGCCGTATGGATCTTTTTTCAATGTCGTCGACATTATCCAGAACGAAATGCATATGGTGCAATAGCTTCGAGTAAATAATATGATTTATTTTCCATTGATATATTCAGTATTTAATGTTTCCTTTAAATTAATAGCGGATATCAATATTCATACATTACAACCGTCAGAAGCGATTAAACCTGCTGTAATTGAAACCAATTCTCGAAACGGAAGTAGGAAACGTACCCGTAGTAAATCAATAGCTCCGGTACTTGAAAATATCGGAATTTCGTCAGCAGATTTTAAAATAATCAAACGGTAAAAATCAGTACAATATAGAGATAAATTTAAAAACACAAAATAAGAAACGCTTTCATTTCATTGTTTAGATTGGGTGTTGGCGAGTTAGGGGGTGAAGTTAGTGAAGGACGATGGAATGATAAATTAATTGCTGTTAAAACCTTGCGTATCGGTGTTCATCCAGAAAAATTTTCTGCTACTGATAAAGCATATCTTGAAAATGAAATTCAATTATTAAGTCGACTACGTCATAAAAATTTAACTGCAGTCATTGGTATTTGTTTTGATATTGATGTTTATCCTCGAATAATTTTATCATTTTCTGATCATGGTACAATTATTGATTTTATTCAATCGAATCCAACAAAAGTCGATTGGTCATTAAGATTATTATGGTGTTTGAATACATCCGATGCAATGGAATATTTACATCAATCGAACGTACTTCATAGAAATTTAAAATCATCAAATATTCTCATTGGAGTTGATCTACGTGCACATATTTGTGATTATGGTCTTATTTCACTTCTTCAACCACTTCGACAAGCATGTGATAGCGAACGATGTCTTTGCAAATTAAGTCATCCAGCCCTACCTGTTTCTATACGTTGGTCAGCTCCAGAAATTTTATCGAATCCATCGGATAGTTCAAGATTTAAGTTTTCATGTGATGTCTATTCGTTTGGTGTTAGTCTTTGGGAACAGATACGTTTAGAACAACCCTATGCTGAAATTAAAGATGAAGCTGAAGTAGCTCGAATGATTGTTGATGGCCATCGTTTAGCACCATTAGAAGAAACAGCAAATTTTGTTATGCCTGAATATACTCAACTAATGAATGATTGTTGGGCAGAAGAGCCCAATAATCGGCCAACATTCGAACGTATTGGACAAGTTCTACGAGAAATATTACCAAAAGCAAAACAATTTCGAAAATCGTCGATGAAAAGATTATCGTCAATGACAAATTCAAATGATCAACAGGATGTGAATAGATCTTTGTCAAGACTTGATTCTAGAATCTCTGTGGATACATTCAAAGTATCATATCCAAATGTGTAAAACGTAAAGACCTGTGAAAATTTTAGTATTTTTTTTTTTTTGATAAAATATGTGAATTCTATACCTGTTACTTCAGCTGATAAAAACAAAAGTTCTCTTTTTCATTCTAGTCATTAGTTGAAAAAATACAAAATGGGAAAGATATATCCTATCGATTATCAAGTCTTGTCTATGACCTTGAACACTAGTTATTGTGTAGTCCTGATTGCCACAATTTCAAGCCCTTTTACATGAGGAAAAAAACATTAGATGCACTCGGGTTACTTTCCTCTACTCTTAATCATTTCCAGCCAATAGATTCATACTCATCTTCTCACATAAACTATAAAAACAAACATAATGATAACGACATTTTTAATGGTAAATTAAAACGACAATTAACTGAAAAATCTTAGGCATTTTGTTTGATAAATTAAGGTATTTAATCGAATATGACCTACGTCTATTGTATCGCAAGAGTGATTTCGCCAATTTTGTTAGTGCTTTTAAAATAATTGGTAGTATTGTTACTGACTTTTTTCTAGTTGAATGGCTTGAAGAAAAAGTAAATATTTGCCAACAATAATTTAAATAGGTTCAAATATTAATGATGTTCGAAGCACATTACTAATTTAAAAAATATAAATGGTATTCAGTAGACTCTAAATTTCGATTAAGAAAAGAAAGCAACACTATAAATTTCTATAATTATTCATTTCTACAAATAAATTCCACAGCTTTTATTGTCCGTTCTTGTAAAATATCCGGTTCCTCTAAATCATGATCGTTCGTATTTACAATTAATGTATGTTTCAATGGACGTTTAATACTTTCAATAGGAACAACAAAATCTTGATTACCATGTATATGAAGAATGTGATTTTCGTAATCATTTAATTTAAATGAAAAGTCTTCTTGTGAGCATAAACGTGCTCGATACGATTTACAAACGTCGATTGGTTTGCTATTTAAAATTCTTGAAATTTTTTTCTGAATTCTTCCCATGTTAAACATCCACATGTTTGTTGCATATGTTGGAGGGGAAATTAAAATCCAGAGCAATTTAAAATTCCCCTAGGGGAAATTAAAATTTCAATCTCACCTAGGGCAAATTAAAATTTTCTGTATTTTTTATATAATTTTCGATTTTTCTGAAATAGGTAAAAATGTACTGTTTGTGTGATGGTGTGGGTGGATGTGGGTCTATATGTGGGCGTGGGTGTGGGCGTGGGTGTGAGTGGGAGTGTGGAAGGATGTGAGCCCGTACTAATCAAGCCCTCACCCTCACCCTCACCCGCACTTATATTGTTCATTCAAACTGACTTTGTACAGCTACACCCACAGAGATGATGGACATTCGCACAAACATTCCTGTCTAGACCTCAAGATAAATATTCATTTTTACCTATTTCAGAAAAATCGAAAATTATATAAAAAATTAAAAAAATTTTAATTTTCCCTAGGGGAATTTTAAATTGCCCTGGATTTTATTTTCCCCTCCAACACATATACCAATAACGATGAAGATCGTGTTGATCTAAGGCTGGTGCAAGTAAAATAATTTTTTCTATGTGAAAATAATTTCCTGTTGAATTCAAAAATTGTGAAATTATACAACTGCCAAGACTATGACCAACAAAAATAATTTTTTTATAGGAATTTAATAAATAATCAATAGCATGAGTGAGATCATCGACCAGAGAGCAATTGTCATTTTATAATATTTACCATCGGACAGACCAATGCCTGTTGAATCATAACGAAAAACTTCAGCAATTGGAATTGCTGCTGATAAAAGTAATTCTTCTGTTAAATTAAGAAATGTAGGTGCTGTTGATGAAAGACCCTCAAAACCTGCTACGCAAACTACAACAGTTTTTGACACTGAAGTGATCGATTCAACAACGATACCACGCAGATTAATATCACGACTATTTTAAAATTCTACAAGACGTGTAATCATTATACTGAAACGAACAAAAATATATTCGCATAACATAGTTTTAGTCTCAGTAGTTTTAGTGGAACTCGTAAAATCGGCAACAAGATCATTTAGTCGATAGATTTCTATCAATGGCGCGAAATCGAAAGTAAACAAAAATCAAATACAAAATGTCCTTATCTTTCTTATCAAATGAAAATAATACCGAGGCATTTAATAGAACAAAAGTCAATACAACCAAATTAACTACATCAACAATAATTGATGACGATGCAATTCTATGGAATGATGTTAAAGTAATAAAAAAAATGTTTTTTGTTTTAGAAATAAAGCAAAAAAGTTCTTATTTAGTCATTTTTCAATGTTCAAAATTCATTAATTATTATTTGTATAGTATTTTTCTTTCTTTTATTATGTCTTGTTTTGATTATAATGCGATTAGTGAAAACGAAGCGTTCGTATAAAAAACAAATTAAATCGCCAATAAAAACTTATGCCGATAATCAATTTCCATTTCAAACAAACAAATCGTCATCTCCTATTCAAATGGGATTAACATCAAATCAAATAGCTTCACGTGGAAATGTTATTTCGCTCAATGAAGATTCTCGGCGAACATCATCAAATTCAATAAAACCATTGCCGACCAATGACGAAGAAATCGAAACGGTTAATGAGGTTCTTGGAATGGAAGAACGTAATGGGAAAATGTACTATAAAGTCAATTTTACTGGTCATTCAACTGATTATACAGCTTGGGTTTGCGAAGAAGATTTAATACCTGAATAATGACATTCATCTATTCATTTTTTGTTTCAAATCTTTTCTCTTATTGTAATCGATCTCCAACTGTGAGAGAATAAATTATGAAAGAAATAGAATAGCTCACAAAAAAATATAAGTTTTATTTTAAAATAAGTTATGTTCTTCAAACGTAGTTTCTTTTTAAAATGGGCATCGATTGCAGTCGCGTATATGTGTATTTTTATACTCAGTTATGAATTCGGAGTAACAAGAAGATATATTCATGCGGAAGAAGTAACGACGGAACCGCAACATTTAATAATCAACCGACTCTTTCATGATCACGCAGAATATTTTAATTCATCTATGATCTTGAAAATGATTAATAAGGAATTGAAGCATGCATTACCGTTCGAAATCGATAGCACTAGTAGTAATAGAAGTTCAATCATTCGTCATGGTCTTGTTGTTTTCTACGATTTTTCATATCATCATTTACTTTTTCAACAATTTCTATGGTTATATTCATCGTGGACACAATTACGTCCACATGGCCATACACAAAATGATCTTATTCTATTCGTTTCTTCATCAACTATTCCTGATGATTTCAAAAAACTTGAAAATATGACAATACATCTAAATCATAAAAATCAATTTATTATTTATTCATGTACAACATTACTTGATTCACTAGTAAATCAAAATTACGATCTATTAAATGATTATCCACTCAATTTTCGTATGGAACTTGAACGGTTATTTTATTGGCAACAAACACGTCTTTCAACATTACTATTATTTCTTATTCATGAATATACACAGAAATTATTAAAATATGATTATATATTTCGTTTAGATATTGATTCATTTTTAATGCCAGAGTTTCGTTCTTATCAACAAACATCATCGGTTGTCCTCGGCGAAACAATTCGTCAAGATGAATATACATTAAATAGGTTAGATCGAATAAGAAAATCTTTTTATTCAAAATCAAAAGCTAAAATAATGAAACAATTCATAACAATCAATTGGTTCGGTCGACTAAATGTATTGACAAAATTAACACGCCAAACAATTCTAATGGCGTTATGGTTGATGAAAGAAGAATTTACAGAGTCTGAACGCTTACATCACTTAACTTATTTAAATTATCCATCATGGTATATTGATGGTATATTTGAATATGCAACAGCTATTGTACTTTCGCTTAATCAATATGAAAAATTTCATCATAAAATACTTCATCGATTTGATTGTCATCATACGCTAACAAATTGTCTTCATATATCTTTTCGTGATCCGTCGCATCATTTACATTTGTCAAAACATTCACTTCAATTATTAGCAAATATTAATCAAAGTAATTTAACAAATAATGAATTATATATTTATAGAACTGTAATTAAAGCAAATGGACTATTTCGATTGTATTTTTCCTCGTGAAAGCAAGTTTTCTCTGGCTTGAAATGTCCTTCAGCGTTTTAGACTTTAACAAAATAGATTTGTTTTTTCTTGTCCAATAAATAGACTCTTATGATTGAAGTTCTAGCCATGAGATACCATCGAGTGGGTGTTACTGAATTGAATGCAGTATTTTCAAGCTAACAGTCATGGGATAAATTCGAATCGGTCTCATCTTTATTCCGTTTAGCTATTGAAATCGGCTTGTCTTTAGTATCTTTTTGTTGCATGATCTTAAGAAAATGTTGGGGTTTACTTGTCAGTTACCGATCGTAACTAATATTTTTTTCAATCAGAAATATATTTAGTGAAATTCTAGTATCATCAATTAAAATTGCAAGTCATCTTCTCGAGAAGTTTCAATATCACTGTTTTCGTTGTAAAGAAAAACTGTTAGAGCACATTGAGTTGGCGATTATATTACGTAGGTAATGTTAGCACCAGATTCGCCTGAAGACCGGTGCTGATGCTCTATTTGATTGTGTTGGATGCTGAATTTTGAGCTCTATCTAACGATAACACTTTCAGACGGGTTCATCGAGCATAAATTGGGGTTGTGGACGAAATACCACTAGAAAACCATGTTTTAGGGTGTGGGCGTGGATCTCTGCTTCACTAAATATCATATCACACCCCTTCATATCAATGCTTATGTATCTAGTATTCGATAGAAAGAATCCAGCCAATGATAAATTAATTAATTTCCCATTATTAATTACTGAATCGCGAAAATCTAAATCACGAATTTGTACCGTCGAGAGATCCACCTGGAAACATTCTATATTTCAATAAGTTATTTGACTTCGTATAAAAATCAAATGATTTGGATATTACCTTGTGAGTCTAGTTAACGAAGCAATCGCAGATGCTCTGTTCGAACAATAAGGCGGCCGTGAATCATCCACATCATTTTTTGAACGTAAAACTAAATATGGGTTGTAGTATAGTGTATGATTTACTTGGCCTAATTGAGCAGGACATATCATAATCATACGATACAGAAAACCATATGGATCAATACCGAAAATTTCACCTAAATACATCTAGTTGTGCAATACGAAATACAAGCGACGAAAAAAAAACGAGGGGCTACCGGGACTTATTTTGTCGGGATCTATTTTTTCTAAAGGACTTCTTTATTTGCTAAGGATTTATTTATTCAGATGATAGTTCAGCACGCTTGCATCCACACCCACATGTTTCGCTTCGAAAAGTTAACCTTTGAAAATAAATAACATACTTTCAATGAATTGGTCTTTTAGAGAAAACGGATGCACGAAAATTAACAGCATGGTTTGAATTGAAATGACATAGGAATAAAAAAGTTGTTAGACCGGATGGAATTCATTTTACACTGCCACCTTCATTAGACTCATCTTCAGAGACTGTTCAAAACAGAATACAAGGTACATTGTTGGGTACGCAAGCTCTTTCTTGTAAATAGAACAAGTATGGACAAGACTCACAGGAGTATGAAAGCCGGACTGGTTCTCTTTTGTGAAACACGACCTGAAAGGAGTGTTGAAGTGTTTACGGTAGAAATTTGCACCCCTCACAGACCGTTACAGACAGGTGATACCTGCGTCACAGACAGTTACTGATAGGTGATTTCACTCTTACAGACAGGGAAAGATGGGGTCAAGTGTTAAGAGTAGGAAGTTTAATTCCTTTTGCAGACATTTTAATTAATTTAGCTAATTAAGTCTAATTAATTAGTTACTGGTCACAGACGCTGGCAGACAGACTTTGGACCCATCACAAACGGTATTAGAGAGGCAGGGAGAATAGAGACGCAGAAACAGGGGGAGGGTGGACTACTGATTTAAACAATCCCTAAATCAGTCAAAAATCATCTGAAACCTATTCAGTCTTAGTGAGTTATACCGAGTTTGAGTGAACATCCTTGGCACTCTAGGATTTTCAACAAACTTCCGGAGACTTTTCATTTTCTCAAACTCATCTTAACTGAGCCTAACTCAAAAAAATAACTGAAGCTCATACATTATCTTTTTTCCACTGGATGTAGCTATAACTATGATGCACTTCGATAGACAACTCTGTACATTGTTGTACACTACAAAAAAACTGTTTTTTTACAGAACCTAAAAAGGATCTTATCCTTGGTACACGGTGACATCCTTTTTTGGTTTCGTAAAAACTGAGGCTTCGTACCAACCGCCTTTACGATAATTCAAAAAAAGGTTTCGTACAAAACCTCTCAAAACCGTTCAAACAAGGTTTCGTATCAAACCTTTCAAAACGCATTCAAATAAAAAGGTTTCGTACCGAATCTAACAAAAACAATGCAAAAAAGGTACCGCCCGTGATATGCATACTATTCGAGTATTTCTGAAAATCCAAGTATGGTATAGATCAAATAAATCATCTTTTCTTCTTCGTCAAGCCACTACAATTCTTTGGGCAGAGAGAGAAATAGATTCTTGTTAAATCTGTTCATCACTTGATAGCTTGATGGACAGTTTGTATGAACACATCTCGTTCATGCAGGGTGTAAACTACTCTTAGATGGATTCATGTAATTTATCATTTTTTTAAATTACTATTAGATTATTTTAAGTACTGAATCTGCAACTATAGATCTTTTGTTAAACTCGATGTGGTCGATAAAATTTGCTTGTAGAATTTTCCCTTTCACTTTTCGTATGAAGTATACGATGCAAAACAGCATTTATGTTCGGTTTTCAGAAAAATTCTATTCATTTACATTTACAAAACAAAAGAAATAGAAAAACAAAATATCGGAAAACAACAAGCGCAAATTCAATTGTATTGATTTAACGTTTAATAATTTCATATGATATTGGTATTGAAGTAACCGCCGAAGATTCCAAAAATATCTATAGCAGAAAAAAAATATAAATACCATCTATTGAATTGTTTACCTGATCGGATGTAGACAGAAGTTGAATATGTAATCGACGTAAACATTTTAGATTATTTTGACATAAGCATATAATGCATTTAATGTGATCATACAATTGATCAGTTTTGATATTTGATGATGAGTCAACTTTTTGAATAAGATTAATATATTGCAAGAAAGGTGCTATTCGAAATAGTAAAGTGAAGACTTCTAATGAGTGATCAGTTGATATAAAAAGTGATCGTAATGAAAACAATAATATATAATTTGTGATTTCACACTTAAATGCTTCAAATACTGATTGTGAGAGGTCCTAATGATAATAAAAAAAAAGAACGATTATGTTTTCAATTGATATTATAGAAACGAAAATGAATATTTAAAATTAGATTGTTCAAATTCAATATCACATTGGTAGGACTAATCCTAAAGGGATCATAAGTAGCTATGAACCGAAATACAATAATAAAGGCATTGAAATGAATATTTTCCGTTTTGACAAATCTTATCGTATCTTAACACTCGATAAGATTAAAACCTTTAAATTACGACAATTTGCAGGCAAATATATTATTTTGACTCTGTTTTATTACCAATTCACGAATATTAATCTTTTGAAAATAGCTTAATGCACGATTAACATATTGATTTAATTTCGACAAACGTAAATAATGCCACTGAAACAAATAAATACTACTATTATGATATGAAAAGAAACAATCTTTATTTACCGATGATGACAAATCAACAAATGCTTTGCACTTTCTAGATACCAATCTACAGCTAAAATTAACTTCTTTTTTTCTAAAAGCAAGTTTACAATTGGATGAGGATCAATTACTTTAATCTTGTTGATATATCAGAAAAATCGATAATTTTCTGAAGAATTCGATCATATTTATTTGAATTAAATAAATCGATTTTCTCCTTATTGTCGTCAAGCTTTTTAATAAATAAATCAATTTCATTTTGAGACATTCCACAACATCTCAATAATTCTAAGTCGGCATGTACATAATAGGGAAGTACTTTTCGTTTTTTTACTGTGCGTACAGATCGTTCAATATTGTCTTTTTCAGATAATGATTTTCTTCGGGTATAAATAGCTGATTTATCAGCAAATATAATTATGTCATAGAGTGATGGATCGACATGGCACGTACTTGTTACATCTATCACTGTTACTGGATTTGAACCAAAGAATTTTTTAATCATAGCTCTGGGTAATTCTAATGAAAAAATGATTACTGATTCAATGAAAGAAATCTTTTTTTTTACAATAATCACCTAAACGTAATTCACGATTATGTGAACGTTGAATGATATTACGATGAAATAAAAAATAACAACTATAGATTTTTATTGTGAAATATTGCTCAGTTTTTATACAATGTTGAACAAGTTCGTATTGATTATCTGTCATGATACGAAGAAAAAACAACTTCGTATTTTTAAATCTAAAATGGAAGTTTGGATTTGAAATTTAACTCATTAATTATTGGCGTACGTATAAATGCAAGATAAGATGAACCGTTCAATAGATAACGGATCAAAAGCGTCATCTATCAGAATTCAAGCATACACAGTTCTCAGTTTTTTTGAAAGACTAAAAAGTCGATTTAGGATTATTTTCATCGAAAAATCTGATGAATGATGGGATAAGAGAAATTTTTAAAAGAATTTTTTCGTTAACCTCCTCGTTGGTTCTAGACATGATTTTTTTCGGGAAATTTTCTCCCCAGTTGGAGGTCAACACGTTTTTTTTAAACTTTTAAATTAGTTTTGTAGGCGATAAGTATTTTTACTACATTATTAAATATCGAAGTAATCTCGTCTTCTATTACGACTCTGTCACCATCGGTCTATTGTTGACAATACCATATCTTGACTAAGATCTGATATTAAAAGTTCAGGAATACGGTTCTTAGTCGATAATTTACTCTGGAATTTTTTCTCTAGAGGTCATAGTAAGCTTAAGACAGTTTGTACGTTACAGCACGGGTTTTTTTCGAATGCAAGGCACTTTTCAATTATCTTGAGACTTTACTGCGTAACATGTCGTGTGTTTCGCTCTCTCACTCAGTAAAAAACGTATACGCTCCACACTGAAAAATCTCTTAGTAAATTTTAGATAGTAACAATCGATGAAATCAACTCAAAACATTCGTGTAACTTATCGACCAACTATTGGTGATGATTGTTTAAAAATTTTCCTAAGCAATCTCGATGGTCGTATTAATACTCAAGATCTGAATGCATTCTTCAGTCCATACGGTAAAATTGAACATATTGAATCTTGGACTCCAAAATCTGCCATTATTCTTTTTTCTGATATCGATTCCATCGATCGTGTTCTATCGAAACATCGAAAATGTACTATTAACAGACAAGAAATATTTATTCGTCGTTTTCGTTATGGATATATCGAACGTGCTTATATGGATTCCAATATTTTATTTATAAAACCAATGATACATGATTTATCTATCAAATGGAATGAGAAAACAATCCGTAAATGTTTTCAAGGATATGAAAAATATATTGAAAAAATTCGAATCCTATCGAATTCATATTGTGCATTTATTCGTTTTAATGATTATGATATCGTCGATCGAATTCTTGTTCAAACGGATATGTTTAATATTAATGGTGTATCAATTGAAATGAAACGAGCAAAAACTAATGAAAAACAAATAGAAGATGATGATAAATATGTTGACAGATTAATTCAAAAGAATAAATTATTAAAAAAACAGATTGAACGTAAGTTTTTGGTGTTGGTACGAAATGAAATAGCGACAGTATGCCGTTGATATTTTAGGTCAAAAGGTGGATGCTCGTCATGAAATTAAATTTCTCAGACATAAAATACGTAAATTAAAAGATGAACTTATCGATTCAAAATCTCGATACCATTATTGAAATAATGTTTATAAATATTAGGCAGTATTTTTGTCGACGTTTGTTTTTCTACTCGACATGTTGTTTTTGTTGTTGTTGCTTTTATAGTAAAATAGTGTCCAATTTTTCAATAAATTTCTAATACAGTTCCATTAAGATAATTATAAGAATTAATTGTATACTTATCTTTTTCTCGAGAGCATGCTGTTAAGTGTTATATGACCTTAGTTGCAGATTTACTGTATATAGAATCGCGTGAGGATTGAAAAAAGCTGCGTGCCTGTCAAAAAAAGTGAGAAGATAGGAGAAAATTGTTTCTACAAGATTTTAATGTGCGCAATAGAATGATGCATTCAAATTTCATTTGGCCAACAATCGCATATTATCAATAAGTATACGCGAAGTAAGATTTTTCATGCAACATGTAAGTTTTATTTTGAAAAGTAAATAAATGCCTATCATTCAATAAAACAAAGTAAAATATCGATCTTAGAGAAATTCTCATATCCGGAGATGTAAGTGCGAATTTCTTCTCTTTACTCAAAATTCTACGGGAGTCAAACCATTAGGCGGTTACATCTCTTACATTATTGAGCTGATTATTTTATTCCACATAAAGGAAACTTAGAAAAATATAAACTACAGGTAAGACTGGCGTTTTCTTTTCTTTACATTCTTGGTCAGATGTATTAATGAACGTTGCTGGCTTCAGAGAATCTATTCAAGTAAAGCCAAGCGAAGATTCGGAGCACGGCGGTCTTTTTTATTGAATAGTAAACCATGAACAATCATTATAATTAAGTTAGAAAATGACGCTGTTATTCTTGGAAAAGATAGATGCATTGATTTAGGAATATCATTCAATTATGATACAAAGAAAAAGAACTGAAATTCCCATGTGTATTTCAAATTAGCCGTACGCTTGTCGAAAATAGTTTTTGTCGTCTTGCAGAATAGAGTGGGGAAAGCCTAATATAATTAAAAAACATAGCCTGCGAAAATAATGCTTCAATCCGGATTAAAATTATTTTTCATTTATTAAAAGTAATACGTATCTGATATAAAAATAATATTTCATCAAGCATTCAACTAAATTCTATCAGTCATATTGTATTTCTGATACAATCGTAGATTAGCTATAACATATTCGAATAATTATATACTAAAATGTATAAAGGCAACTTTCGTATTTACTTCTTTGCTACATATTATATTTTATTTCCAGAACCTTCTTCTTCTTTGCGTGTTATTTTTTTTCTTCTTCTTTTCTATCCTTCTCCTTAATGTTTGACAAATCTTCTTGTTTTACCTTATCCTCCTGATGGCATGACAAGAACACAATGATTAAGTTACACCTGGAGGTTCCATTCTAGGATTTCTTGTTATTATTCAAAAGAAAAAGAAAGTTTCACTAATTGCGCATACATCATATCTACTCAGAACTATTTCGCAAACATATTTCCGTGTTCATCTTATGTAAACAACACAATTTAAAAACATAATGTCAATGCCACTGTTTGAAGCCTGTGAAAAAGGCGATATCAATCGTGTGAAATCCTTAATCGAAGGAAAAGTAAGAAATTTTTCAGATTGAAATTTCTAGAAATATAAACTTATATTTGTTTTAGTGTCATATCAAAAGAGTCAATGAACAAGGTCGTACAGCACTTCATTATTGTTGCGACAATACAACCATAGATTGTGCTCGTTTCGTATTAAATGATGAGTTAATAAAAAAAAAGATTCTTGATCTACAAGATAAAGAAGGTTGTTCAGCACTTCATTTAGGTATCGTAGGAAAATTAGATTTAAATAAAAAAAAAGCAATGGATATATAATATAAATTCTAGCTTGTATAAATGGGAATCAAGTTATGGTAAAATATCTTTGCGAACAAGGTGCAAATGTTAATTTACTTGATCATGAATCTCGTTCTGTTATACATTGGATAGCAGGTAAATTGATTTTAGATTAAACGGAAAAAGACAAGTAAATGACTGTATTTTTGTTTTGCCCGATAGTCTGTGGACATCTTCATCTTTTCGATATTCTACTTAAATATAAAGCACCTGTGCATACACCTGACATTCACGGAGCTTTCCCTATTCATTATGCATCACAATTGCGTGGTACTTCTGTTGGTACAGATTCAGCAATTCATTCCGACAAAGGTAAAAATAACAATGTTGTGAAAACCGATCTGACAGGAGTGTTGAAGTATATAGGGTAAAAATTTGGACCCATCCCCCCCCCGCCACAGACCGTTACAGCAAAATTAATTAATCGGCTAATTGGTTAATTAATTTCTCTGTCGCGACTCCATACATTATGACACAGATCGTGACAGAAAAGCTCCACAGACCATGGCCGAAAGGCTCCATATATAATTACAGGCAGTGGCAAAAAAGCTGCAAAGACTCACAGACCGTAGTAGATGCTTTTCAGCAAAAAACTTTCATCGTGTTTCACATTTTAATCCCACAGGGATTGCGCTAACAGCTTTTTAAAAATCATATTTGAAATAATATCGTTTCAATTAGGTTTGGCTATTTTACAAAAACTCATTGATTGTAAAGTGGATATTAATGGCACCGATGAACAACAGCGAACACCATTGATGTGGGCTGCTAGTGCAGGTTATAAGAATAAGAATTTATCATTATTTCGTCTCGAAGACATGGATGTTGACATTAAGAATAATAATACGATTGTCTTGCGTGAGATAGACTATTGGCATTCAACGATTCGAGAGCATATGTTTGTCTCTCTAGAGGATTATTCGAGTATAATAGTATTTGACACCAGATGAAATCGAGTGTAGCTCTTCTCTGTTTTGTACAACATTTCAATTCCATGACAAATTAAAGTTGACGTTATAACAGAGAGATACAAACATTTACATGATAAGAAGATTAGTTGATGGCGCATTTATTCATATGAAAATAGTTTTTGTTTTTGATATTATTCAAAATCAATCTACTAAAATAAATGTGTCTTTGAAAAAACCCATTTAGGTGCTGTTGATGAACTACGTTTACTATACAAATATGGTGCCGATCAATTACATGTCGATAAAAATTCCCTATCTGGTATAAATTAATAGATCGTAGAAGATTTTATATTAAAAAAGATTCTTTGTTTATTCAGCACTTCACTGTGCAGCTTGTGGTGGTCACGCTGATTGTATTCGAATGTTAATAGAATATTATCGATGTCCAGTAGAAGGCGTAGATATCAACGGTTGGACACCATTATTTTATTCTATTACAAATAATCATCCGAGTATATGTCAATTATTACTTGATCTGGCAGCAAATCCAAATCATAAAGATCAACGGGGTCGAACGTATGTTTGTTTTTTTGTTTGTGAAAAAATTATTTTCCATTGCTTTTTCATCTTATTTCATTTAGACCAAGTCATTGTGCCGTAGCGGAAGGAAATCTTGATTGTTTAACAATTTTAATGAAGTCTAGTGCAAATATATGGTTGAAAAATAAACGTGGTGATTATCCAATACATGAAGCAATCAATACTATTTCAACTAACAAAAGTCGTAATCAAACAACTAAAACTGAACAGATTTTCGGTAGGACAGGAAAATAAACCATTGCTTAAATTCGATTTTTGATTTCTTTTAGCTTGTATTCGATATATTTTTCAATTAAATCCAAATAAAATTAATATTCAAAATGACGACCGTCGAACTCCTCTTCATTTAGCAGCCAGTTTAGGCGAAATCGAGATATGTGAAATTTTAATTGAATGCGGAGCAAAAGTCAATTCGCTTATACAAACTGTAGCCGTAAGTAAAATATAAAAATTTGCTAATAGAAAATCGCATATTTTCATATGATGACTAAAACGAAAAGGATTTACGGTTAAGCTAAAGGAGAATACACACTATCATGCGAGGAATGAAGAAAATCTTAGTATAATATGTCTAGACGTGATTTAAATCACTATTTAACGATAGTAAGGAGTTCAAAGACGTACCGATGAAGAGTTTAGATGTTTAGTAGTTAATTACTTCATCAGTCAAAATATTAAGCAAGGTTCGCTTGTCGTGTTGAAGGGGCGATCATGAATGAAAAATTTTACTACATCACTCCAGTTACTTTTTACACACTTAAGTTTGATTGCACGAGTGCATTTCATTAACAAGAACCAGCAATCATTAAGTGGAAAATGTCACACTAAAAATAGACTCATGTGGCTAATAGCTATAAACAGTTAATTGGAAATTCAAGAGAATACAATGAGATTGATAATTATCTATCTAGGATGATTATATGACTCCATATGATCTTGCACGGTTCAACCACCACGAAGCATGTGCTAATTATCTTATTTATAAACATGGAGGTCAATATGGAGCTAAACTCGCAAATGTTTTCGCTCGACGTATTCAAAAACATTATCATCAATATAAATTACGAAAAACTAAGCCAACTATTGAACATGAAAAATTGAATAATAAGACAAAGAATATGTTACACAAGAAAAAACATAGTTGCCCAGTGATTGCAAGAGCCAATTCAAATAATAATTTACTCAAACAAGCAAAAATCGGTTTAGATAAGAAAAATGAGAATAATTATTTGAAAGTTGATTCAGTAAATCTAAATACAGATGACTCTCTACAAGATGAAGATAATCTACAAGATCGTCGGCGTCTGTTTATGAAATCAAAAGCAACAACATCAACACATGACAGTGATGATTCAAGGTAATATCGTGTTTATCGGTTTTTATTTTCAATATTTGTTGTTTTCTAAAGAGTGGATCCAACGAATAAAATCATTATACAAACATCGAATTCCGTTGCAACCTATAATAAATTATATGATCGACGTAAAATAATCGTTGAAGAATTACATAAATTAAGACAAGCAAGAATCAATAATAATTATGTACTTATAAAATACCTTGAAATGAAAATCAATCATTTCTTCTTGCTTTTTTTTCCTATTGTTTTAGATTGTTATTAATCGATCATTATATAAAATTCTGATCGAAAATGCTTTTAATCCACAAAATCGCAGTGCAGATGAAATTGAAAAGTATCTTGATACATTAATATCAAGTTATGATTCAGAACTAGAAGCAATAAGAAAACGTACCAATGTAAGAGAATTAGTTTCTTTTTTTTTTATTCCACAAAACAACGTCTTCTTTATACTAGAGTGTACCAACGAAGCAAAGTCGTCGAACATCACTTATGTTCTAATCAAATACTGCAATAGAAAAACAACAACAACAACAACAACAAGAAAAATGGCGGTCGAAAAACAAAATAACTAGACATAACCTTATTAAATAGTTTTTTTCTTTTGCTGTCACTCACAAAAAAACTTGTATTTGCACCTTTTCTTTGCTTTGAGAATGTACACTGATTTTACCTTGTACAAATGACAGCCAATAATGATGATAAAATGACATGCCTGATCGAACAAGCCATGCTTGAAACAGAAGAAGGCTGCGTACTTTTTTTCTCCGGCAACTCGTCTATATCAAATTTTCTATGTCATGATTTTCTTTTCTGCTTCGCACTTCCTTTGATTAAACATCATTACGGATATTTCTATCGGCAGTAGAATAATAATATATTCTAAATATGAGCTACGAAGAAATCGATAAGGATGCCTATGGTACAGATGTATTTACGAATGGTGCTGAAGGCCGTTATTCTAAACCGAAATCTGTAGCAAGCAATGACACAACAGAAAAGAAACGAGCACCTAAAGCTCCTACGTCAACTACAGATGAACAACCATATGAAAACGGACACAGTGATGGAGTAGTTAAAACGAAAAAGAAGATTCGTAAAGTTGGGGAAAATATTGAAATACAAAATGAATATGAAACTGTTCAAATCGATCCAGCTGTTGATGGTGAAACAGTTGTTAAAACGAAGAAAAAACGCGCACCAAAAGTCCAAGCAGAAAGTGAAAATTTCGATCCAATGCCTGCAACAGCCGAAGAAGAACCTGTGAAAAAGAAAAAAAGCAAAGCACCAAAAGTACCGACAACAGGAGAAGAAGATTCGCAATTAGTCGATGGTGAAGCTACAAACAATGGTTTAGATCAACCAGCAACAACAAAAGTTAAGAAAACAAAAAAACCGAAGGCATCGAAAGGAACAACGGAGTCATATGATGATGCGTGGACGGACAATAAAAATGAATATACTACTAATTCAGGTATTTATTTAAATCTATATAAATTATATCTAAGAGTTTTTTTTTCACACATTATTGACGTTCCCCACGAATTCGCCGAGCTAATTGAATATCTTTTGGCATAATCTAAACAAAAATAAGAGCCGGAATGTACTTTTATTTAAAAAAAAGCCCTGTAATATTACTGTAACTCGTTTTGCATGAATAGCACAGAGATTCGTATCTTCGAATAAGCCAACAAGATATGCCTGATGAGAGAGAAAAAAACACATAAAAAAAATGAGTACGATTAATCCAAAATTTAATTTACTTCACAAGCTTCTTGTAAAGCTAAAACAGCCGACGATTGAAAACGTAAATCTGTTTTAAAATCTTGTGCAATTTCTCTAACTAAACGTTGAAATGGTAATTTTCGAATAAGTAATTCTGTTGACTTTTGATAACGACGAATCTCTCGTAATGCAACTGTACCGGGCCGAAATCTATGTGGCTTTTTAATTCCACCTGTTGCTGGTGCAGATTTACGTGCTGCTTTTGTAGCTAATTGTTTACGTGGTGCTTTTCCACCCGTTGATTTACGAGCTGTTTGTTTTGTACGTGCCATTGTAATTGAATTCTCAATGTGATGTGTGATAGAAATCGTTCGAAAGAGAATAACAAACGAACAAAACATATGTATATGTTTCGGATTGGAGGAATAAGCTATCGGTTTAATAACCAACGAGGATTTAACTTTAGAAAAGAAGATACAAAAATAGAAAGAGGGTTAACTTTTCTTTTCTTATAGGATTTAATGATGTATTTACAAATGATGGTACTTATGCTTCAAATGTTGTTGACATGCCTCATGATACACCTTTACTATCAAATGCAAATGAACTCGAAGCAATTCCTGTCGAACCTATATTTAGTGAATATGAACAACAAATAAGAGACGTATATAGTAATTTAGCAGCAAAAGTTGATTTTTCACAATTTGTTGGCGAAGATCAATGGTGTGTTGTACATTTACCTAAATCAGCTCGAAATGAACCAAAATCACGTATACGAAAAATACTACCCGGTGGCAAAGATGAAAAAAATGACGGAAAATCATCAAATCAAAAGGGTAGATTTTTAAGTCGTTTTCGTTCAGGCGTTAGTTCACTTGTACGCGATGAAAATAATTTAATATTTGGTGAACAATCAAATTATGAGGTTATGTATTATGACGACGAAGAAGAAGATGGCATTGATACCGATGATTTACATCGTTATGCACAAAAATTACGTGAATTAGAAGATAATGATAAAGAAGTTAATCCTGAATTTCTTGTTATACGTAATGGAAAAACTAGTTATGCCGTAGAAGAAACTGATGCTGATGGAAAAATGACTTTAGCAACACGAAAACCAATCTACGATCGTCTTGGCGATCAAGCAACTGAGAGTGAACCAACGGAAAAAAAGAAAATTTTATCTCGTTTAAGAAATCCATTTTCTCGAAATAAAAATAAAGATAACAAAGATATCAATTCACCTAAAGCGGGCAATGATGGATCGGATACTAATGGAAAACGAAGCACGAAGAAAGCAAGCAATAAAAATATTGATGATGGTATAGCAACTAGCGAACCATTCATGGATTGAAAATGACTTTATGCTTCTGTGTGTATGTGTGTGTGTGAATGAGAGAGCGAGAAAGAAAACGCGTATAGCTATGCTTATTTCTTATTTTCTGTCTATGTGTGTGCGTTCTTTACAGAAATATATCTCTTGGCATTTCTGAGAGGAGAAAAAAAGAAGAAATTCTTATTTCTCTCGGCTTCGTTTACTTACTGTGCTTGCCAAAAGCGTCAGCGTGAGTGGAACCAGAACCTAATTTTGTTCTTCCTCTATGTCGGTTGATGCTTGCTGTTGATGCTCGTACGTTCGATGATTAATAGACCAAATTTTTCTTCTCTTTTTCCCGACTGCTGCCATAATCATCAATAGTCTCGTATATTCTCATTGATTTCATCACTCATCACGATGGTAAGATAGGCATATAAATAAGCTCAAGTTCATCTATGAAAATTGCCGATTTTTTTTTCTAGGTTGATTTTTATCAAAAACAATTGATGAATAAATTTTAACACAGAGGAAGAAAAAATATATATAGACATGGCAGTCAATTTACTGGGTAATTCAGATGCTGATGCGCGTGTTATCCTTAATGTCGGTGGCACACGTTTCGAAACATTAAAATCAACATTAAAAAAACTACCAGCTACACGTCTATCGAAACTAACCGAACAATTATCTTATTATGATCCAATATTAAATGAATATTTTTTTGATCGTCATCCAGGTGTTTTTTCTCAAATATTAAATTATTATCGTACAGGAAAATTACATTATCCCACAAACGTTTGTGGACCTCTATTCGAAGATGAACTATCCTATTGGAGTCTACAACGTGAAGATGTTGAACCATGTTGTTGGTATGTGTTAATTAAAGTTGTTTTTTTCTTACCAAAAATATTCATTTTTTTATTTCAGGATGACTTATACAAAGCATCGTTCAACAGCCGAAACATTATCAATATTAGATAGTTTAGAATTAGACACTGTACGATCATCTAAACAAGAAGTTCTGAAGAAATTCGGTTGGGATGATAATTATGAGTATGTTCAAGGTCGTTTGCCTAAATATAAAAAGATGATGATGATTACATGGCAAATATTTGAAGAACCACGATCATCAACTGTTGCTAAAGTTGTAACTGTGATTTCAATATTTTTTATTCTTGTTTCGATACTTTCCTTTGTTCTACAAACATTATCGATGTTTCGTATAACTGAAATTGATTTCGTTAACGTTTACGTTAATAAAACAACGACAGATCGAACACCAACATTAAATAGGCAACAGGTACATCCAACATTTGATATTGTTGAATGGATTTGTAAGTTCATAGCTGTTTAATGATATTTATTTTATTTTGCGTTCTTCTTAAATTTAATTTCAGGTAATTCGTGGTTTATATTTGAAATAGTGATCAGGTTTATTGTGAGCCCCAGTAAAAAAGAATTCAGTAAATCTATATTAAATATAATTGATTTTCTCGCAACACTTTGGTTTTTTTTTACATGGGCATTAATTAAATTAAATGTTAACGATAACGAAGCGCTTGATTTACTATCGACCATTCGTATAATGCGTTTGTTTAAATTGTTTAATCACCATCCTGGTCTCAAAGTTATTATAACATCAATGAAATATTCATCATCGGTTTTATGGTTATTGATATTTTTTGTTCTTATTGCAGTTGCTATATTTGCATCCTTAATTTACTATGCCGAACGTATGACGACAAAACATCCTGATGAGAATATGTTTACGTCAATACCTGATGCGTTATGGTTTAATATGATAACAATGTCAACAATAGGCTATGGAGATTATTATCCGAAGACAATGCTTGGAATGTTAATTGGTGCTGTTGCAACAGGTAACATTCTATTCTGGATTAGACGAGAGAAGGAAAAAAACAACAAATGATCCCATGCGATTTTTGTTATTTCTAGTTGCGGGTGTATTGATTATTGATTTACCTATGCCGATTATAGTTGAGTCGTTTGCAAATTTTTATACGCATCTTCGTGCACGTTCAAAATTACCTAAAACTCGACGAAAAATTGGTCCAGCTGAGACACTAATGAAAAAGCGAACAGCAATAACAACCATAGAAAATGCACAAAATCTTAGATTACTTGGACAAGCAGCAAAAACATCAATGTTTGGAAGTAAAACTATGATAAATAATAATCGTATGTCATCAATGGCATGACGACGAAGAAAAAAGAATAACAAATGAACTGAAAATGTTTTATTTTTTATTTTGTAAGATTTTGTCAATTATTTAGGAGAAAAAAAGCGTATATAACCTAAGATTCATCGTCTGAGTGAGTGTTTTGTTTTAAAAAGAATTATCCAGTCTATTCATTTCGTTCTTCATGCTCTGTTGAACTAGTTTCTGGCGGTTGAAGTGCAACAGGTGGTGCAGAAGGAGCTGCTTCTGATGCATCTTTCGGCGGTGATGGATCTTCTTCTGTCACAGTTTTCATTGCCGTACTATTTTCTACTGGTGGTAGTTGATATATTGTTGCATTAGATGGTTGAACAGATTTTTGAATTGTTGGATCAGTTTTTGCTGATGTGCATGTGTTACCCATAGTATTATTTTGAAACGAAAGAAAAACTACAACACAACTTCCCACCAAGCAATGACTGAATGATAACAGTATCTATGTAATTTGTGATAATAAAGTCTGTCTCAAATGCCTTTTATGCGACTGAAAAGTCATCTTATTTTCAAGTAGTTACCTTATCTTCAAATCATATATACATGAGTGCAAAGCAAATATGTATACTGTTGTTACAACAAACTAGGATGTAGGAGAGATGAGATGATGATAAAAGTAAAGATTACTAAGATATTCAAGTAGAGCCGCTATGAAGGCATTCTTAGAACAAACATCAAAGATTAAGTATCATTAACAACCAACCTATTCTCCTTTGTAATTTATAATTATATTCTCCTTTGTAATTTATAATTATATTCTTCTTTGTAGTTTATAATTGTATTCTTCTTTGTAATTTATAAGTATCACTCGACAGATGGTGTTATTATACAATTGATAATGATCTTAAATCGCTCATTTGACTGAATCTTATCAAAAAAGAAAATAAGTCAAAAAACAATTCTCTTATATTTATTTTATTAAGCTTGTTTGATTCGAAATCATTTTCTTGGTATTGTTCACCATGATACTTATTGATTGGATATATCTAATAAAAATAATTGAATATTTCTATTTTTATCGTTGAGTATTGCTTTTCGATCAAAACATGACATACGGTTTTTTTCATAAGAATTTCATATATCATTAAAAATATGACGAGTCGATTAGCTCGCGGGTAACTAAAATACACTTAATAATTAAATGAGTTAATTTCGTCAAGTATTTATTTAGTTTCTTTCATCGTGATATATCACTAACAGAAACTGAAAAGGTTTTACAAGAAAATATTGTTGGTAGTTTTCTTGTACGTCCTTCACGTACGAAAGCTGATTCATATGTATTATCAGTTCGGTATGAACTTGCAAACAATGAATCGTTCATGTTGGTTTTTCTTCTTCTATTGATTTTTTTTAAATTAGACTAGCAACTGGAGGAATAGCACACATACGTATTAAAAGAACCAATGAAGGATTTGATATATGTGAAAGACAAGAATGTTTTCCGACATTGTACGATATGATTGATCATTATCGTCGAAATTTTGGAGAACTTCAAGAAAAAAATAGTGAAAATATTGAATTAACTAATCCTATATTAGCTCAAATGCCCACATTTGAAAAGTAAAAACAGAACACCTCATTTCTTATTGATTTCGTTTTTTTGAATGATAACACTTCAGGTACTATCATGGACCGATATCACATTCACAAGTGGTATCTATCTTGAATAAATGTCATCGAATGGGCTCGTTTCTTGTACGAGATTCTGAAACTTCACCGGGAGATTATGTTATATGTGTGAAAACACCCGATTATATAGCCAATATAAAAATAAAATATTTTTCTGGTAATTTATTTCTCGATGGAAAAGGTCGGCAAGAACAAATCGATCGTTTTAAATCATTAGATGAGTTAATTCATTTTTATTTAAAACATAATATTCTCGTTGGAGTGGATGGTGTTGCTATTCGTCTTGTGCAACCGTGCACAGCAAATTGGTTTTATGCTCGAGATATTCACCAGCGTTGTGAATTTTTATCGAAACTAATGCCATCGCAACATGGACACAAAAGTGGTTTTAGCTTAGAATTCGAATTACTTAATCAACAATCGGATCCTCAGTCATCACAATATCATAAAAAAGTTGGAGAAAAACAAGAAAATCGAACTCGAAATCGATTTAAAAATATTTTACCACACGACGAAACACGTATCGTTCTAAGAAATTATTCCGTTACAGACTATATGAATGCGAATCGTGTTCGAACACATTATGAACAATATGCAAGAGAATATATTGCTACACAAGGACCATTGCCACTAACGGTTAACGATTTTTGGCACATGGTACAACAAGAAACAGTTCAATGCATTGTAATGATTACGCGTGAAGTAGAAGCCACGAAGGTATTTTAATTAAAAATATTTTATTATTTCCCTCGAGTATTTCATGATATGCATAGCATGATGCAGTGAAAGTTCCAGCTTGAGAAATGTATTTGTCTAGGTCTTCCTAACATTGTTTCCATTTCATAGAATAAATGCGCACGCTATTGGCCCGATTTACATACAACAAAACAATATGGCACGGTGACTGTTGAAAATATGAATGAAACAAAGTTTGGTCCACCACAAATGTCCTCCAGTGGAATGCGTGCGTTACGTACATTGTCATCATCATTATCATCATCACAACAATTCTTATTAAACGATGATGACTGTTCTTATCGTTTACGTACATTAAGAATAACAGCTGAAAATGGACGATCATGGGATATTTTACATTGGCAATATTTAGCATGGGGCGATCATGGTAAGATGATTGCGTTGCTATTTTTTATATAGATTTTTTGATTTTTGAAGATTCTCCACTTACAATTAATCAACGTGACAATGCTCAACTTGGTATACTGTTGGAGTTTTTTGAAAGAATTGCTCACTTATATCCTATTGGCACTAATCCGGATGCAGCACCGATGGTTGTGCACTGTAGTGCTGGTATAGGTCGATCCGGTGCGACTATTGCAATCGATGCAATATTAAATAGAATCCGTATGAACGGGCTTGATACTGAAATTGATATTCCCAATTTAATTAAACATATTCGATCACAACGATCAGGTGAATTGTCTTTGTTTTGAAAATCAAGAAATTTATCTACAATAAAATATTTGTTTTTTTGAAGGTCTTGTGCAAACTGAACGACAATATGAATTAATCTATCGTATGATAGAATTTTATGTCGAAAAATTAATGCAACTAACGGAAAATCAAAATAAACAGTGATATACATGCATGCATGCATCTATTTTTATTTTGACAAATATTAATCTCTGCGAACAATAGTAGTCAGATTAGTTTTTCTATCGGGAACTCTCAATATTTTTTTCTTGTACTGACCCTCAATTAATCTATATCTACAGTGCTTTCTTTTGTCACTCGTTTGATTTTACCTTATTTTTTTGTATTTATTTATTTATTTATTTATTCTAAATTCTATGTACCTAAAATAGGTATTGACTGAAGTATAATATTTCTTAAATCTGGAAAAGAAATTTAGTGAGCTTTACTTTCCGATGGAATTATAAAAATCAACAAGAAAACTTATATTTTAGTTCATTAAGAATTCAAGTTAGAATGCGATTATGTTATCGGCAGAGAGAAAATAAAAACTGATACGTTTAAATCTCTTATTAACTTATCGTGACTGTTTTTTGTTTCCTGAACCAAATAAAACAAGTAATTGAATACAAATCGAATCATCTCATTTCATGGATATGATCGATTCACAAAACTGCTCAAGGAAAAAAGAAAACGCGTAAGAAGTTAGCGTAAACACTTTACAGTCTCGCTAAAAGTTTTCTTCGAATCAGAAAAATGCCAAGGGGCACTATTATAAATTACAGTAGCACTCATCGATTCAAGCACTCTCTTTAATTGTCAATAGTTTTAAATCCTGCACTCGTCAGAACAATTTATTTCCTTCGAAAAAAGTGAAATATCTAAAGTAATTCATTTTGTTGTTGAGCCCATAGTTCTATCATCGCTAAATAAGTTATGATTTTTCATAAAATACTGATTTTTGCTGCTTAAATGGAATGCACATTACCAAAATGTCGATGATCGGTTAGATTTTTGATTGATAATGAATCTTGTTACTATGTTTTATGAACGATCGAGTTATGTTTATGTCCGTCGTGGATAACATCAATTCATTTTCTGGGTTTAAACAATCGATCATCAATGTATTACAATTATAAAAGAGAAGATTCATTGAAAATCGTGAAATATAACATCTGTCAGTTTCTGTGTTTAGTATGAGATTTATCTAATCGTACTGTTTCCACATTTGTAAATGAAAATAAGAAAAGAAAACAGTAGACTCCAAGGCCAAAAGCTCTGCTGTTTTTCTCATCAATAGAACAAAATTGAGAATTATAATTTCTTTTGCAATCAGTCTTGTTTTGTACATGTTGATGGCAAAATTTTCGATTGCATTTAATTTGTTGACAAGTTTTCAAAGTACTCAGTGTTATTGTTAAGAACTTAACCCGAGGACTGTTTTTATTTACAATATAAAAATGGAGTTCTTTCGATTATTTGCACTCTAGATTGATAGCTACGAAAATTGACGACGTTCATCTTTTGTCTATTACACTGGTACGTCAGGTATTGAACACAATTCATCCCCAAGTAAAATAAAAAAGAACATGCTGAATGCTAAAAATATTTTTCTAAATAGCGCAGTTTCTTCTTTGTGATCGAAATACTAAAATAATAATAAAAATAATAATTTATGGAATAAAATGTTGATGTTCTTTATCCTAATGTAATTGCATTTTCCGACGAAATATAACTGTTCTATTCTTGAATGAAACATTGAACCATTCCGTAAAAACAAGAGCGATCAAATAAGCTTTTCATATCGATTGATTGATTTAGTCGGCATTTTGCTCTTGTTTTAGACGAGAAAGGAAGTTCGCTTGGCATACGAAGAAAACTTGGAAGTTTCTTATGAATAATTATTTAAATCAAAAGAATTTTAAGAAGCCAATAATAGTAATATGTTTTGCTCTCATAGTTTGCAGCATGTTTATGTTTTCGACAGAAAAAAAGAGAACAAACTCACATGCAACCAAAACAAAATATGTTTGTTGGCGATGATTGAAATCCTTTCATTTATGTTTTTGAAGGAACAAGAGAAAAAAGAAAGAAATACAGCTGTATTGTTTTCAAAACAACACTTATCGAAACAGTGTGAAAGTGCTCTAAACATTAAGTAAAAGAGAAAATTTTCAGATGTCGAAACAGCAGCCAACACGAAATGCTCGGCAATATGACTTCTGGGGAGGTCGACCACTGAGACGAACAGCGTCTGATCTATTTTTTGATCGGCCACGACCAGTAAATACAATATTTTCGGGTAAAAAAAGTTTTTTTCGTATTCAGTTAATCGAAAATTGAATTAATTTATAGGTCCAAATGCTTTATGGGATCAACGAAATCAATCGCGGGAATTAATTGGAGATGTTGGCGAAGGGGAAGCGTCTGCGCTTCGTTCGCTTGATCTTGGATATTTGACAAGGTAACCCGTTTGTTAAAGAATTTTTCATTAAAACTTTTTTTTCTCTACTTTCAGAGGATATGCTATAGATCCACCACTGCGTCGGGCTGCATTTCCAGGAGAAATAGGTTGGACAGCAACGTATTTTCATCGACAGTTCAAACCAACAAAACCCTATACCAATTGGTACACTTGATTTTGTTTTTCGAATACAAAACAAATTTTTTCTACAATATTTTACATATTTTAAGAAATAAAATAAAAACACTGCTTTCGTTCTAATTTCAACATTCATGTTATAAGATACTATGGATAATTAAAATTTTCGGTAATCGAAAATAAAAGATCGATAGAACTGTTGTTCTCTATTATCGACAAGGTATTTTTCCTGGTTCAATATTTGTCCATAAAACGTACAGTATACGGTTTCGTGCTTTTAAATGAGAACATAAGACATAATCGAATCAGCTAAAAGGTTTCACTGACGCATTAATTAATTTCATATATACAAACAAATCCATGGAAGAAAATATTCATTTTAGGTGTTTCAATAAAAGATATCTGGAATATTCACAGGGCAACATTCGTTTTTATGACATTTCCTTCAAGACTACAGGATTCTTTTAGCATCTAACAAGTTTGTTTTATTAATTTCAATATGATATTCTTGAGATTAGCTGGGAAGAAATTTGTCTGCTAAAAGGATTTCATATTTTTTTTATTGCTATCGATGATAAAGTATATGTATAGTTTCTCTTACTGAAATAATGATTAAAAGCGCCATCTATCTTTAATAAAAATGTTTAATAGGTAGTTAATATTGTCGAACGACAAATTGATCGATCGATTATGATGTTTCCTGTGCTGCAACTGTACTGTATGTAGACACGAAAACGTACGATGAGTGATGGGGATCGAAGCCGAGATGATTCACCAGAAGATCAAGATCAATCATCAAATAAATTAACATCGTGTGATAATCAACCTCAACAATTATCAAGAATATTTTATAGAACAGCTGATGTTGATGATCCACCATTTAGTAGACTTTTTTTATTAATACCAAAAGCTATGTCAGAAGATGAGTTGCGGAATGCCTTTCAAGTTCACGGAAAAATTCAAGATATCCACATGGTACGAGATAGACGAAGTCAAGAAAGCAAAGGTTTTTAAACTGAAATTTAAAGTTTTATTTATTCAAAGTAACTCATTTTGATTAGGTATTGCATATATTAAATATGAAAAAGTATCAGCAGCTGCTCGAGCTATGGAAGAAATGAATGGAACAGTTATTTCGCCACATGTTCGTCCATTAAAAGTCAGTTGTCGTGTAAAAATTTCATTGTAAAAGTTTATTTCAATACTTTTAAGGCTATTATATCAAGTACACGCCGTGAAGGTAGTGTACGTGATCCCAATGAACATGTAAAAATGTTACGTTTATTTGTTGTCATATCCAAACATATGACTAAGGATGATTTACGTAAAGTTTTTCAAGTAATTATCATAGGTTTACAAGAAAGCAAAAATGATTATTTTTATTGATTGTTAATTTAGAAATATGGTTCAATCATTAATATTAAAGTTATTAAAGATAAATTAACAGCCGAAAATAAAGGTTTTGCTTATATATCATTTTCTAAAGCATCGGAAGCAGCTTACGCACTTGAAGAATGTGATCCAAGTGAGTTAATAATTTTAAACATCGAATGAGATCTTACGTGAATATCATTTTTCATAGGTTATAAGCCAAAATTCGCTGAACCATTTTCTTCAAAACGTCATCGTGATAATGAAGATACATTACCATCATCAGGTTCAATTTATGGAACTGTTTCACCTCCTTATCATCAAACAATATCGTCAAGTAAACAACACCCATCACCATCATCAATTTCAAATGATCATCGACCATCACCACCTCCATTACTCCCATTACCAACAACACGTTTATCATCAAATAATGAATCAAGTTGGTTTCTTTTTTTTTCGCTTTTATTCAATGAAATTAATAAATTTTTGTAGATCCATCATTGACACTTTCTCCACTGAACAATAGTTATCATTTGCTAGAGAATAATAATGAACGTCGTTTAATTGTTCGTTGTGGAATGACAATAACTAACTATCATGTATCAAAATTATTTGATCTTGTACCACATATGGAAGAATGCTCATCAATTAGTTCAAACACATTTAATGAACGTAAGTTATCGATTTTTCACTTCAGCTAAGGAATTTCGTCGATAACTGGTTTCTTGTGGACATATCAGTCTAAAAAACTGTAGTGAACAAACCTAGCTAATGTTTGGATATTTAATATACCTTGAGGTTGGCATTTTCAGGTCGGCGAGGTCTACTAATTGACAACACAGCAACTAGATTATTGAACTATAGTTGGAAAATATTCTCAAATCAGAAAAAATGCTTCTTGTTATTAAGCCGATTCCATGTTAAGTACATTGAAATCGACTAAAATTTTTTATGACTTTTAAAAGAAATATTCATTAAAAAAAAGTTAATTTTTCCTATTTAAAATTATATCTTAGGGTGTAGGACATGACAAAGTCATTATTTTTCTTGCACGAAAGGAAGTTTCATCTATTTATAGAAGTTTTTTCGTGAGAATAATAATTGAAAAGTTTAATTTAAAAAAAAAACGAGCTGCATCACACCCTCCATCTTGATATGTACTTCGTAACAAGTCTCCAAAACATAGATACTTTCGCTCGATATCTTGCAATGTAGCAGATACTGAGTACAATTACTCAGTATTTTCGTACTTTTTACTTAAAAATTGTAAGTACAAAGTATACTTTAGAAGTACCAGTAAATTTACTTGTACTTCTCGAATGTACTTAAGTATCGATACTTAGTACAAACTTACCTAAGTACAAATACCAAGTACTGATGTACCGACAATTATATCAAGGTTTCAAGTGTACTTGGTAATTGTACTTGAGTAATAGTCCAAAGTACAATTAGTAAGTAACAAGTCTTTTCACTTGTACTTGTCCAGTCTCTGCAATGTAGCGCAGATTTATTTCACGTACCAGTTGTCGGTCAGCATATTGTGCCAACACAAAAGTAACCCACATAAAATGAAATGGAATTCATTCTCAAGAATAAAATTTGCATTGACACAAAAGCTGCACCAGATGATAAATCGATTAGGAAAAAAAGCATCTGATATTCAAAGTACTTTCTTTTAAAATTCTGGCCAATTTCGTGTGATTTTGTTTATAGCATGAAATGCCCAATAATCTTAAAAGGATAAAATGCAAATATACAAAAGATAACGTTCTAAGAGACATTGAACGTAAGCCACGACTAACCTTGGTCAATCGATCTCACCGATTTGGCTCATATTTTTATAGTAGGTAGCCCTAACACAGTTAGGAAGAAACTGAAAATTTTAGCTCGAATGGATAATCCATTCTGAAGATATATGCACTCGAAGTAAGGCTGGGTCGGATTTTTTGTACTTCGACAATTTTCAGTAAATTTTCATTTTCCCAAGAACGATAAGAGCTGCAACAAAACTTTTTTTTTACCAATAATAGTATAGCCAATGGGCTATCGTTTGATGGTATTGAAGGTATCTTATGTTTGAAAAAATTTCTCCATGCGATCGATCTGGCTCAGAAAATAGGGCCCCAGAATGTCAGCAATGTTCAAGGACTGAGAAATAAGAATTCCTCATGTGCCGAGGAATTGTCAGTATTGCTGTGATAATTCCTAGAGGAAATGGGAATCAACTATCGGTTCGACCATTCACGAAAGTTGCGATATTGCTGTTTTAAATATAATCTTTGCATGAAACTATTGATTCTCACAATTTTGCAAATGAAAATGAGTGTAAGAACAAAAATTATCGTGAATATTCCATATTTTTACCTTTAGTATGCAAAGAACTTTAGGGGAACTGACGAGGAATTCCTAATCCTCAGTCATTGGACACCCCTCGCTGTAGCTGGTCGTGGCTTACGTGCAATGCCTCCTCAGGATAAGAGAAAAATAAATGTACAAATTTTGTTTCTTAGATTATTTTATTGTACGTTATAAATCGTGTCAATTTGCAACGTATGCGCGTGAAAAACTGCATGCATTTCAATTTCCTGACGGTGAAATTTTATCAGTACAATATTATGATGAAAAGTAAAATGGAAATAAAATATTCATAACATTATTTGATGTGCAATCAATTTTAGAATTGTCAACGATCTTGTAGATCAAACACAGAATGTTAAATACGGGGATACACCAGGAATCGGTCAATTAATTCATCAAGTATTTTTTCAAATCTTGCTATTTTTTCAAAAAGAGCACCTTTCTTTTCTTTCAAGATGAGTAATCTGCAAGGAATACAAGAAGAATATGTAGATTATTGTAATGTTCCATTACCACCGAAACAAAAATACGCTTCATTTGATGCACCAGTAAGTTATTTGAAAGACAAGTAGTTCCTCATCGATATCTAAGAGTTAATATATGAAACGCACTCATATTGAAAAAATGAGGCCGCATAAAAATTCTAAAAATAATCAAATAAAATTATTTTCATTATCTGTAAACAAATGTGTCCTCAACCTTGTATGCATTCTTAGCTACTTGAAACTATGAAATCTCGTTGTTGTATTTTATTTTTAGCAAATAATAGTACTCAGACATTCCGGATCGAAGCATCGTTAGATTTTTTCAAATTAAAACTGATTTTGTACACTAATCGAGTCACTATTTTTCTCTTTTGGGATAAAGATTCACCATAAATTATTCTTCATAATTATAAAATCAGTAGTTAACTTTTCCACAAGAGAAAGAGGAGTGGACTTAAAAAATACTGTATTGGTACAGAAGTTTCAGACCAATAGGTCAGAATTTCCTAAGTCATCCCGGTGTATAAAATGTACGTACACTCGATTAAAAAATGATTCCTCTTAACTCTTGAAACAAAAGAAAATTATTTGCTGTATTTTTTCTCATTATTGCATTTTCTTTGTAAACAAATGTTTATCTTAGGTTGCCAAAACTCTGCATATAATACCTCAACGTCCAATATCTGAAGATTTCATTTGTGATATATTTAATCGATTTGGAAATTTAATCGATGTTCGGACAATAGATCCACAATTATGCCATGTAATGTTCAGTGATGAACGCAGCGCCAATACAGCGATGGAAACCATGAATGGACAAGAGATTGCATTTGTTCGTATACGTATCATTGGAAGTGATAAATCTGTTGCAAATCGAAAACGCCAAAAAGTGTGAATCTAACATTGATAATCTCCTTCAAAGACATACTATTAAATATATATGTTCATTCTAGTCTGAATAAGTTTTATTTTATTACTATTATTATTTATGGGAGCCCATAGACAAAAGATATATGTATCCTGTGCCTTTCTTTTTTTTATGATTCTTATTTAAAAAAAGACATGAATGTTTCGTTTGTGCAGTTGCTCTGCTATTCGATTGTTTTCTTTTCATCATTATTGTCGTCACGTATTTTTTTCTCTCTCTCTCTCTGTCTTTTTTTTCTAGATGGAAGAAGCTTTTCGTATTAATCAAAGAAAAAGTCGAAAAGCGAGAAATGATGTAGCTGTAAGTTGTTTTTAGAGGTTTCTTCGATATGTGTTACAGTATTATATAGCACAAACTCTCCAATTTTTCAAGGTTCAAGGTACCAATGATTCGAGTATCTTATCAAAAGTATCCATGGCCAAACTTGGATATTTTGATGATTTATTTCTCCGAGAATTTGTTGACAAAGACGTGAGACGTTCACCATCAATAAATCGGTTTGTGCTGAAAAACGTGTTGTTGTTTCCGTTTAATTTGCGTATTCTTAATTTTTAGAGGTTATTATATTAGAATGAAAGCATTGGAATATGCTTTGAATATGTTTTATTCGACCTATGATCAAACAGCAGTACAGGTAAATCTTTAAAAAAAATTCCATTAAGAAAATAAAAAATAGATCAGACAAACTTTTTGCGGAAAAGTAATTAAAATCTTTTCTCTACCTTCAAAATGCTGGATGCAAGATTATAAGGTTTTAGCTCGCTCTAAGAACACCATTATGTGAAAGTAATTTTATAACTATGTAATACGCTTGATGTTGGTTTGCTGAGATTTTCACACTTTTTTAGAGAGAAAAATATAATTTTTAAGACCTCCTGACGTTCATGGCAAGAGTAAATTAAGTACTCCAGTTAAACTTCGCTTGCAGATTCATCATCTGTTGATCTTTTTTAAGTAGCTCAAGTGATAATAATGATAGTAAGTTTGTCAAGGATAATAACCAAATCGATACTCGCTCTCTGTGCGTATATTTAACCGACAAGGACGCTTTGATGAAGGTCGCTAAAATATTTAAAAAAGCACTATCTCTCATGTAGACTGTCGAAACCGAGTTCTGTTGTTTTTATTAAATGCTTTGCAGGCGTCTCCTACGAAAACAGATGATGAAAGTTCGGCCCCAAAATCAGCTTACATAGTCGATGCACTCGAAATATTCTGAAAAGAATGCTTTTTTTGTAGGAACATGCAATTGTTAAATAAACTCAAATTTTCTAGGAAATAAGCGTTCTCTATACTTCTCTAAATCAAGATTATTCTATAATTCATCGGTTATATGTAAAAGCAAAATGCCACTTTAGTTAATTACAACTCAGTCAAATATTCAGTAAAGCGATCATGATTGAATTCTATAGACTTTTGTCATTCACATTAAGACATTCAAGTAGAATCAAAACATATGAGCCGAAACCGGATGTAGCAATTTAGTTAGTGCCTCTATTATTCGACAGAACTGTGTTTTGAACTTTATGATTTATCGATTACGCAGTTACTCAACTGAATCATCTGTTTGTCTTCCAAAGTGCAACATGAAGTTTGACGTGGTCCACATTTTTCTCTATAGAACAGACGAGATTTTTAACAAACTAAGTACTATGAGAATTCTTTGCCGGCAAAGAATGGTTATTGTAGCATGTTTTCTGAGCGAGAAAAGCCTGTTGAATTTTTTTATTGAATTCTGTCATCTTAAGTAAATAGAAGAACATGCTCTTTGTCAACAGACATTGCCTGCATTGCATAGTATTCTTATTAAAAAGTTCATATAACTGCAACTGTCTAATATTAGAATTTATAAGCGAATGGAATTTTCTCGATCTATGACAAGCATTACAAACTATTTGTCGGTACTTATATTTTTCGATGTAGATTGTCAATTTAGGTGCTGGATTTGATGCAACTTGGTTTCGTTTAGATGATGATCGAAAACAACGAACACATTTTATTGATGTAAATATAGTTTATATCAACATATGTACTTTATAATCTTCATTTAGATTGATTTTCCTGAAGTTATGCAACGTAAATTAGCATTGATCGAAGTTCGTTCTCGACTTAAAGAACAGTTCGAACCGATGCATACATTTAGTTCATTAGAAAATTTCGGTAATGCGATCAATTTTCATAAATCACAATTAATTATATGCTTCTGTTTCTTTTTATTAAGCGGTAACCAATGAAAAATATTCATTAATCGGTGTTGACATGAGAGATAGTTTAACTCTAAATACACTTCTGCAATCAGTGAAAGTCGATGAAACAAAGCCAACTTTATTAATCAGTGAAGTTGTTTTAACATATATGGGCCGATCAAGTTGCAATCGTGTTATACAATGGATACTTGATTTTTTTCAAGAATGTGTCTTAACCACTTATGAACAAGTATATTTTTGTTTTCTGTAAAAGAACCAATTTGTTTTCTAAAAAATCTTATTGATAGGTTTTACCCGAGGATGGTTTCGGTCAAGTTATGGTTGCACATTTTGCTAAATTAGGTTCACCATTGAAATGTATCCATCAATATCCAACTAGTGAATCTCAAGTTCAACGCTATACGCATTTAGTAACATGAATACTCCAAATGAAGAGTTCTATCTAAATTTCTAATTTTGTTTTTAGGGTTTTGATTTTTCAGTTTGTGTAAATATGCATAATTTCTATCGAAATTATTTATCGACTGATGAACATAATCGCATTGATGTACTAGAACCATTTGATGAAATTGAAGAATGGCAATCGAAATGTGCGCATTATATTCTTTTGTTTGGTTTACGAACAACAGCGAATGTATCGAAGCAATGGTTTGAACAAATGGATAACGATTTTAGGTCAATTATCTATTTAAAAAAAGACACTTTGACGCCGAGTAATAATCAAATAAACGATGAGCAAGTTAAAGTTGATGTTCAATTCGACATTTATCCTACAACTATGACTTATGCACAACGTTTTGGACATCAATCAATATTAATTCACGAGAAATTTGTTTGGACGATGGGAGGCTTTGGAACTGTCGATGGTAGACATCGAAGGTTGAAAACGATTGAAGTATTAAATATTGATAATGGAGATATTCAAAGATTAGATAATCATTCACTCGGTAAGAACGAAAAACAAATTTGCTAATCTTTTCTACTAGATCCAGTTTTTTTATAAATTCATAATCCTAGATTAATAGTCTTTGCTAAGTCATCGTCTACTTGAATATAACCATAATTTTAAACTTATCTTAACTCCGTAAGGATGGGATATGAGGACATTTTCGCAACAATACTGTCTAGACGCATATAAGAGTAGTATGATTATCATTAGAATACGAATGAACATCAGTCTTCTATTCAGTTAAATATATACTATTAATTAGAGTAGTCATTTTTTTTAGATCTTTGAGAGAGTAATTAGAAAAAGTATTACGAGACTGAATTCTTGCAAGTAGCACAATGAATCTGTAGAATATCCTTAGAAAACATGCGAGTTGGTATTAGTGAGATTAAAAAGAACTTGAAACATGTTAGTACCCAGGACCCTTCATTTGCGAAGAAAATATAGTTGTTTATGTAATGATTAAGGGGAAAAGACTTTTTCAAATGATAATTAGTTAGGTTTTCTATGTATAAAATACTTAAAGACAAAATAATTGAGCGAGTTAAGAAGGAACGGCTATTCAATTTTATTCATAGTTCGTGCCGACGTGACGAATGCATGACATCGTCTAATACTATGAACACCACGTAAAATCAACTTGCGGAATATTCAGTAATTACTGACAAAATATTCAATAGAACAGGAAGATATATATTTCGATATGATATTTTAATTAGCATTAAAAAATCAATGATAATTTGTGAAATAAAATTTTCATTAGATTATCATCAGATGAATTATATCTTAGGTACAAAGTACGAATGGTTTCAAGGTATTATCAGGACGTATATCGTATCGATATTTTCAAATCAGCTGCAACTATCAACGAGCTATAAGTTGGGTGCAATCAGATGTTACAGAGTTTCATTTCTTTCTCTATTCTTTGTAGATAGTTTCAAAATTAGATTGAATAGGCGTAAAATAGAGACTAAAATTTCTCTGTTCAAAATTTAGAAAAAATAATTTCCCTATCCAAAGATGAGCACAAATATGCCATATTGTAGAGAATTCAATGCGACAGCTTTCAGAATTTTTAAAATGGATAACTAGATCTCAAAAATAAATTTAACAGTTGGCAACGTTGTAAACTTAAATTTAATTTTGAAATCAGATTCGTAATTAGCTCAGAAACCTAAGTCAAATCAATTATCTTTAAGCACTGCTCGGTAGGATGACCATGCTCAGTTTTAAAATTCTTACTGATGTTGATATTTCTACAAATAAAAAAAATTCTTCTGACACAATTAACTATTTGTTTTTGATAAACATTAGACCTGAAATTCACCGTCGCACTTATTGCCCAGCACAGTACATCGTCGACTTTGCACGAAGATGTCATCGTAACCTAAAATATACTTTCATCAGTAAAAAAATAGCTATTCTCGATTATGTTTCTTCGCTTAGATATCTGTTATCTGTCATAGATTATTTTTCTTAGAAACCAGAAATTACAGATCAAATGAAAGTTTGATATTTGCCATACGCTCTCTTCAAATCGTTAAACTAAATTAATTGGGTACGTTTTTCAATTCTAGGCGAATATGTTTTTCATACATGTCATACATCAGATAATTTTATATTACTATTTTTTGGTCGTAAAAGTCCCGGGATATTAAATTCCTGTGCTTCAATAGATATAAATAGTAAGTTATATTATGCCAAAGAAAGCAGTGAACTAGATTCTTTTGTTTTTACTTAATTAACTAGCTCTTCAAGTTTCAAATTTCAATGAAGACGAGAAAATTCTTCGCCGATGGCGGCACTGTTCCTGTTTTGTAAAAGAAAATAATAGAATAATAATATTCGGTGGTTGTATTAGTGTGTCGAAATCGACGAATGATACGCTTTGTTTAAAAACAAACGGTGAACTTACTTCTACTCAAGTGATTCATTTCTTTCTTTTATTTTCTTTATTGTCTGTTGTTTAGTTTTCAGAAATAAAACCATCAAATCGAAACTCAGCTCGTTTAAATGCCTATAAGCATTTTGCTGTTCTTTCTTGTGGCTTATTAGAGAACAATGAGCCGACTAATGAAATTTGGCTTTTAGACACAACTAAACATGTGATGAATTGGACATTATTTCAAACAAATGGAACAGTCATACCAAGGTTAAATAAATCAGTCATTTTACGCGCTTTGACTACTTTTTTTCTTCCTTTCCAGATATTCACATAGTGCAGACGTTGTTGACGATACGCTTTGGTTGTTAGGTGGAATGAATGCTGATGAACGCAGACCACCAGGTTTATGTAAAATAAATTTAATCACTGGTGACGCTGTTGAGTATATAATACCAGTAATAGGAAAAAACAATAATTTCATTACTTATACTAAACTCGAGGTTTGTTTTTTTAATTTATTTAAGACAATGTGTGGCGATCAACCAATTATACTTTATAATCATCAAACAGTGCTGCTAAATAAAACAACGTTTCTTATATTAGGAGGCGGCGGAAATTGTTTTTCTTTTGGTATGATTTGAGAATACGCATTTATAGCGAATGTAATTTTTGTCATTATTTATTCTGTAGGTGCTCATATCAATCAGCCGATGACTCTTAAATTTGATCATTTAGTGAACTGAATTCTATGTTGACTCTAGAAATATTTATGATGTTGTTTTTTTTCTTCCATCGAGAAAATAAAAAAAATCATGAGATTATTTTTCTGTTTATCTGGCAGAGAGATTAAGACGAATTTTTGTATTTCATTAGAGATGTAACACTTGTAGATTCCAGTTGGAGTTTAGAAAATTATTTTTCTTTTTCTTTTTTGTCAGAATAGATAATAACATCAGAAGTGCAACATTCTCTTTTCCGTGAATATTACTTTTAAGCAGTATAACTTTCCGTATGAAACTAGTTTATTAAAACTAAATGCAAGTAAAAAATTACATTTAGTAACCATCGAGAATATAGCTTAGACATTCTGATAAACAAAGATGCCAAACACGAGTCGACTATAATCGAAAACGGCTTAAGCTACTATAAATAGATAGTATAAGAGAAATAAAATAATGTTCGTCGCTAGCTAAGGAGATGCGCATCTGTTTCATGTATTTGCTCAAATTACATTAGCAGTAGTCAAGAGAAGGCTTAAGGTCGTAGAAGTTCAATTACAATTCTTTCGTGACATATTAATTGAAGAAGTCTTTTTTATTTTTACTTTGATGGAATATACATATATATAGATATATATGAGTGAATTGCGCTGGCATTGTACGATTTGACGAAAAAAAATAAAAGTCGACTTAAATAATATTTAAGCAGTGCATTCGATAGAGCTCTATCAGTTCTATATAAACATAGTATTTTCCCAACTGTCGGCTCTCCCTTCAATAAAAAATTGAGTTTTATAATAATACGCATGTTTTTGGCAATATTTTGATACCATAAAATGCATGATTTTTTTCCGGTTTCTTCATAAAAAAATTCCGTATGAATATTTATATATTTGTATTAGATATCAATCGAAAGCTCTTGAAAAGGAGAATCTAATGCGTATGTGTAGATGATTATCTGCACATATACAAGCGTATAATCTACGTATGAAGGTGAGGGTACTACCACCCTAATTATACTTCCATTATTATGCCACTCACTATCAGAACTCTGGGTTTTTTAAGGTATTCAAAATTTTCACTGAATGTAAGAGTAATGTTTCTCCGTTTGAGGGGAGTCGATTGAAGTGAAATTAAATTATATTTTCTCTAAATATCTATCATTTTAATCTGTTGGAACATTTTTTGAGTAAAATACTGTTTTCTCATGAACGATACATGACTAAGAGCTGACATTTTTACCAAATATCTACCATATAGTTAGCTAAACAAGGTACAAAAATCGTGGCTCAATCTCTTATAGTTATCAAGAAATCAAAGAAACAGAATTCAAAATCTGTCGGGACATTTAGTAGAAAAATAGTACACCCCTCCTCTTATTTTTAGTTTTTTATTTGATCCAGAAGGCCCCTAGAAACAATTTCTTAATCAAAAGATTTCTCACACTTTAGTTTACCAATCGAGTTTGCTTTGAAACTGGCCTTAATAGATTGAATTTAATCTGTCGGGGCATAAAATGCTCAAAGTGCATGTTTAGGCGGTTTTTGCAAGATTTGATAGGTTAATCAAAACCAAAGTTGTGATCAAATTATATGATAAGAAAGAGAAAAGTCTTCGCAACAAAACTGTTTTAAAAAATTATTTTCATTCAATCAAAATTGTCGAACAGAAAAGTGATTTTCGTCGATTGATGGCACGAAAAAGCACTGATTTTTGCGTTTTCTTCTTAAGAACTTTGCAGCAATGTTAGCCAAAGACTTGATATTTTTACGGTAAGTAGGGAGTATTTGAAAAAATAAATTATTAAAATCGGTAGAGTAGAACTCGAGTTATAAGCATTTTTGTGTTGGAAATGCTATCGTACAATGGCAGCGCAATTCGCTCATATATGTATAGGCATTTTTTATTTATGTCATTGTTTTATTTATCGACATAGATTTGACAAATTTATTTTTTCGATGGATAAATTTCAGTGTTCTTCAAAACAAAACGCCGAGCATTAATTTTCACATGTCAATTCATGGAATATAATATTTGTAGTGTGCAACATACGACTATTGTTTCAGTTGGCAGCTAATTTTATGAGAAAGGGCGTAGGAAAATATTTTTATCTTTTATGATGGAAGTGTAGCGCAAATCTACTTGACGCGTATCATAGAAAAGAAAAAGAAGAATTACCTCTCGTTTCCTTTTTCTATTATCACAGGCAAAAGAAAATCTTTCTATACTTTATAATCATTGAAACGAAGGTCAACGAGATTAATATCTTTACATAGATAAAGATTTAATACAATGGCGCTTACTAAACGCTCGTGGATTTTACCGTTAGTCTGTCAAGTATGTGGTGATAGAGCACGTGGCATGAATTTCGAAGTCATGACATGTATGTCTTGCAAAGCTTTTTTTCGGCGGCATGCATTAAATTCGGCAGTAAGTTTTTAAAATAAAATTGAATAAATATGACGTTTTCTTGGATTAGGATCATCTAAAATGTCAACGTAATAATCATTGTGAAATTACTCGATTAACACGTGGTAGTTGTTCGGCTTGTCGTCTAAGAAAATGTTTTACACTTGGTATGAATCCAAAATTAATACGCTGCCAATTGAAAAATGAGAGTAAACCTTTAAAAAGCCAACGATTATCAAAGGTTTTCGTAGATATTTTGTTCTGTTCATTAGATATTTTTAATATTTCTAGCCAACACCACGTAATCTTCTTGAGCACGATATTTCCACTTTAACAAATGATGAATGGGATCTTTTATCAAATATTATTCATGCGTATGATAGAGAAAATTCAATTGAAAAAACCAAGCATATGCTAGAACAGCAATCATCTTTGCCGCCCAAGCTTCGAACGAAATCCACAATAATATTAGATATAGTTGGATCTTATTATTCTACAATTCAATCGTTCCTTTCAAATGTACCCTATTATAGTGATTTATCATTTGATGCTCGTCGAGCTCTGATAAAACATAATTCTGAGACTGTAGGATCATTTCATTCAGTATTTATTGTTCGTGAGTCGAATGCATTGAATCACGAAAGTTATATAGTCGGTTGTTCGAATATTTACGGTACTGAAAATTTTGATATACTAAGAAAGTTTATGTCAATATTAGATAAAAATGGAACACTAGTTAAAGCAATGCTCTTAATTATTTCTTTTGCTGGAAATTGTTCAAAAGTTGTATTAGACCATTCTGAATCTATGGGCATCATGTCAAATACTATATCGTCAGTTCGCATACAAAATATATTAATAACGATGTTCTGGAAATATTTAATCTATCAATACGGGTTTTTAGGAGCTGTTAAATGCTTTGACTCTTTTATCAGATATGTTCTAAATATAATTCTATGGACTGAAACAAATGATAGTGTTCAACATTCGGACATGCTCGACACAATCATTGAAAATACAACACGATTATTAATCGTGGAGGATTGAATAATCTCAAGAAATTTTAACGAATCTTAGTTTGTTGTCTAGTAATTTGTAAGCTTATGAAACTGAAAGAAAATATGTTAAATATTATTTGCTCTAACTGTAAATTCGTCTTTTTTTTCTTTTGGTTTCTTATATATGTTTCTACTTTTGTTAGTACGCGTGCATGTTGACCCAATGGGAAAAGTTCAGCAAGTGTTTAGAATCCATCCATCACAAATTCGTGATAAATTTAAGAACATATTGTTTTTTATTTGAAAGCAATTTTTAGTTTTGAAAAAATAAAACGATTTAAATTTTTCTATAGAAACGAACTTTTCTATTATAATGTTTTAATTAGTAAGCAATGTAAATTCTGCAAAGGGTTTCCCTCTAACAAAGATTAACACATGTGTCATGTAGGAATATATAACCCTGGGGATATATATGAGAAATTAAAACTCTATTCATATTAGAATGTTTTCTATAGAAGTAATTACAGCTCATGAAAGTAAAGTAAAACTCTGATGCATTCCGTTTTTATATTTAATCCTGGGGATATGAATCAGCAGTACTAATGAATTGTCCTGTTAAATAAAAGCAGAAGAAGAAGAAGAAGAAATAATATTCTCTTTATTTTATATTCAGCATGAATTGAATAATAGATTATATCTCATCATCAAAATGTCGTTTGATAAATACGACTAAAAGATAGTTTGATTTCACTAAACGTTTAACTGCATAAGCAAAGAATTTTCTGATTCATCGTCGTATTTTGTTTTGATTCAATGTTTCTCAAAGGATTTTATTTTAAATCAAAATCTTAGAAAAATACTTACGAGACAAATACTGAGTGAGTTTGTAACTTATCTCATTAATTTTCCATCTTATGGCAATTTTATCATTGACTGCAGAAACCTTTTCTGATGATCTATAACTCACAAACTTTGTGTCTAGTACTTCCGTTTTTTCTCATGATCTAGGGTTTGATGACAAAGAATCTAGGATTATTTTGATATAAAAACGTACCACTAGGAACTTCCGTATCGTGTGAACAGTTTTTATTACTGCCTGGATTTCGCATGATCGATAAAAAAAAAGAGAACTCAAGAAAGAAAAACTCGTTTGTAGAAGAAACATAACTAGGTGACATGAATAAATTGTCGTTCAAAAGGCAGTGGAAATATTTGGATACCTACTTGTAGACAATACAAGTAAATAAATAACACGACATCTATTGCTTTCATAACATTTAAAATTCTGCCATCCAAATATGATATGTTCAGTCATATCTAGTCATTACCGATGATACTGTTATTGAAGGCGGATGTGAATTGAAATAAAGCAAACAACTACGAAATGATCTACGGAATAGTTTGTAGCTTAATTAGATTATTTCATGTTCATTCATCCACAATACTAAAACAACGATTTCCAGGGTGTGCGCGTTCCTTGCTCTGGTGTAGAAAAGATTCACATCTTCAAGATCATACACAAACCTACAATCTAGATTCAAGTAACGTCGCATCACTATCTGTCTCTTAGTGTGGCACATGGCAAAGCACATATACGTCAATCAAATTAGAGCTTCATTGACTCTTGAATGAATATCATATTTTATTTTCTTATCAGATTATGAGTAGTCGCTATAAATTGAAAAACAAAAATTCATCAGGAGCCTCAGAAAATGACTGCGTACGTTAAGTACTGACTTTCCACCAAGCGTCACTAAATTCTGCATGATTCATAATCGTTTCGAAAGTTTTGGACCGGGACTATTTTGCACGAGACAGCGTGAAATTCGACGGCACAACAGTGGATCAAACGACTTGTGTGCTTTCTGTCGCTGGGTAGTGAAGTCTTCTTTAAGCGGTTTCTTTACGGTCAATATAATTACTGACCTGCAAGAAACGATGGGATTGAAAGATTTGTAGTTTGTTTTGGTGATCGTTGCCAGCTTCTCTCGATTATTTTTACTAACAGAGTCGTTGCTAAATATCATGATGATCAATTTTACTGCGGTAGCTTTCAAATAATCGAATGGGACAATTCTGACCATAGAAAGTTGGCATATGAGCTACTCATACTGAGCTCAGCTCAGGGTGTCGGTGTGAATGATACAAAAAGATACTCACACCCACACCCACCCGCCCGACGGTTATATAGCAGTTTTTTAAGCATACTTCTCGTGTATCTATTTCAGTCTATCATGCAGCATCTATCGCGTATGCTTTAATATTTTGCGAAAAAGTCTATAACTTTTACTTCAGAGAATGATTATGCGATTGAAAATATTCAACAGTTGACATATTTTTTCACATTGATAGAGTTTTTCTGAAGAATCTGTATATACGTTTGCATCCCTCTTCCAAAACATTAACGTTCCCTAGGCAAACTTGTTTTTCTTGTTATTGGCTCGTGCAGACCTCAAGACTTGCCCATACTGCATGATATGCTTGTTCGAGAATCTCAAGAAAGCCAAGAGGATGAGAGAAAAACATTTATTAGGATCCTGATAAAAAAAAACACCAGATATATCCTTGAAGGTTAAACTTACTTTGATGATACAAACATTCAATCTAGAGAATGATTGAAGCTCGAAACTACCCTTTTCCTCATAGAATATTTTTTCCTATGAGTATGAACTGCACAGATCTCAGGATTTGTTCATCACGTATAACTTTCTTGTTTCAAAAGTTCAAGAAACTGATGTGCATGAGAAACACGGTCCGACTAGGGCTAGTTGTTAGTGATGAAACAATAAAAATATCGGATAGGTCAATTTTTTACAGATGAAAATTTTTGATGAAAACGTTAAGACTTTTGCTAAGCCAAAAGCTTTAATCTGCCAAACTTTTGAAAACACCATTCGATACATTTTGATGTGCTCTTTCAAATGAGACTACTTTCAATGGGTACGATCTCACTGACCTGCCTAAGTTACCCAACATACGTGAGCATACTTTTTGAAAATCAAATATGATGCCAATTAAAATTTGTTCCAGGATGAAGTACTTTTAAAAGTTTCTAAAGATAGCCCGTAGTCGATAATATCTTTGGCGGAAAAATCTCAGCGATAATTATTATAACTTGGGAGAAAATAAAAATACACTGAAAAGTACTGTAATAAAAAAAAACGTCTAATTTTGATTGAGTACCCGTACTTTTAAGTGGTATATCTCGAGAACGCGTTTAAGCTTAAATTTTAGGCTTATTCCTAGCTCTAATGTAGGTAGCCACTGTAAAAAAGTTAGCGAAATTCGTGAGATCGATTGAGTAAGGTTTTGCTGAAGACGGTCGTGGCTTAGGTGCAATGCCTCTTAAGTGATTGCTCTATTGTTGTAGTAGATTATTCTGAAAATATTCAAATAACAATCAATCTAAAAATGCTTGTTGAAACACAAGATATACCTGTAACAATGCTTTGAAAATATTTAAGTTATCAATATGGTTTCAATGAAGCGACATTAAGATTTCTATCGTTGATTAAAAGTATATTAGATTTAATTGAAAAAATGGAAAAATCGGCAAGTGTTCGAAAATATTGGTCTATGGTTGGAAATGTTGTCGAACAGACGGCGCGATCATTAACGTTCGGGCATGGTCAACCGTACAATTAGAATTTCTTTCTTTACCGATTCTTGTCATTTGAGTCCATTTGTTCCAACGAATAAAATATATTTCCTCAGCCATATTTATTAAAGTCAAACCAAGTATTTAATCACCTTTTTTTTGTTCTTCTGTAGCTAACAATAAATCAGAATAATCTAACGAGATGTTCACGGTGATAATTCACTTCATAGGATATGATGGAAACAAAACATAATGAATATAAGAGAGAATGTGAAGGAACATAGATGCGTGTCTTAGTGAGACGACAGCAATTAGATTTAAATCAGAGATAGGATTGAAATATGCATGTGATGGCGTGCTTTCGATTGTACTGTATGTCACTGTGAAATTAAATGGAGCGAAAATAAAATAATGGCAGCAGATGAATTATGAAGTGTAGCAAGTTAATCTTCTCAACTAGACTTATATTTTTCTTGTGTGTAGAATACACAAACATGTTCTAATGTACATTATTGTATAGTGTATATCTCTTTTATGTGCATGTTAAATATTATTCACGTGATAACCAAATAGAGAGATACCAATGGTGGTTCGTTCAGCGATTATATACAGAATGAGAAGAAAGAAAAAGATGATGATGACGTGTGGTGTGTGTGGTGTTTTCTGATTGGAGTAATTGATTTGTGTACTTTTCAAATCAAATATGATTGAAGTAAAATCACGAAAAATTTGATGGTACGATATTTAAAACAGTAAATGGTATTTCCCAAAAATTAAAAAGATTAAAATAAATCGTAAGAATGTACAATCTCATTGGAAGAGAGATATGGTGATCCGGGGTGTGTGTACTGTCCCTGCTCACTTTTCTAGAGAGATCGTTTTCAAAAATGATTAATCGAGAAAAATTCAAATTCTGTAACGCCCAGCAACCACATGATGATTGGGATGGGTACCTCCCTCTCCATATCCCAGAATTGAGATCGAGGCGATAATATCTCTCTCTCTCTGCCGTTTTCTTCTTTAATTTTTTAAAATCCCTTGCTTCTTGAAAATGACCCATTCTCTTCAGTATTTTCGGAAGTAAAATAGACCTAGATATGGACTTCCAAAAGAAATATGCTTTTCTAAAATTTGCTAAGGCTTTTTTAATTGCACATTCTACAGCTATGAAGGAAAACTTCATTACAGTCTAATGTTTGTTTTGGTTGCAAGAAAACATTCTGATTCTACACTAAAGCTTGAGTTTATGCTGAGATTTTCTTGAGATTTAAATGCAATTATTCTAAGATAGACTTTTTATGAGTAGAGGCTTTAAGAAAAAGTAACAGATGTGATTAACATAACGATTGTTTTTCAATTAGTTCTTCTCTCCGAATACTTCAAGTGTTTTTTATGATACCCGATGTGACCATATCTAAAATATGTGAACCATTTTGAAGTAAATGCATGCGTCTCTTTGTTATTATTATTGATGATCAGCTAAGTCTTGATATCTTTCATACCATTCATATTTAGCGAAATTGAAGAGAGATTTAACAAAATTTTGTGATCTCTGTTCTTCGTATACTGCAAAAAACGTTTTCTACGTAATCAGATATGACAGCCGTTGATAACTTGGCAATCATATTAAACAGAAAATCCAGCATTTTTGTTTTTGATTATTAATTTTGCTCACGTTTTGTTTCTTAACCAATCAGTAAACGTTGAAATCTTAAATTTTAATATTTTTTCTCTAGTGATAATCAAATTTCGTCATTAACCAATTGAATATCCCAATAGAGAGATAACGTTTAAAGAAAGAACATGTCGCTCTAATTTTTTTAAGTGACAGTTGCTTAAGAGAATAGAAGAGAATTATTTTGATTAGAAGGGATTGTTCCAATGCCGACAGTCTTCCGGTCAAGCAAGCTCTGCTTATTAAAGTAAAAAGATTTATATCGATGAGGTCACATAGGAAAAAAAACAGTACTCGATTGGTATCGAAATTATAACAATGTTTTTTTTTTTTATAGCCTCTTGTATTCAATAAAATGTCATCAATTTCTTACAACATGTCGTAAGTCGCAGGCAAAGTTTCATCACTTTTACCTCTATGGATTTTTTCGTGAAATAAGAAGAGCCTCTCTTCTGAGTCCCAGCCAGTGGTGGATCTGGTAGCAGGGATAGTTGTAAATCTAGAATTCACGCTTTTTTCTGGTGATTTCCTTGTGGAAATTTCACATTTTTGATTCATTAACAATCGCCTTGGGCTACTTCCGGATTCTCAACATGTTAGAACGATTTTCTTTAGCATCACGACAACTGCACATCTTATTTGAGGCATATCGAGTTGTGAATAAATAAATGGAATTGAATGAATGCTGTTTAAACACTCAAAAAACATTCCAAGTGACACCACTGATTAAGCAAATAAAATATAATAGGTACGATGTTTCTTCCTATTTAGTTAGCTCAACTTTCAATGTGTATTCTTTGTAGCTCGCAAATATATGGAAGAAAATTTCCAGATATTTATAAAAATCAGTCGAATCATTTTTTTTCCCTTTTATTTGTCTGTAATTGCGTCAGTTTTTCTCCTTCTTCCTTTCAATTAGTAGTATCGAAGCACAATTCATCACAAATAGACAGACAAGAGAATGAAAGACTCCATCAACCAATAGGAATATTCCGTTGAGTAAAGGCCATATCCATCGTTAAGCACACCTCTCCCTCTCTCTATCGGCTGTCTTCCGCTCTTTTACATCTATCATCAATCAGTCGTAGTCTGCACGACGATGATCGAGTTACAATTTTCTCTATACGCGCTCTGAGTCCGCCAACGAGAGTGCGGCTTTTTCTCTCTCCTTTTTGTTCGTTCGTGCGCTCGCTCGCGTTGATGGTAAAATAAAGAAGAAGAAAAAAAAAGGAAAAAATATTCATCCAACGTTGTGCACGACGCGCATACACATACAGACATAACACTCATTCGGTCGCAAAATATATGAGGAGAAAGCAATCTTCGTTTTCTTCTTCTTTCTTTCTCTTCTTTTCTTTCTTGTGTGCTGTGTAGATGGATGTGATGTTGCAAGACTCCACGAGCAGTAGACACGACGTGCAATGTATGAAAATGTAAGAAAAACTAGTGAGTAATATATTTATATACAGGCAGATAGATAGATAAAGATCACATGATGTTTTTTTTTGTTTTACTGAGAACTATGCGCAGGTTTTTACTTCTAAACTACGAGAATACTATGTATATTTATCCTTGAGAATATCAAGCAATTGTCAAATAATTATAACGGTTGTGTTTACAAGACATTCCGATAGAAATTGTAGGCATGAGTTTTCTTCCTTTTTTCTTCTTCTCCTCCTTCTCATTGATGGGCGATGATTATCTTCGGTTGCCCGCGTCGTCGCCGACCGCTTGGCTCGACCATCATTCTTGCGTTAGTGACGACCCACGACATCGTCTACTCTCAGCTACTACTACCACTGCTAGTAGTAGTAATAGAAAATTCAACAGCGTTGCTACCGCTGTTACTTCTTCTTGTTCTGTTCTCTTCGTCTTGATCGGGACAAAAAAGGGACGTGCCCGCTATCGTTCTCGCCGCTTTTTTTTGATACTCTATAACACATAGAAAGAAAGAAAGAAAGAAAGGTTGAACCTTTTTCTTTTTTTTTTACACTGCCCCAATGCTTGATTGCTTTTTCTCTATCGCTTTGTGTTGTATGAGTGTGTATGTGTGCACTTATCAGAACAACTCGCGTTTGCGCCCGTTCATGTTGACTTAGTCTAAAAGAGTAACCCTACTGTCTACTGATCACAAACTAAACATGCTCAAACACGAAGAGACAACATGAAATTCGTTTAATTAATACATTGAATTAGGCTTTTTGCTCTTCATTCTTTCTAATTATCTACAGGTGTCGACTCAATTTCAACCGTATTGTTATCTCGTATATTTCTTCTTTTATTTTATAGCTTTGCCTCCCCTATATTGATATTAGATACTCACCTCCATGATATGAATAGTGTGTGAAAAGCTCATTTTATGCTCATAGTAGTTTTTGACAAGTAATATGTGATTTATCATTATGATTGATATTTTAGATGAGTAAAGTCGTTGTAGACTCGTTTCTTGTTAATTCCCTATTCAAATGTTCTCTATGCCATGGGCTTATTCGTTCACCTACAGTTATCAATGAATGTCTGCATCGATGTAAGTTTGCTTTTTTTAATTTTCATTTAATCAATCTGTATGAAAATAATTTTCATTTATTATAGTTTGCAAAGTCTGTATAACGAATCATTTCGAAAAAAATAATAATGATAAATGTCCGACGTGTCAAACGTCTATTGCTAATCCAATGGATACGCTAAAGTAAGTCTCTCTCTCTATATATATATAGCATAGGAAATAGATGTTTAAAAATTTTCTCTTCATTCTTTAGAACTGATCTCACTTTTCAACGACTTTTGTATAAAATTTTTCCATCTATTTTTCAACGTAAGTTAATAATTATTTTTCGATTTATTGTTTCTATGAAACACGTTTATTTTACTAGGTGAAATTGCATGTAAACCTTCTCTACTATCATCAACAATCACTAATGGTAATTAATGATTTTGACCCAAAGGCAAAAACAAAATATATGTATATTTCTTCATTTATACTTTAGAATCTTCACGTATTTATATCGATTCAACAATCGATGTTTATCTCGAATATTGGGATATGTAAGTTAGATTTTTCTGTTCCTGATGTCGGACTCTTTTCTCCATTGTGTATCAATGAGTTCATTTCATTGGCTAAATTTCGTTTTCCGAAATACGAAAAGAAACGAACCAATTAATTCGTATTTTTGTTTTTCTTCTTTCAGGTCATTGGATCTGTTTCCAAATAGTAATCAATCAACTGTAACAGTAAATAATTTTTTCTAACATAAATTTATTTTTATTCTATTCTATTCTATATAGTTACCTCCATGTTATTTGGAATGTAAAGCAAATACACCGTTACAATTGTTGGAAAAATTTATTCGAATTAAACATTCATTATCATCTGACCTGCACGTAAGAGAAAATTGATGTTATTTCTTTCTCATGTGAATTACTTAGAAAAATTTCTTTTTTAGGTTGATCTTTTTTACAAAACATTTTTATTAAATACCGATAATGAAAAATTAATTGATATTTGCTATTGTTTCGATCGTATGAGTAAAGTAAGTTCTTTTTTCTTCTTCTTCTTCTTCCTCTACTTCAAATAGTAATCATTCATTGTACTTTGATTTTATAGAGTGAAACACTTGATATTCGATTTCTTGTTAGTCCGTATGGTTATAAAGCAATTCTAAAGCGTATTCGTGAATTAAAACATCCTGCTCCATCAGCAATCGAAGTTAAAGAACAAACACCGTTACAAATTGTAGTTCCAGAAAAAGAAAATCCAACAATAATCGTACCTCCATCATCAGTATCTTCGGTATCGTCGAATTCGAGTTCGATAGATCCAAAACTAAAAGTCAAAATCCGTCGATCTCAAACATCAACAAACAATTGGTATATTCCACAGTCAAAAACAACTGATGAACCCGTTGAATTACCTGATCTAGTCAATTCATGTGAAACATTAACTAAAACTACCAAACGTAAACAACCATCAGCCAATGAATCAACAAAAAAGAAGCCTTGCACGACATCATCATTTTTTTCTGTTCGCCATACATCACCACCAAAACGACCATCATTACCAAAACCACCTACGAAACCTCGCCGACGTACACGCTTTATTCCGACAATGGTCAAAGCTCCTATGTCAATATTTGATCGTTTATCTATGAATCGATATGATTATAGTGATCAAGATTCAGATGATTCACCACTATGTCCACCGAGTGAACTGCTTGAACAAAACGTAACAACATTTAGACCATCAGAAATGGTCATTGTTAATGTCGAAGGCAATGTAACAGATGCTTCAGAAACAAAACGAACACAAAAAACAATATGTAAAGTACCACCGTATATTCCGGAAGCTGCAACAATCATAAACTCTCCACCGGAGAAATCTTCATCAGTCGTTAAACCAACACCTATCTATGCGACAATGTCACCGACAAGACGAACGTTATTGCCGAAAAAAATTCCGACTCTTATGCCAACACTTACATATCGAGCACCATCACCGGATTTGGCTAATACAACTCCGCTTGATTTAAGTTTGAAATGAATCAATAAATGAAGCGTGTCAGATAAAAAGAAGCGTTGCGTTTTGTTTGTTTTGCATTATGTATTTTATTCTATTTGCGATAGAAGGAACAGTGATTGATTGAGTTCATTTTTTTTGTGTATCTATATACCTTGGCTTGTTTGTTGTGTGTATGTATGAACCGAGTTGAAAGAAAAGGAATATAACCGTTGGATTTATTTAACTATATTTGTTTTAATGAATGTATTGATATGATTAGAAAAAAAAAGTGTATAGAAAAAAACAAACTAATCAGGAAAGAAAAATGAAAACAAATAAAATTGTCTCTATTTAACTAATTATATGATGGGTAAAGATCAATGGCAGCTATAAGCATAAGATGTGTTTTCGAGAGCCATCACTTCAAAGTTTATTCTGCTTGAAATAAAATAGTTCAGAAAATGTTGCTTCAATCGAAGTGATTGCTACTGGCACCGATCAATATACAGTATATATTTTGAAGTTGTTGTCTACAAAGAAGTGCTAGATAAAATGAACAGTGACCGGTATTGTAACGAATCAAGATGTTCGTTTTTCGACCAATACTGAACATATTTTTATCATCTTTAATCGAAGTTAATCCTTAATCGCCTTATTTAGTTTGATTTCTTTAACTTTTTCGATAAAGTTCAACATAGTGATTTATACATCGAGTTGACTGTTATTGGCCGATAGAACAGTGTGTTACAAGCAAAACTTTTACAATAAATAACTGAGAAAAAAAATATCAGCAGATTTCGACTACGTCTTCTTATCCGTTAGAAATGATTTATTTTCAAAATTTCTTAAATTTTTTGTTTTTGACTTCTGAAGTAATCATCAAATAAATCACGAGATAGAAAAATAAAGTCGAATAGGCAGATTTGTTTTACTTAAATTTATTCAAGAGTAACACTTGATTTCTATTGGTCAATTTGAAATATGTGTGATCAATGTTTTCTGTTCAAAAAAAGGAAATCGATCTAAAAATCAATTCTACTCTATTTCACATGTAATATTTCTTTTTATATATGTAAATCATGAAGACTGGTGACAGTCTGGCTGCATTTTAATGATACAAAAAAATCAACTAAACGGTAAATGATAATGAATTGTTGGACAAAGATCATAAAATAATTCAGTATTAAGTATCATATTGTCTTTTGATCTTGTTCATAGCCGTAATCAGATAATAACTCAAAACGCTGAATTTCTTTATTAAGTTAAATTATCTTAGCAAACTTCAACCAAACGAGAACATATGAGAAAAAGAGTTCGTTCCATGTCTTTGTCGAAATTTTTGTATGTAACTAGCATGGGAGAGTGATATCTTGGTATCATTTTTACTAATGTGGTGGATCTATTAAATGGGAAGAAGGTATGGAAAACAATCTCAGGATCATTTGCATACTCATTGCATGCTGTTGTTGCTATAACATGTTTCGATTTACAACGAGTGAACAGAATACGCAAATTCTAAATTATTTGAATTTTCAACACACTGTTAAACGTATAAACAAGAACTGTATCGAATCAAGGTGTAATCGAATTATGTAAAGCATCTCAACCGAGAAAACTACGTGCTAGAGAAACTGTGGAGGTTATGAAGAGAAGAGCAAGCGAAGAAACTAAATCAATTTCCAAAATTTAACGTGAGGAAACAGCTGCTTTCAGAATGAGAAATCCTTCTTTTTTTCTGTTGTATGAAACTTGATATAAAATAAATATTAGATAAACCAATAGGAGTCATCTTTAGAATGGGACGAGTTACAGATCGATTTTTTCTCTTTATCGGACGAAAAAAGAGAGCAAAATAGGGCCGAACACACGTGGGCCCAATCAGAGTGTCACCCGAAAAAGTTCTTATTTCTGATTTTTAAAAGAGACAGATCTTCTTTGTATGATTTATTAGAGTTCGAAATTTACTTCCTATCTATGATATACTATTAAAACTAAAGGAGGAAATATAATTTGTACCAGTCCGAATCAAATCTATTGATGATTATGTGCTTATTTTATCATTCAACTTTGATTTTCATGGATTGAACATTTATTTTTCGCTTTGTCCGGATACGGCTGAATTCAAGAAGAAAACATGCATTTGAATGGGTTTTTTTCTCACGCTTTATATTTTCTATTTGATAACGATCGTTTTACTCTTCATGCAAATGTACCAATTTCCCCAAAAGGATTAATTAAGAATGTTTTTACGAACTAAATAATTCGGCTTTAAATATTAGGATGTGATACCCTGAATGCTCACAGCAAGTGACTCTGACTCGAAAATAGCAATTTCTTAGCCAAGCTGAGTTAGTAATGCTTTTTCAAAAGTTCAACAGTCTAGAAAAATAAATTTCTCTAAATAAAACAAATTAATTCTACTCCTACTTTTGCATGCTTTTGTGCACAGATAAGCAGAGAAAACCTTTTCAACAATTGCGTATTTTAAAGCATAACCCTTGCTGTTCAAATTAAACATCTTTTACTCGAGCCATGAGAATTGATTTCAGTGCGTTGTTGGAAATTTTATTATTATGTATCATTCGTTCTGGTCTAATTTAAGACCAAAAAAAAACATATCAAGGGTGTGATGTCTTCGACGAGAGCATATTTTCTGTTCTGTGTAGACTTGGCTTTTTCATTATCCAATTAGATTATTCTGAACATCTGCAATCATCCGAACAATAAAAATAATTGCTATGTTTCTCATCGTTCAAGATTGACATTCGGCCTTCCAAAATTTACGTTAGCCGAAGCACAATTGCATAAAGTTTTGTTTTTGCTAGCAGTACAAAAACATATTTTTCTTCTTTTTTTTCCTTTCATTATTTATACTTAAAAATGGTGAGAGTACTCATAGCTCGAAGAATCACTTATCATCATATTAATACTATATAAATTACAGTAAAGCACAATACAAGCGTCATTATAATTAGAGGTGTCAGCCGTACGGCTGAGCCGCCGCAGCCACCCAATTACCGGTAATTTTAAGAATTTTTGGGGAGCGGCCGCTGCGAAAAAACAAGCTTAGCCGTTGCACCGCTGCAAGAAATAAACATTTTTGATAGCGTCATCCGCCGCTGATGACATCAATACATATGCGATCGAATCGAACATTTTTCTTTTAATTCTCATCAGTGAATTCTAACTCAGCCGCCGCTGAATACATTACTCATTCAAATAACGACCCGCTGGAAATCTTCAAAAACTGAAAATTGTTACCCGCCGCCGCCGCCGTTCAATCCTTCGGCTGGCACCTGTAAGTATAACAACGAAACATGTAGTTTGTTCACTTTTGATTTGTCGAATATGTGGTGCTGTGACTCGCGGCTTGAACGTTGATGTTTTGGCTTGTATGGCTTGTAAAGTTTTTTCTCGATGAAATGCACTGCGAGTAGGAGTAAGTTTTTTATTTTAATTCACAAAACAATTTAGATACATCTATTGAACAGCCTACATCGAGATGTACACAAAAATCGAACTGTCAAATAACAATGAAAACACGAACAAAATGTTCTGGTTGTCGTCTGAGAAAATGTTTTAAATTCGGCATGAAATCACATTTAATTCGTACTTTAAACCTACATCAACAAACTATTTACAATAATGCAGGGCAAGCCATAGCGATCAACTAACAACAGATTTCAATGCTGCCACTAAGATTTTTTCTTGAAAAATATATTTGTTTCATGATTACATATTATAGTTTGAACCAACTGATCTCCATCTAAATAATCATTCAAGATTCGCCAGTGAATCATGGGATTTTCTTTCGAATATTATGCATATCTATGATGAACACACTATTATGAATAATATAAAATCGCTATTAGTTGAATTCGTCTCTAACAGATAATCTCCCTCTAAAACATACTTTCGATTAAATTCTATTCTATACGATTCGTAGTTAGTTTTTCTTTCATAACCTCCTGTCTATTAAAAATGTATCTCATTTTGAATTAATAATCATACTTTAGAATGCTTCGTTTATCAATATGAATACTCTTCAGTAACTATTGACTTTTCTTTTCTCAGCAATGAGAAGAACTCGGGTCAATGACTTTGACATCGTGATTCATGATTTTCAATCAGATTTTCGACGGAAGAAAGACACTATTTCCGGCCCGGAGAAATTTTAAAATAATAAAAATTTAGACAGAGATCCGATTGCAGCCAGATCTAATCTGCTTCAGATTTCTCTTTTCATGCTCCTGAAATTACTTATAGCTTTCCGGACTAAAACGACCTGTTTTCTTTCCTCGGCCTGAACGCATTCGATATTCGATTATTTTCATCAAAATGATTCTCACTGAAGATTCATTGGAGCTAATAATTAGGAAAATAAAAACAAGATAATAGAATTGAGTAAATCAGATAAAAGACAACGCTATTCTACTATTTATTTCCATTCCAATCAACTCATACATTTTTCTAGAAGCAAAGATTTCGAACACGAGAATGAATATTAAAAAAAGTCGTTTCTAATGTCGAATATATAATACAAAGTTGAAAACACACATATTCTTTAAGAATTAGGAAAGAACAAAAACATTTTCACGCCGTTATTAGAACATCTCCATTTTGCAGACGTGTTATTTTCGGTAATGGCGATCGCTTCTTTGTTACATGTTCATTAGTTGTCAGAGCAGCATGATCGATAAATGGATTAATGCGTGATAGTGATGGCGATCGAATATTTAATGGTATGCGACGCCTATCATCAATTGTTTGTTGTTGTCGATGAAATCGAGGCGATAAATTTGTTTGTGGTACAAGACCATGGGCAAACGGTGGTTTTGGTAAATAATTTTCACAATATGAAGATGTTATTGTTGCGACGGTTTGCTGTTTTAATTGATGATGATAATCGTGATGTGTGGGCGAGTCCGTTGACGTAGTGGTTGATGTTGATGGAGCAAATGACGATGATGAAACTTTATCTTCCAACGAGTTCGACGGAATACGCAAACGACGTGATTTAATAAGTATTGTTATAATAATTATAATAAGAGCAAAAAATAATATTATCGCTATTGCTATAAAAATAAGCGTGCGAATAAATGCTGCTGTTTGATCATCAGAAGCAAGATTTTTATATGTTGACGATAATAAACTAAATGTTGATGTTACTGTTGTTGTTGAAGAAACGGGAATTTCACTGAATGATTCTTCATGCGTTTGCCGAAATATTGCTAATGGACGACATTGATTACCATCACAATATGTACCTAAAATAAAATAAAGTCGAAATTTTCTTTCCATTGTTATTGTTACCTGTGGGACATTTTCTTATATTTGATCCAATTGTTGGATTATCATGATAATCAAATCGACATATCCCTGTTGGTTCTAATTCACAATCGAAGACCCCATTAATTTTTCTTACTTTCCGTGTAGATTTCGGACAAACACAATGCGATGTTTCACTTTTATCACACCATTGCAAACAACGTCTTGGATATTTTGTACAATTACTTTGATCGATTGAATCCGTACAAAAACGTCCAACACCTGCTATATCCATATTAGAAATATTTTCATTATGACATTGACATGTTTTGCTTAATTTATCGCAATAAATGAGATTTTTAATTGAATAGGAACTTTGACAGTCTTCATCATATTGACATTTTGTATTAATTGGTTTTTCATAATTAACTTTAAAATTAAATGTTTCATTTGATGCTGTTAAATAGACAATTTCTCGTGAACAATCATAGGCTTTACATGAACGAAGAGAAATTTCTCCTAAATAAAAACACAAAAATAAATCGGTCGCTTTTTGTTCGATATTTTACATTTCTACAAACCTGGTTGTAGGAAAAGAACGGATCGTTGATCAAGATCAGTTATATTCATAACACTCAATTGTGTTGTCATATATTCCGCTGATGATAGTAATCGGTTAGGATATTTATTATTATGTCTCATCGTATATTGACATTCAGTAAATGTCAAATTAACCGGCTGATGAGAACATTTTATGAGTAGAGGTACGAGTAACATCCAACGATTTCCTAAATTATAAATAAGTGTATTATTATTATTATTATGTTGACCGGTTGAATAATGGCCAACAAAATCGATTGAATTTGAATTGAGAATATTTGCACCAAATGATATATAAAGATTTGTATCGAATACACATTCAGTCAATATAACAGACGTACGAATATATGGACAAGAAGCCAATATTTGACTCACAAGAATGTGAATATAAATAAAAAACAATCGAATAAACATGGCATGGTATGTCTAGTGTATTCACATTGTGATCTGAAGAGAGAAATAAGCAGACTTGCAGCCGTCGATATAAAATATTGTTAATATGAAATAATGTGATTGAAACCGGGTGGGCGTTGTTGTCCTGTCGTTCGCTAGTCTCCTCCTCTCATAATCATCATCATTATTATTATTCTATGGCACTCAATAAAATATCAGATGCGGTGAATGTTTCTCATCAACTATCGACGTCTTGCGAATGTTGTCGTTCAGTTTTTTCTGTTATACTAATGTAATAGACTTTCGCTTACTCGGTATATAGAATTAATCTTCAATATTCGACTTATAAACGAGTTCTTTTGTTTATGTATACTTGCCTATTGTGTAGACAGCTAAAATCAGAATGTAGAATGATTTGTGCTAATGTGAAAGAAAAATAATATAAGCCTGAATTGATGATGTTTTACTTAGACTGACCAAATTGAATAGGTTGTTCACTCACGAGTGCTAATAGGTTCCTTCTTGTATGCTTTATAATATGTGGTGATGGTGGTCGTCTAGTGATGATTGTAGATAATCGTGTCGAATTTCCGCATTACTCTTATTCTTCTTCTTCTCGAACGTTTACATCATACACATACGTATGAAAATGGCCTAGAGGAGTTTTTTTCTGTCTCTCTCTCTTTCTCGTTCCCATCCGTTGTTTGTACAAATCATCTAAAAGATAATGATTTTGTGATACATGTTTATGTATGCACACATACGATAGCGTTCCGGTTTTCTTTTTCTTTTTCTTTTTCTCTTTCTTCATGAACACATACTCACTGGAAAACGATACTAATTTACTTGGTCTATTCGTGTGTCTATTTTGCCTGACACATTCAAATGAATGTATTTTACCTGTAGTAGTAATTGACTTGGCTGGACATATGGCTCTTAATGCCAATGGCAACAATAAAAATTAAATAAAGAATCCTATTTCTATTTTGGAAATGGTTATTGATGATTGACAGTTGTGAGATTATATGACGACACAGTTCATTTAATAAATATAGGGTATTGTTAGTGTTTAGCCGATGATGGTACGCCACATCATATGTGCTCGGAAATGAATGTATTGCCTCGAGACACTCGAATTTGATGGTATTGATTATGTAAGAAGAGAAACAATTTGTACGCTCGCTCTAATAATATATGTGAATGATCACTTCTTAACAAGATTGATTTTCTTTCTCATTTTCGAACAGATGCGAATAAACATTCCATTGACTCACGTACACTTTTGAAGATGAACAAAACAATATATTATGATTTATGTGTCTAAAGATGATTATCATTTATTGTTTTTCTTTCAACTGCTCAAGATACTGAGCAATCTACAACTATTTAATGTCAAAGAAATATCATCACTACATGACTGTCATGGCCGATATATGATTTGTTGTTGTTTACAAGATGTGAACGTCGATAAGATTCATTCATTGATCTATGTATATTCAGATGTGAACCAAATAAACGTTAGATATTTTTCTAACAAATAATAATAAGCAGTAATTTGAGCTAATATTTATTTTTTACATTTCTATTTCCTATCAAAAAATTTGCAAAAAACAAAATTCAATAGAATTGGTTGATTAATATTCTTGTTCAAGATCATACTAATGATATATTTATTATGACATTTTGATTACATGGCATTCGCAAATGTCAATGATAAGCGAAGATATTCGCTCCTGCTCAATAATGATTATTAATGTTAGACGTTCGCAAAAAAAAAGAGAGAAGTTTATTCATCATCAATATTAGTGCCAATGATAAGTGCACGTTGATATGCATCAAGTTTTTCTAAGGGCACTTTAGGCAGATTTTCATAGGAACCTATAGAAGACAAAAAAATTATCTAGTGACACTTTTTTCTTCTTTCCGCAAAAGCTCTTACTCGATTCTGTTAATTCAGTACTCCAATGTGTTAATGTACAATTATTTTGTACTAATAATTTTCTTTTCTTTCGAAATTGATCTAAGGTTTGATTGCGTACGAATGATGCTGGACTCATACTAACATAGGCAACAACACGTAACAGATCCGTTGGACGACTTCTTAATTGTTCATCAGAAACAAACGCGCACGAATTACAATGTATAAGACGAGAATCCCACAGAACGAGATCGCCGGATTGACATTGAATGAATTTTCCTACTGCTTTTCCTCGATCGAGAATCGAATGAGTACTTGGAACTGCAACGAAATCGTTTGGACGACGTGCTTGATTTTTTAGTTCATGAAAACGTAAATGTGTATAGGGAAAAACAATGAGGCCGCCGGTTGTTTCATTTTGATCAGTTAATGAAACGAAACCTTGTACACAGCATCGATCAGGTTTTAAATCAGGATTTTGATCGGCATGATACCAGCCTGTCGTTGTTTTCCATTTCGGTTCATAATGCCAATTACGAAAAACGCCACAACCATCAAAGGAAACTAGCAATTCATTTGTAGTCCATATTTGAGAATAGACCCGTTTTATATTTCGATTTGAACGAACATTCCACATGAAATCAGATTGTCCAATACCACAATCATTAATTATACCGAACAAACCATTGCCAGGCCTAGAAAAAAACACGTATCTTATAAAATTTGTATAAGTATTAGTTTTCAATACCAATTCTTTGACCATGTTGTTGGATCATGACGTTGAATATGATACCCAGGAATGTTCTCGAAAAAATTCCATAATAAATCTTTATTAATATTAATCTCATTTTGCAACATAACATCACTAAATATAGCATAACCGTGCTCATTTAAATGAACGATACCATCGTTGAGACTTTCATTATTCGTTACGGAAAAACGTGGTGTTAATGTTGTATAATCGATATGTATCTGATTTTTGTCTAAACAATAATTGATTTGATTATGAGTAGACATTATTATTACTTAATTGAAATTGCTGCTCAGCTCAAGTTACTTACATATAAATATTCAGAGTAATTTCCACATTACTTAGGAGAATTACGTAATGACTGACTAATAAAAGAATTCTATATGGTTATTTCGCAATACCGATGTTTTCTACACTGCGATACATTTGAAATAAAGCATTAAATTACGGTTACTGTTTTTTTTTATTAAAACAAAAAAGAAAAAACATAATAATGAAATCTTCTTTCCTAAGCTTTGAAGAACAAGAGAGAGAGAGAGAGAGAGAGAAAAGCATCACATCACAAAGAAAAATGAAAGAAGAGAAAGAGCTTAACCAACAAAACGACGTTAAAATAAAATAATATGTTTATTTATTGCCACGTTTCACTGTATTGAGCTCTATTAATACCTTTGTCATCAAGTAATACTATTTTCACATTATCACCTTGATTTGTATTAGTCCATGCTGAAATTGATGGTGCGACGAGCCGCGCATTGGCTACTGCGCTATTTCCAATATTCTCAACTTTATTAGAATAAACGCGTACGCGCGTTCGAGCTCTAAGTACGTATGTATCAGCAAATTGAAAACAACATTCAGGTCCATTATTTATAGTATGAACAAGTGTCCAGCCTTTAAGTGGTTGATCAACACAATGTGTTGCTGCATTATTAATCGATATAAAACCAGCTTGAACTTGATCAATATCAAATTTACCTAAAATAATATTACATATGAATATTGAACCTTCTTCAAAAGCATTTTTAGTATTTCTTCCTTTAATCTCACCAGATTTTGATATAGCACGTTGTGCCTCAGGTTTTTTTACTGTAACTATTTGCCGAGGTTCTTCAATAGGAATATGTTCGTCTTTACCATTTGATAATACTACATGCTTATTATTATTGGTGATGACACTTGTAGTACTATTATTATTATTATTATTATTATTATTATTAATAGTAGGTAATGATTTTGACGTTTCTAAATCTAATAATTTTCTATACGTCTCTAATTCAAAATGTACAGAAAACCAATATTGTTTTCCAACTTCGATAGCTTGTGTTAAATGATTTACGTCATTGGCTAAACGATTGTATTCGTTATCAAGGCGAATACGTTCTTCATCAGTTTGATTTTTTTCTTTTTGTTTTATTAGATAGAGATCGACTAAGGGTCGATATTCATTGTCAATATCTTGACGAACTTTTTCAACTTGTTTAAGTTCATTTTGTAATGTATCAATGGAAGCTCGAGTCGCTACTAATGGTTGTTGTTGTTGTTGTTTAGTTGTTTCGTATGCTAACAATTGCGTTTTAGCTTGTTCCATACGATCAGCATAAGAATTTTCAAGTAGAGCTTTATTGTGTTTCAATAAAATTTGAAAATCATGTTTTATATCTTCAATTGCTTTGCCTAATTCATCGGCATAAAATTGTTTTTGTTTAGTTTGTTCGTTGCCTAGAAAAAATACTTGAGAATTTTTTAGTAATGGTGCTTCGCAAACTTCTTACCTAGTTCAGCTTTTTCTGTCTCGTACGTTGCCTTTTTAAATAGTATTTGTTCTTCAATGGTACGAAGATTATTTTGAAGTCGAATATTATTCAACGTAAGATCGTGTAATTCATCTTCAAGTTTTTTATATAAATCATTCATTAGATTCATTTGATTTTTGCTAGCTTGAGCTATTTTTTCTAAATCTTCGTAACTACGTTTTAATTCTTGCAATTGTACTGATGTTTGTTGATATTCATTTTCTAATAATGGACGCCGTTTTACATATGAATTATCTTCTTCGGTACGAATCTTATCTTTTAGTAACGCTAATTCTTTTAATGCTCGATCATGTTTAATAATAAAATGTTCGGTTAATACAGCTGATTCATCGATTTCCGTACGTAATTCATTCATTTGTGTATCAAGTTCATGATTATCTTCCGTTGCTAAATATTCTATATAACAAGAGAAGAAAATAAAAATAAAAATTGATCTTACTATGTTTTTGTTTTTGTTTTTCTATATCGACTTTCTTTTGTAAATCATTATTTTCTTTAGATTTTTTCTGTAATGCATTCACATAATTGGAAAAACGATTATTCAATTCATCAAGATCATTTTTATGACCACGTATAAGTGATAAATGATCTAAACCGATTGCTGAATCATTGCTGAAATTTGTTTTGTCTGTTGATGTTAAATGACGATAAGAATTTTCAAGTCGAAGACTTTCATTTGTTGGTAGTGTTGTATTTGTACTGTTATTAAGAGGTGTTATCTGTGATTTAATAACATCAGTTGAAGCATGTTGATGTTTTTCTTTCTTTAACGGCATTGCAAAATTTGAATGTGATTTAGTATAGAAATAAAATGCAAATGTTTCTTTTACTTCTTCTTTCGCGTGGACTATGAATATATGTGTACAAACAAATATTCAATCGAGGGTTCAAATATAGAGTCGTTTTATCTGAATCATCAGATATATGTGATGAAATTAGGTAGAAGAAAAAAGTCAGCTGGATCGTAGGGGTTATATTGTCCATGATAAAACAATCAAAAGATGTCTATGTATGTAAGTTTGTTTTTTGAGTGCATATCAATTTTATTATCATACAGAAAGTGCATATAGGGCTAGTTGAACGTTCTTTCATCCAGCACATTTTTAAAGAGAAAATAACAGTAATGTTCTATATGAACTTGAAATATACGTGAGTGAGAGCAGAATTTTTGAATCGTTCATGCAGTCAAGACTTGTTCATCTGTTGCTTTTCGTCTATTTCTTCATATCTGCAAATTATGAATGCGTGTCTCACGTCAAGATGTAGAGAGGAGAGATTGAACTTTCTGTCTTCAGACATTGATGAATATTTACATCAATTGAAATAATATTGTAGAATCAATATGGCACCATTTTGAAAGATGAACTTTTTTCTGTTTAAAAGATAAATGAATATTCTGCACTCAATAGCGTAGCCGATTTCTTGGTTTAGCAATGTATACCTTTATTCATGTTTTGTGGTGTTCGAAAATCCTTTTCAAATACTGCATTTTGAGAAGTTAGTTTATAGTCGGAGATGATTTTGTCAACAAAAACCCTACTAGATAAATATTTCAATTAGTTGCCATTACTTTTGAGGCATACAGCCCCACCAACGTATTTGCATAATCGATGCCTACCGATGTCATCCTCAAGAACTTTTTAATGATTAAACTTTGATCCATACTATCAGCTGCGCGAGAATCTTTCAAGAGAATCGAGCAATTGCCTCACATGATGAAGACACCAGATCCTTGCGAAAAGAGTATCGTTGAAAGCAAGAGCACCTATACAGATATTCTGCATGTCTTATAGGAAAATAATTTAATTATTTTTCTAGCGAATTTATTTATATTTTTTACTCGAATATCAGTATTTGATCGATTTCTCAGTAATATGCGACAACTACAAACATTTCTCTTCGATATTGTTATGACCAATGAAGAATCTCGTCCATCGCCTAATGATATTTCTTGTATATTCATTCAAACAGAATATCTTGTAAACTGCTATATGGATGATAGTCCAAATGAAGACATTCGATGTAACGTTTATAATCAGTCTCTTGTGCACCAGGAATATGATAATAATTGTTCGTTCGATTATCTGAATCGTTTCCGTTACCTTTAAAACCAATCTCTACATTAGTTACGTTCTCATTGATTATCTTGAACAATTTCTCATCGGTTCAATCACATCCTTACGTTTACCTTGTCTTCAAATAGAATTTCACTTGTGTAAATTAATTTCTTTTTGTACTTTTAGTTATAGATATAAATAAAAAAGAAATAGAAAAAACTGCGCTGTTTTTAAAATAATTTTCAAAGAATATCAAAGTATGAATTATCAGCAGGATTTAGTTGATTTTTTAGTCTGGACCTTGAATCACTTTATGATGGACATTGATCACCAAGAAAAAACCTGATGTCCTGAAATAGCTTCCCGCACATAAATCGCAATTTTCTATCTTCAATTTAAAAGTGAAAATAATAATTCTCATATTAAAGATTTCGTTGCAAAATATCCTGGATCATTCAAATTCAGTATTGGTTGACGCTATGAAGAAAGTATGATGATTTAAATTTCCTATCATCGTCTATCTCATCTTGATTCACAGTTAAATCTTATAGAAATAATAAATAGCAAAGCAATGAGTCCGAATAGGATTATCTCGTTCTTAACAGCTTTACACTAGTATCTTATTTTTTCACAGAAAAACTGGTGTTTTATATGTAGAACACTTTTTTATGTGAGTGTTTATTTAAATGTTTTTGAGTTATTCTGTTCTGTGTTCCAGCAAGATAAATATAGCGATATATTGAAGAAAAGAAATTCATAAATTGAATATAAAGTTAAAGTTCAACTCCTTTTTCTTCTGTAGTGAATTCCAGTCCTTCATAATAATCCTTGATAGTAACAGAGATTTTTTCAATAAATAAATTCTTTTATTTGCTATTCTTGTTATTCATGTTGTTCCTGCTGTTATTTTGGATACGGCATATATTTCTTCCAAATCCTGTAATTCTTGTTTGCTGGTAAGATGATGAAAAGTTTATACCAATATTAGAATCTGACTTCTTCGTTTGACTCATGTTCTCTATTTGCAAGCAGACGCTGTACTATTTTTATCATTCCTTTCTTAGATGAGAATTTCAACTATCTATAAAACGCGTCTCATATACTTTTCGTGGAGTGAGAATGAGTAATAGATAGAATTCATGCGAAATTTAAAATGGTATTGTTATTTGTAGTCAATCTTATTTTTTTTTGAATGCTTTTAACGCAGCTATTTGAAATACCCAACCTTCGTATCCACGGTGTGTACACACTGAAGCAAGACCATAGATAATTCGATGAGATAAAAATAAACACCGATGTTATCCATAACGGTTAAATAGCGGCGTTACAGCGCCACTATTGCGATCGCACTGTGACCCCTTTTAGCGCTTCGCTATGCGCACTATAGCGCGATATTACGCCAATATGACATTTAATATTGCGGTATTTCTCATATTTTGGTGCCTGAAAATGTCAGCTCTATTAGTAAATTCTACTAATTATATTCCTGGATATAATTCCAAATGTATTCAATTAGATATGATACAGTTGAAATTTTATTTGATCATAAAAATCACATATAACATAATGACAAGGTCCATAAAAGTTACATGTTATTAAAAGAAAATCAGGAGTAGTACAAAGAACAAAACAATTTGTTCAAAAACTATTTTGTGCACATAAAAATATAATAGCTACAGAAAAAAGGTCGTACAAAAGTGTTAGGCGTTACGCTTACGAGATTTTATTTTACGAATGGTCACTCTTTGTTAAACAAAACGTAGTCGATGAAAATATTCATTGTATCAATACTGCGTTAAATCATTAACAAATTCGAGTCAGTGTGGCGAGTCTTGTCTGAAAAATATAGAACTATTACTGTAAAATCAAGCTAAAAACTGAAGATTAACATGTATGAATTGATCTAAATTATGTTCGATTGCATCAGTCAGATTCACTGCCATGTCTATTCTAAGATATCGACTTGTACCACAATTGTAGTTAAATCATTAAATTTTTCTTCCATTGACGTAACCATTAGTTAATTGATACCTGAATTAAAGTCAGATAAAGCGAACCGCTAACCGGGCCATATAGAGTAGAAGAATTAATTGTTCACTTATACTATATCAGTTAGACGCCATCACGGTTAGGGTCTATAGCTATAACGTCTGACTCGTATAAATAAAATTATATCTAAAATGAAAAAAAATGAAAAAAAACGTTTTGTATTAGTGTGATGCATTGAATAAAACGTATTATAACTAGAGGAAGTCGCTGCGTCGAAAAGTGCCCGAAACTTTCTATCGTTAATTCAGCTTATTTATGGATGGGTTTTTCCATACGATAAGGACATTTGAAAAAAAGAATGATTTGTCACATTCTCATAATAGATAATCATCAGATTTCAACTATCTCATGTTCTTTCCCTTCACGTAGATCGTTGACCAAGAAGTCACTTTGCCTATTTATGTTTCTTTCTCTTACAAAGGATGATTTATTGTACATTTCTGTATCTCTACAATTATACGAGTATAAATTGAAGGATTCAATCACAAAATAACTTACATTTATTTACGGAACATTTAATTTATACACGCTGTGCCGATAGAAGCGCTCGTTCTATCCTAATCAATGTATATAACAACTCTCTTCCTCTTTGTCGTGTTCTTCCCCGTTCTCTCCGGTTGAGTGACGCGCCCCGGAGAAAGAAAGTGTAACTATAAAAGGAGAAGGATGATTGAAATAAAACAGTTCGATATCACGATAAAACATTCTTATATCGTTACACACGCTTCACGCCCCAGGTCAATGATTCCGGAGGACGGATACTGTAGGAACCGGCCGGAAAGATGCGGAAAAATCACCGTATCTGGCCGGAAAGCACGGGAAAGCACTGGAAACTGGAAGCAGTATTCCAGTTGGAAGTTACCGGATTTTTTTCCTGTGGATTCCGGTCAGTTTCCTGGGTTTCCCGGTCAGTTTTCTGTGTTTTACATCTGGAAGTTGATCGGAATCTACAGGAAGAAAATCCGGTAACTTCCAACTGGAATACTGCTTCCACTTTCCAGCGCTTTCCTGTGCTTTCCGGCCGTTTCCCGCCGTACGTCCACGACCTGGGTAATAACATGTAACTTTTATGGACCTTGTCATTATGTTATATGTGATTTTTATGATCAAATAAAATTTCAACTGTATCATATCTAATTGAATACATTTGGAATTATATACAGGAATATAATTAGTAGAATTTACTAATAGAGCTGACATTTTCAGGCACCAAAATATGAGAAATACCGCAATATTAAATGTCATATTGGCGTAATATCGCGCTATAGTGCGCATAGCGGAGCGCTAAAATGGGTCACAGTGCGATCGCAATAGTGGCGCTGTAACGCCGCTATTTAACCGTTATGGATAACATGGGCAGAATTTCGAATTCAATTAATTTAAACTATTTCCGCGGAGTACATGAGTTACGTGTATCGCATGTCCTGTGGATTTAGAATGTCATTGATTCACATAGCTAAAAGTGTTTGTTGAATTCGATAGTATTGATTAATAAAGAAAAACAAAACACTGTGCATTTATGGTGATAACCGTTTTCGGTCAATGCGAAGTATATGTATTAATTCTTCGTATTCTCGAATGAAGTGGTATTTTAATAGACTTGTTCAACAAAAATATCTGATCTCGTCGTATTCAACATATACTCACTGATAGTTTTTCTTATCTATAGAAAGTCTTGGTTGTGAAAAGTGAGATATGAAAGACTACACGGCCTTATATATGGGAGTAAACGAAACAATCAGGGTTTCTTTTACTCGTCAAAAAAGAAACTTCGAGATTCAGAGCTGATTTATTTGTTTACACATATATCAGCGTATATATTTTTTGATCACCACAGCATAAAGTCGAAAAGCAAGCGAAAAAAAACCACGCGGTGATGAGCGCATATATGAACGAATACTGCTTGCTTATTGAAAATGACATGGTTCATTGATTCAACTAAATAGAAGTGAGTGGTAAAAAAAACAAGCAATTTCGTCAACGATAAATAAGGCGAGCAAGTCATTGCAAACACACCAGGAAAAAAAACTCGTACTCTCCAACACAATTTACTTTGTAAGTACCTTTTATTCAACTTAAACTGTTGATAGATAATATAGAAAAAGCATAGTGAATGCTTTTTAACCTGAAGATACTGATTTTCAATGAAAGACGCAGCGTTTCTAGACATATTTAGCTGTTGAATTTTCTTTCAGGCATACATTTGGTTTAAGAGATAGATAGAATTAAATACTGAATCTATTTAAAAGATACTTCACTTCGAAAGGATAACAGCTGCCATTGGTTTTGTGCGCTTTCAACAATATTTAGTAAACTATTTAGTCTTTAGTTAGTCTTATGATTAAGATATTATAACTATCGAACCATATTGATCTTCGACATTAAAATTAAGGATTGCGAACGTATCAATAATTTGGTAACGGCGATGACTAGTTTGAACCTCTTAATGCTTTCCTTATATTGACTTCTTGAATTCCATGGATGCAATTGGAATTAAAGTTTCTCTCAAATAATTTGAGTAGATAGTGGAGAACTTCGTGAGTTGTCAATTATAGAATGATTATTTTTCTGAAATTATTATCAAATGAGAGAGATAAATAAAATATGAGAAATTTCATAGGTTTTTGTGCTAACCTTCAGTATACAGATCATTGTATGAAATTGGGGAGTTAGATATTGACGAAGAAACGCTTACGACGTCAGCATTTTCACAGGGTTATATATTATGGATGATAGCTGCATGAGAAGAGTGTAGTTGTAATTGTTCTAATCACTGATACTCCAGTCACCTAAAATAACTCTTTTTAGCTATTCAATGTATTCGTTCATTCTTTCTAACTGTAGTAAAAGTTCGTAAATACGCACAGCATGCATAAGAGCAGTTCACACAAAACCAGCGATGTGAATTATTACGGACATGACACCGAGAAAAAACCAATTGCGGATCGTAGCACAATCCATACCAAACACAGAACCCACAAGAAATCAGATGCAACCAATAGTGTTAGTCACTCAGTACATAGTAGCAAACACACCTCAGAAATATCCAAAAAAAACACCGAAAAAACTACTACTACCACTACTACTACTGCTGCTGCAGGTTCCTCAACAACCTTTCAATCACAAGAAAATAGAATCGTGCAAAATTAACTTGTAGTATGGCTCGATACCAATATCGATGAGAAAAAGGAGCATTTTCAGAAGTCTCTCATAGAACTTCGAAAGATTGTCGTCACATTAGATCTATTTACTGACATCGACCAATGTATTGAATATCTGAAACGTATCGATGATCAGAAAATATTTTTTAATTACATCTGGGTCGCTTGGACAAAAGACGGTGCCACTTATACGCATATGGCTCAACTTGATACGATCTTCGTTTTCTGTATAAACAAGGATCGGCACAAAGTATGGGCGAAAGACTGGTCGAAAGTCGAAGGCGTTCATGGCACAATAAAATCCATATGTAAGCGATTAACAGCAGCTACGCGGCCTTGTGACCATGATGCAATACCAATGAGCTTCATGCCAAAGCGAAATACGTCAGACACAGCATCGTGTGAACAAAATCTTGATCAACTACCACCAACTTACATGTACTCGGTGATATTCAAAGATATAATATTAGACATCGATGATGATGACGAAAAATCTATGAACACTTTAGTACAGTTTTGCCAAAAACAAAATATCCCTGAAACAGAAACAAATGAATTAAAACGTAAATACTATCAGAAATCACCGGTCTGTTGGTATACTTGTGAAATGTTTCTATATGGCATACTTAATCGTGGGTTACGATCGCTCGATATTGAAGTGATGTTCAAGTTAGACTTTTTTATTCGAATTCTTCATCTTCAACTAGAACAATTGCATAAGGAACAATCGGCAAATTTCCAGAAACCATTTACCGTTTATCGTGGTCAGGAACTGAGCAAAGAAGACTTTCAGAATCTACTAGATTCAAAAGGTGGTCTACTATCGTTCAACAACTTTTTACCGACTAGTATGAAACTGAAAGTTGCCAAAAATTTCGTTCAAGAGGCTCTGAAAAAAAAATCAAGACATTATTGGTGTTATTTTTATTATGGAAATCGATCCAAGTAAAGCAGAGTTGGGCATCACCATGGCTACGAGTACATTTTGGACCCTTAACGTGTCGACGTAGGTTTCGAATTACATCGTAGTTCAGAATTCACGTAGACACGTTAAGGGTTCGAAACAGGGTTGCCAGCCGCACCCCATTTGGGGGTACAGTACCCCATTTGAGCCTTTTGTACCTCAAAAAAATTTGTACCTCTGAGGTACGCATTTTGTACCCCATCTGCATTTTTCAATATTACGACTACTGTCATCCATATTTTGGTTGAAACTAAGAAAATTTCTCTCTTTATCCGACATTTACTATTGATAAAGATGTGAAGCGTCAATTATATTGGTTGGCTGCTAATGGTCATGTTTATGAAGAATTCAACAATGGCATATGCAACGAGTCCCATGATGAAGATAATCTCATTCACAAACTGACGACCGAAAATCATGAAAGAGAAGTGGAATTTCGGTCTAATCAATTTTAGGCTTTTCTTCTTGCAAAGTCGAAACCAATGTGTATTGAAATGTACAAAATTATTTCTTATGTGTACTCAATTCCTTGCTCGAATGTATTTGTTGAAGGCGTTCTTAGTCAAAGAAAAAGCGCATGGACGGGCAGTCGCAATTTGACGGTGAATGAAACGATAGCTGCTGAATTAAAAGTCAGATTTAATAGTACTATGACATATGAAGATTTTTTTCTTTTGGCCAAACAGAACCGCAAGTGATAAAGTGTGCCAAAAGTCAACAAAAATACAGTTTCGAAAAAAAAAGCGTGCAACAGTTAGTGTAAATATAAATCGAGAAGGTTCGCTTTGAGTAAGCATTGCTTTATTATGATTCAGTGGCGGCGGAGCGTCATTAAGCTAGGTGAGGCTCGTAGGACTTTTTTTCTACTGTGGAATTTTATGAAAGCATCCAGTAGCAAATAAGTCTTCTTTTCATTGAACTTCAGTAAAAATAATAAATGCGGAAACATCGGATTTGCATCCGATTGTTATGTCCACTTCAAAAAGCGAAAAAGTGCATTCATTTTTTTCCGTTCCTATTTTGTCCTAAACATTTTATATCATGCACAACAAAACTAGAACGAGAATCGAATACACTACTGAAGATACAACTCATAAAGACAGTTGCTAAGTGACGAGTTCTATTTACTCTGAAAAAATTGGTATTGCTCATATGAAAAACAAGTAAATATCGCACCCACACATTATCAAGATATGTGAGTTTTTTGACACTGTGATACAGAGGAAATCTTGTGAGCAACCTATTCACTATTCACATTGAAAATAAGGATATTTTTTGCGTAACTCAACAAATTCTTAACGGATTACTTTCATCTTCGAACTCGACTGAGATATTGATGAGATCATTCTATGTACAAAATTTCATGACAAGTGGATGGGGCTTTCAAAAGTTATCATGTTAACGGACGGACACACTGACCGAATCTAGAGTGTACTCAATTTTTGAGTACACAAAAATGGTCAGTACAATTAAAAACAAAGATTGGAAAATACCAAAATATACTTTTCTTTGCATGGACTTTGATGCAAGAATAAAAAATAGCAATAATCAGTGCAAAAACAAGATGAAGCTGAGTCTCATCTTCCGAAATCTAGGCGACGGTCAAGCCTCATGGGTCTCAGTGACTCCGCCACCACTGTTATGATTGAATTGAATATATATATGTCAAAACGAAATTTTATTGTGAACATATTTATTAGAAAATAAAGCTTTCAATTTGAAAGCTAGACTTTACAGTAAAACGGAAAACTGAGAATGCCCTTTCCTGATTGAAAATAGTTTTCGAAATTGATTTCCGCAGCCGATGACCAGTGTGAAAGATGTAAACTGCGTACCTCACGAATGTACCCCATTTACAGCTGAGTTGTACCTAACGTGTACCCCATTTGGGACCTGAGCAGCTGGCAACCCTGGTTCGAAATGTACTCGTAGCCATGGTGATGCTCAACTCTGAAGTAAAGTATCAACTTCGAGTACTCCGTTTGCTATGATTGATGAATACAGTGGTCTTGCACAAGAAAAAGAAATTCTATTTACAATGCGCACCGTTTTTCGTATCGTTGAAATTAAACAGACAACTAAGAATAATTGTAATTGGGAAGCACAATTGACTATTACTGACGAGAGTGATCCACAACTGACTGGTCTTACTGATTGCATCAAAGAGGAGATCAATGATGAAGGATGGTATCGAATGGGTCAATTGATAGTCGAAGTGGGTCATTTCAATCAAGCTGAAGAACTCTACAATGAATTACTCGCGAATACTTCCAATGATAGTGATAGAACACATATCTATCACATGCTTGGATACTTGAAACACGATCAAGGTGAATATGAAGAAACAGTTACTTTCTATGAAAAATCACTCGAAACCAAGCGGAAAACTGTTCCAGAAGATGATGCTTCATCGGCTTCTACTTATGGCAACATTGGCACAACGTATAGGCGCATGGGGGATTACTCGAAAGCACTTGAATTTTACGAAAAGATTTGAAAATAAAAGAAATAGCTCTGTCTCCAAATCATCCCAGTTTGGCTACTTCCTACAACAACATTGGTCTATTGTATGAAGGAATGGGCGAATACTCAAAAGCAATTCCGCTTCCAGAAAAGGCACTGACTATTATGAGAAAGTCGCTCCTTTCAACACATTCAAATATTACAGTCATGATGAGCACTATAGATTGTGTGAAAAATAAGTTGTAAATGTTTGTTTTCTCTAGTATTTGCTCAATAGAATTTTGAATTCGATAAATATTGCTACGCTAACTGTTCAAAGAAGAATGAAAACAAGAAAAGAAAACGATGGTATCGATGATAGAATTTCATTAGCGTGTCTTTGTTTTTCACTGTTACATTTTAAGAGCAGACCCTAATCCACTCTCCCCCGACGACTCCCCGGGGATTTCTCTGGGGAGAATTGGTGCAGTTTTTTAAAATTAAAAAAAAACTTTTCAATTTTTTTAAATTTTAAAAAATTTAGAAGAATTTATTAGGAATTATATATCTCATCGATTTTGGTCATATAACTCCCCGGGGAGTCCCCAGTGAGTCCCCATAAAAGAACGAAATCCCTAGGGACTCCCTGTCGTGAGTCCCCGGGGATTTGTCAGGGGACTACCTGGGGATTCTTCTAGGGAAAGTTGACTAGGGGAACAAAAGCTTTGATAATATTTTTATTTACGTATCGGAAATAAAATGTAATCACGATGTTTTATTTGTTACGCTATAGTTTATTTCTTAATTTAATACAAGCATATATGAATCTCATGCTTTTGATAGTATCGAGGGTGTGAATGTGAGAATGAGTAAATCTGAACATAATAGAACACCTACATCTGCACCCCAAAAAATTACATGCCCGAGTGAAAAAAAACTGCTAATGTTTTTCTCTTTTTCTACATCATCTGGTATAATAGTGTCACAAAACGGTATGAAGTCATGTTTTAGCTCTAGATGAGTTAATATTTGTGGTAAGCTCAACCAGTACGACAAAACTAAGCTAACATAATACCAAGCTCGATTATATGGAACTTTAACTTAATACAACGAAGTGTTGTTTTCGAGTTCTATAAAAAAAAGTTTCATATATATATAGAATTTATGATAAGACGTAAGCAAATAAAGAAAAATAAATTTATGTTGATTTTTATTTCGAATTCATAGTAGGATTACAATGCTTCTTAATATAGTTAAATTTTCATCCATGTTTCGATGAAACAATCTGATCACGAGCAGCCATTGATAAGAAGTAAATTTGCTCTGGATATTTCGTTGAAAATATTTCCATGTCATATTTTTTCGTCCAAAATACTGAAGCAGGTTTTAGTCTGAATTGTGCTAATAATGTTGAGTTTTTATCGTAAAATTTCGATGTAAATGAGACCGGTTCACTTTCCATTCGAATTTGATCACCATTCCAATCGATATTAAATGAACTACCGAGTATTTGTAAATTTTGTTGAAAAACACCATGAGTCCATTGATTTGTTTGAGCATTCAAAATTGAAATGTCAGCTTTGTATAATATTGGTTTTAAATTAGCTTTCAATCGACCAATTTCTTGTTTTGATGGATAGGCAATTACTTTAATCGTATGTAATATGGCATATTCAGATTCAATGCGATAATAAAGATGTTTCCCACTCGGATCACGAACTGAAAATTCACCACCTTTAATACCAGTAAAGAAATCTTTACGAATCGAATACGTTTTGATAGGATCTACTGCATCAACATAGATCAATACTGTGCTTACCAACAAAAATGTAAAATAAAAATTAATCGACATGTTATTTATGAGTGATACAACAAAATTGCATGGATTTATATATCAGACTGCATGGAGACTACTTCACTTTTTTCTATTTCTTTTGCATGATTCATCATTATTAAAGCGAATTGAATAGGCAACGAAAAACCTTCCTACGAGTAAATTTTGAGTCATTGATGGCTTCAAGGCTATAATGATTGATCGTGTATTTTATTCTTATTAAAAATAGTGTAAGCTATTCGATATTAATGAATGATGAAAATTCTGCGAACATTTTACGTATGTGAAAAAATGTCATTCGTTCTTTTTACAATAAACAGATGGAAGAAAAGAAAAGAACGACTTGATTCACAAAATTTCTGAAAAGTAAACAATACTATCAGTTATTTTAAGAAATTCATCATTATTATCTTTCCGTGCTTATTTCCACATAGTTTAGTACAAGCGATATTGTTGAAAAGATTAAAACAAAGGAGACTACCTAGATTATGGTAAAGTATTAATTGAATACGTCAGAAGCATGGCTGTCCCTTTTTTGTAGTGACCTGTCATGTCGACTCGAATAATCAATCCACAAATAGACAGATACTTCAACGTGTTACCAGAAAAAGTGTATGTCACAACCTGCATAAGTATTCTTTTCTTTCGTAGCTTGTTTCAAGTCTCCTTAGAGTATCTCGTACATATAATATACATGTATATAGAATGACAAAACCATTTTGATTGTGTCGACTCTTGATTTAATTAATGCAAGAAGACAAAATTAACGTCGTTTCTATTAAGATTTCTAACCGTAAGTAGTACATGAAAAGAATACTTCTGTTTGATTATAAGTTACGAAGATAAGCACGAACCTTTTATCATCGGCTCTTGAATACAAAATATATCCCAAATAGATATTTACTTATTACCGATGATAATGAGTAAATACTTTCTCTTTCTTCTATGAATTAGTTTTCTTTTAAACATAGAACATTGAAAGTTTACACAAACGGAAGCATTTCATCTAAAGCTAGATAATGTGCAGTTTTTCTCTGACGGTTTCTACCATAGTCTTATGTTGTTTATTATTATTTTCATTCATTTGAACAAGTATATCTAAATAACTTTTCACAAGATAATTTAAAGAGTAGCTGTCTAATTCGAGTTCGAATATATATGGAGAAAAGAAAAAGTTAAACTAAAACTAAATCTAGGAATAGATTTAGTTTTAGTATAACTTTCCGATATATGCGACATGAATGCATATATACCCTTCACCTACACCCACATTTCAGTGCTTCTCCGTGGTATCCATCGCCCACAACCACATTTGAAGTATCTCGGATACCCCTCTGCACCTCTTCCGGGCACCCTTCACCTACACCCAGAGTTACACCTTAGTCCCCCTCAACCCACACCCACTCCATCTTAAACTAAATATAAAACTAAATCTATTTCTATCACTTATTTTCGAATTGATACCATGCAGTCGGGTGTCCATTTATATTCGAATTCGAACTAGGCATCTCATGAAATCATATGTATCATTTTAACGAGTGTTTCATTGAGTTCCATTCTGGTAGCATGACGTTGACTATCTTTTGTGTAATTATCACCAATCATTTCATTGCAATTCGGGCAAGCATATTCATTTTCAAGTACGTGCACTTCAGAAGCAACAAAGAATGAATTGAATGTTCTCAATGGCTTATAATTATTTTCTAGAAGAATTTGAGGAATATTTTTTGGTAGATCATGGCAATATGAAGCAAGTTGTATAAATGGTTGAATCGATGAAAAACATAAACCAATATTAATCCAAATGCATCAGCTTTTTTCGAACGAAATTTCGGCGGTACAGATGATAGTTCATGAAGTGTACTTCGAATTATCCTACTTGTATTTTGTTGATCATAAGCATAAACAATATTTGAAAGGAGAGTCCAATCGTCGAATGCTAATGCTGAACGATCTTTTAATAGAAGACTCAATGTTGCAGGCTATATGAAAGATAAAAAACTAAAACTTACTTTAAAATTCAGTTATTTATTGAAAATCACTTTCGACAGTCGAATTGGTTCTTGCTCCATTTTTTCTATCGATGTTTGATTTAAACAACGAATTGATTTGAAATTCATTCCAAGAACGAAACATTTTTTCAAGCGACAAGCCGAATGTCTACCACGCGTCTTTACTGTTATTGTACGATCATCGTTAAATTCGCATGCATGTTCTTTCTAATAAGTTCAATTGCAATGGGTTTTTCGTTTCGTTTTTGAATACAAAGTAACTTACCGCTTGTCGGAGTGCATGCCTCCGAAAAAAATAGTCGACACGATGTGCATGTTGCCACATTGAAATTGATTCCAGGTGCTTCACCTCCACATACAAGACAGAGTAAAACTGAAGGATGTCCAAATTTTGATTGAATTCTCTTTGATTCCATCAATTTTAATGCCAATGTGTTTAGAAGTAAGAGTGCTGATAGAAAGTCACTCTTTTTAAATCATGCAGGAGTATCTCTTTATGGTGCTCTGCTGTATATGCATCTAATGTTTCTCTGTCTTCTTTCCACGCTCTTTTTATTTGCAAGTGACGACGCCGTTCATGATGATGTTCTCCGTGCGACCTGAGAGAAAATGGTTTCATGAAAATAGTGATTATATAACTACTTGTTTCTTCTTTAATTGAATTTACCTATACCACACCCTCAAGCCGATGTCAATGTATTCCTTAATAGATACAATGCTCTGATTAGACACAGAATTAGCAGGTGATATGAGTGTTAAACCATGAGTTGGTTTTCTTCCTTTCTTTTTTCTTTTTTTTATAAACGACGAGCTGTTTGAAATTATAAATACAAATTTCTTCAACTGACAAGCTATATATATATATATATATGCTGTATTGCTTGTGTGTTTTGTCTCTGAGATTATTCAGTTAGATTAAAATAATGAACTTTCTCGATAAGAAGGTTTACAGATCATTCAAATAGTATGATAAAAATCCATTGCACGCACTACACTACTAAATATATATGCTCTTACCGTGTTATACTGACCTATATTTCCGATCATTTTTCTTAACTTATCTATATGATTTGATGAAATTCCAACGGAATTCTGCGCATCTTAGATAAAAAAATATGTTACTCTCTCACGTTCTCTTTGAATAGTAGGTGTTCGCATACAAATTGATCGACAATCGTGCAATCATTATTACTATGATGTTCAGAAATAATTTTTATTTTGAGAAAAGGCGTTTTCAACAGTGACATCGCTCTCCTCTCGAGCGTTTCACTGAATTTTTTGTTCGGCGAATGTAGCATCTTTAAGAACCTGGATAATCAAATTAGCAACTGAGATTGTGTCTATAAATAACTTTTAGAGTTATGATAAAAATGTGAATGAGTTTATAAGCTTATTATTAATGAAATGACATTCTGTTGCAAAAGAGGCTGAAGGAGATGTTTCTTGTAAAATTAAAATAGTTTATAGAAGAGAAATCCGCATTTTTGTTTGCTGACATCATAATTGGATGATGAAGGTTTCAAGAAGCGAAGATGACCCTAAAACAAATATATCGTAATAGGCTCATGTGAAATGCAATAAAATATTTGGGAATAAATCTCTCCTGTTTCTTTCTTCTCATAGAATATTTTCTATATACCAACGGCAGTTTCTTTTCAACGTTAATTACACACATATGCGCGTTAAAGTATACATGTGATCCAATATTTGTTTTTGATTTTAGATCAATATTATTATTAATAAGATTGTAAAATTTGTTTCTTATTCTATATGATTGTGGTTTTATTCGTAAATATTCCGTCTCTACTAGTAATAGTGTAGAGAAAGATGATTTGATGGATTTCACGTTTATTGAAATTCTTAAACCAACTTTCAATCATACTCGAGCTATTTAGTCAAATCATGCAAAAAGAAACCTTTTTTGTTGCTACTAAACTTGAGTAATCAATCATGAGTGTAATTCTCCTCATTTCAAATGTAAATAGAACTTCGATTAAAGAAAAATGCCAACTAGCTCTTTTTTTTATTACATTGACTTTATTGGCTTGTAAATCGATTTCATAACCTTAATGATTGAATTGTTTTCCTGATGAAATCAACATGTGATCTTTATCAATTATCAAAATGTTGGCGAAGTCGAGCATTTCGATCAGAGTTGTACCTAGTCAAATATCAAATTTCTTTTTACAAATTAAAATTCAAAAAATAATATTATTTACCACGGATTATTTCCTACTGAATTTTTATTAATGAAGCTAATTTCAATATCAATAAACGTTGACGCACTGAAAACATCGATTAGGATTTAATGTCTTGAATATATCTTCTTACAATCGAAAAACAAGATAAGAACTGAAAAAAGAGTGATCTTATTTTTTCATCATTTAAAACCCAATAATGCCATTAAGATTGCTTAATTTCTCATTAGCATTTTGCTTGTATTAAGTCGTCGGTGACGAACATGTAATGGAAATGAAAATTTAGTTTGTCAATGAATAGTATCAAGTGCGTAATTCATTTATTTAACTATTCAAAAAACATTCAAACAAGTAAGAATTTCTTTCATCGCAGAAGAAAAATTAACTCCAGCAACATATTCATGGGTTGATCCGTATCCAACGAACATGTAAAGTACGTTAAACACTCATGGAAGAAGGAAAAAAATTTGATAAATGACCGATTTTTCTTGTCTAATGTGTTACGAAAAAAATATACATTACTATAACTTTCGATAGATCACAATCGAAAACAAACTTAGCCGTCATTTGCTTTTGTCAATGAATTTTCTCACAGTCTCATTACAATACTTGGCGTGATATGCGCGAGACCTTTTACTTTTTTTTCTCGTCGATAAGTAAAATGATTGTTTAACAAGATGCACTATTTTCCTCTTCTATATTATTAAAAAATAATTGGCTTTTTTGTGTATGCCTCAGTCATTTTTATCATCTTTAGTTTCGGTTGAAATCAATGACCGGATTGACTATATTTTCGTCTCCTTGAATATAATTGAAATAACTGTGAGGAGACATAATTGACTATTTCAATTTCTTTACATATGCAATTAAAATTTATTAAATATAAGCTGTTACAAAAAAGAGAGAGAAGTTTATTTTATTATTTGGTTTCATTTTCAACATCTACTACAGTTACTTCAATTAAAAACTACACGAACATTCACGACGACAATACGGTTACAATTAGAAGGAATAAAAATAAAAAATTCAAGGACAAGACTCATTCAAGCAACACATTCTCTTAAAATGAATAAAAAGAAATCTGTTGAAACTGTTGCAAAAAGAAATGAAAGGAAAAAAAATTGAGGAAAAAGGTCACTAAGGAAAAAAATAGCAATACATAAAACACGCGCATACAACGGCATTGTTGTTGTTGTTTTTCATTCGACTATATTAATTAATTCTCTTTTTGCTAAAAATATTTGACATACGGAAGAAGAATTTTATATATCTCCAGCTTGTCGTGATGTGGTTTTTGGTGGATCTTTAACATAGATTTGAAAACGTGTTAGAGCACGACCACTTTTCTTATCAAAATGAATATTTCGACCGTATACACGACACATAACATTGATTAAAACGTTTGGTTTTGGTTTCAGGAATTGAACCCAAATATATGGTGCTTGATAAACATCTTGACGATTGACTTTACCTCTACAAAAACATTCCAACATATCAATCTATTGATAAGAGACAAATCTTCTATCATACTCGTAAGGAAACCAGTCAGTGGACAATGAACCACATTGTCTATCTTCGCCATCTTCCGAGTAATATGTAATGTCTCCAATATTGTCCTCATCAGCAGGATACTACAAGAAAAAAAGAATTATTTTACGTTTTTTGTTTTCTAAGTTACGAAATAAAATAATGACCTCTCCCTGACAATGGATGCTAACAGCATTGGCTTTTTTATTACATGGCGGTTTGTGAGTTTCTTCATCTTCTAGTGTTGTACCTGGAATTGGCTGAAAGCCGACGATCTAATACAAAAAAAAGAAAGATTAATGTGCTCAATATTTTTGTTTTTTTAATTAGTTTTACTTTATTCATTTTAACAAGTACACATGGTTGTCCAGCTGCATAGCCATATTGAGTATTATTTTGGCATCGATTTTGACTGATATCGAATTTTCCGGATTTTTTACTAGCTGGTTTACGTTCATTGTAGTATTCTTTTTCTTCAGCTGTATTTTGTTTCCAATAAACTAATTAAAATTTTGGTTTTTAGAAGAAACACAATAGAACCATAATTACTGATTGAACTTACAAATTTGAAGATATTGATCAAGACTTTTAGCATTTGGATTTGGCTCATCTTTAGGAGCAGTCTTATCAATGAAAATTAAATTCTTATCTGGATCTGGTTGTGGTCGAAAGCCAAGACCTAAACAAAGTAATTAGAAAAAAAAAGTATATTTTTTTTTCAAAGCAAATATTTATACCGGGTGTTAATGGATTTGATCGAGTAGCCATACGTGATGATTCGTCATAATATCTTGGACGATCCCGGGGCGATAATGCCATAAAAACAGCTAACATTGCACAAAAAAAACCGGCCAATCCAAGATAAAAGAAGAAGTAAAAAACACCTAATTTGGCTATTAAAAAAAAGAACAACACACAATAAACATATCGTTGAATTAATTTTTCGTTTAAAATTTACTCCATCCAGCTCCGTCTCGACCAAGGAATTGTCTTTTTTTTGGATCGTATAAAGCATTCATAAGACCAGAAAATCGTCCAGGCATGTTGATATCCTTACTGTGAGTAGTGTATAATACTTATCTAGAAGAAGAAAAAAACAACTTGTTTCTCCGATGGTGATCTGATTTCTTGTTTCTTTTTTTGCCTCAAACAACTATTCACGATAATAAAAAAAAAAAGTAATTCTACGCATGCTGAATTAGAAAAAAAAGAAAAAGAAAGGTATTTTATCTTGGTGCATTACGATCGACTGCATACAGTTTATCATGCAAAAAAAACCGAAAGAAATGATTTGTTTCTCTTCTTACACGTAAAGCTGCACTATGAAAAAACTGTTTTTCTTTCATTAGAAAGGGCATTGATTCTATCGGTTGGTTGTTATTCTCTTTGGAAAGAAAAAAAGCTCCGGCGTCGAGGAATAAAAAAAGAAAGAAAAGTTTTACACATTCTTATTCGTATCTATATTTCAATGATCAATAAGGAAAAATGAAAATAAAAATAAAAATAAAAATAAGAACGAATGTAGGGAATATTCAAGGTTATATAAGTTTATGATGTCAGAAGAAAAAACGTTCAAGGTCAAATATCATGTCTGCAAGAGGATTTTTGTCTCAAAAAAAAAATAACTATCTGCCATCGTAGACTTTTCCTATTGTTTATAGTGTTCTTTCCTTTTCTGATTGGCTATAGGAGGCTAGTAAGACTATTGATGCCATGACTTAGCGACCTCTGATGAATTCAATGAAGCCGAGAGAGAATAAGTACTTTTTTTTGAATACGAATGGCGAAGAAATTTTACAATCATTTTTATTTCATTACTTTAAGAATGCACCAAAACTTGCGAACGAATGCTTTCTATGCCTTTTGCATATTGACTCTTGCTATCGAGCCTTCAATGTTTGCACAATATCAAAGTTATAAAATCGATAAGATCGATTATGGAATTTGTTTTCAACCATTGACTATTTGAATGACATCATCAAAATTGATATTTAAAGGTAATCTTTAATCGACGTAGAAGACATATGCACGTGTGTAATCGAAATGTATGAATCCTTGTAAATCACATAATCATTCAGCGAAAGTCAAAAAGTTATTTGAAACATTGAGTCTACCTCAGATTATATTTCGATCTGGCCATCGTGCCAAATCATATACATATATATATATATATATGATTGTTTATTCGAAACAATGTCTCTTGTATTTAGTTTAACTTGCACCCTCATAAGATAAGGCAACTGTTTTATTGACGAGTTCGTAGTTCAAAAAACGTTGCCATCATTTTCACAAGTATATATTTTTTTTCTCTTTCATGATCGAAATCAATTGTGGTAGTATGATTCCCAAGTTAATTCTAATTCAGATCGGATATTAATTTATCTTGCAAAAATAGTAGAGATCAACGACGGAAACGTCTTTATCCCGAATTATATTGATAGATGAAAAAGAAGAAGAAGAGAAGATCATTGATTTATTACACTCAAGATTCGGAGCTAGATTCTCTGGCATCCATTAGAATTGGCACAATATATTTTTTTCTCGTATTTTGATATACTAATTTTCCCTTGATACATTGCATTCAATTTATTTGTATTAGACTACTGCATTTGGACGCAACGCTTGAGAAGGGCAAATGGGTAATTATTATATGAATAAAACCGTGATGAGAATATTCGTAATCATTTTCTAATCAATATAAAAAAAAGGTGAAGAAAGTATCACTCTTACTATTCATATTATCGAGTATAAGTACTGCATCATAAAAATCGTATTATTTAGTCAAAAAATATTCTTTTTTAGTTAACGATCGAAAACATGAATCAAAGTTAGATTCTGCTAATGTAATTTGTCGATTAAAAGAATATATATTTTGACATTTGACGAATAAATCATCTATTAAAGTGAGGCGTATAAAAATTAGTACTTTCCTCTACGAGAAAAATAGTCTACTGAAATAGAACCAAACGCAGACTAAGTAAAACCGTTCAGTTTCTTATAATTGTTTGCTCATATAAGCTTTATCTAGAAATTGCACTTGAGCGCCCTCTATTGTTCTTTTTTATCTGTTTATCAAAATTGGCATCTATTAAAATTTTTTCTTCGACAATAAAATATTAGGAGCCAAAAATCATAGATCGCTTTTCTCTTTTTATGCACGATTTCGAATATGATTGGTGTAGAACATTCTTATCGATTCTCGCACGGATATTCCAGGCGATCGACACGCCTAACTACATAATGCATCGTTTTTCTACGCGCACTCCATGCCTGCATGTTGAGTTATTTTGTTGAATTTCATGAATCACTTGAGTGCCTTTCAATTCTTTTCTCAATGGTTGTCATGTTTGTCTAGATAGTAATGCATCGAACCAGTCTGAATCGGCAATCATCTTTTCCAAAATTAGGTCTGGACGCTCCATGGACAAAAACCAAAGACGATGTAGCTGGTTTTTATAAAGTTGACGAGGCTAAAGGTCTCTCAGAAGAACGTGTTAGACAAGATCTTGAAACATACGGACCCAATGGTAAATTTAAAAAAATTTTCTCATTATATAACTTGAAATAATCAATTTACTTGTTTTTTTTCATCATTCAGAGCTACCAGTCGAAGACGGCAAACCACTATGGAAACTTATTTTAGAGCAATTCAACGATCTTCTAGTCAAAATTTTACTTGCTGCCGCTTGCATATCATTTGTATGCGAATACTTTTGCATTTCATTTTTAGTGATATGACGTTTTTCTTTCACTTCACAAATAGGTATTAGCTTTATTTGAAGAACACAAAGAAGGAGAAAGTCTTGTAGCAGCTTTTGTAGAGCCACTTGTTATTCTTCTCATTTTAATTGCAAATGCTACAGTTGGTGTTTGGCAAGTAAGTTACTTATTCCATTTGCCAATGACCTTAATAAAAAATGACATCATTAGGAACGGAACGCCGAAAGTGCTATTGAAGCATTGAAAGAGTATGAACCTGAAATAGCTAAAGTTGTGCGCCAAAATCGACCAGGACAAATTCAACGAATAAAAGCTCGTGAACTTGTTCCTGGAGATGTTGTTGAAGTCGCTGTCGGTGATAAAGTACCAGCAGACATACGAATAACAACAATTCATTCAACAACACTTCGTGTTGATCAATCATTATTGACTGGTGAAAGTGTTTCGGTTATCAAACATACTGAACCGGTTGGTGATGCACGTGCTGTCAATCAAGATAAAAAGAATACTCTATTTTCAGTAAGCAAACTCCACTCGATACACTTTGATAAGGTTAGAATTTTGATTTATTAATTATAGGGAACAAACATTGCATCCGGCAAATGTCGAGGTATTGTTGTTGGAACTGGTTTAAATACAGAAATCGGTACGTGAAATTGAAATAATAACAAAAGCTATTTCATGTGTCGTTTCATTTTTAGGCAAAATTCAATCAGTTATGGCTGATACTGAAGAAGAAAAAACCCCATTACAACAAAAATTGGATGAATTCAGTGAACAATTATCTAAAGTATGTGCCGATTCTGATAAAAAATCAAAACTAATTTTTTTCTTCAGGTTATAACAATTATATGTGTTGCTGTATGGGCTATCAATATTGGTCACTTCAATGATCCAGTTCATGGTGGTTCATGGCTTCGTGGAGCTATTTATTATTTTAAAATTGCTGTAGCTCTAGGTTTGTTGATCTAAGTTTTTTTCATTAAACACAAAAGATAATCATCATTTCTAACACTATTTTAGCTGTTGCTGCAATTCCTGAGGGTTTACCAGCTGTCATCACAACTTGTCTTGCATTAGGAACACGGCGAATGGCAAAAAAGAATGCGATTGTTCGTTCCTTGCCATCAGTTGAAACACTCGGTTGTACATCAGTTATTTGCTCGGATAAGACAGGAACATTAACAACAAATCAAATGTCTGTTTGTCGTGTAAGACTCTATTATTTCTTTTTGATGAATTACTCTTAATTATTTGTTTTTTTTGCTTGCTACGATTAGATGTTCGTATTTACAAAGGCCGATGGAAATGATATTCAAATAGATCAATTCGAAATAACTGGCTCTACTTATGAACCTAAAGGCGATATTCTCTTTAATGAAGCTAAATTTAATTGCTCGCAACGTAGTGGTTTGGTTGAACTGGCTGAATGCGCAGCTCTCTGTAATGATTCATCATTAGATTACAATGAAGTATGTATTTCGTTTTTTTGAACGTTGATTTCCGTTGGATATTCATCTTTCTTTTTCTGCATAGGCGAAGAAAATATTTGAAAAAGTTGGTGAAGCAACTGAAACTGCTTTGACTGTTCTCGTTGAAAAGATGAATGTTTACAATACTGATAAATCTCGTTTGTCACCACAAGAATTGGCTATGGCATCCAATACAATCATTCGTCAAAAGTATCGCAAAGACTTTACATTAGAATTTTCACGTGATCGAAAATCAATGTCATCTTATGTTACAACAACAGCTAAAGGTGTAAGCAGTGCGTCACAATCGCCAAATAAAATGTTTGTTAAAGGCGCACCAGAATCTGTTATTGACCGATGCACACACATTCGAGTTGGAACACAAAAAGTTCCCATGACACCACAAATTCGACAAGAAATCATGAAATTAGTGCTTCAATATGGAACAGGTCGTGATACATTACGTTGTTTAGCATTAGGTACAATTGATAATCCGCCAAGAAGAGAAGATATGGATTTAGAAGATGCAAAAAAATTCGCCAGCTATGAAGTAAGAAAATTGCTTTTTCTTTTTGAGAGTATGGAAAAAAGTTATAGGAATGTTTTCTGCTTTTAGACTAATATCACATTTGTTGGTGTTGTTGGTATGCTTGATCCACCACGTACTGAAGTTATCGATGCTATTGCACGATGTCGAGACGCTGGTATTCGTGTTATTATGATAACTGGAGATAATAAGAATACAGCCGAAGCTATTTGTCGTCGAATTGGTATCTTTAAAGAGTCACAAAATACTAAAGGTAATTCTTCTAGATAGAGAAACTGAATAATTGTACTTTGTTTTAAATAGGCAAAGCATTCAGTGGCCGTGAATTCGATGATCTGTCACCGGAAGAACAATCAGAGGCATGTCGTCATGCTAAAATGTTTGCTCGTGTTGATCCCGCACATAAATCAAAGATTGTTGAATATTTACAATCACATGGTGAAATCACTGCTATGACAGGTGATGGTGTTAATGATGCACCTGCTTTGAAAAAAGCCGAAATCGGTATCGCTATGGGTTCTGGTACAGCTGTAGCTAAATCAGCAGCTGAGATGGTTTTGGCTGATGATAACTTTTCATCAATTGTTGCTGCTGTTGAAGAAGGTCGAGCTATTTATAATAACATGAAACAATTTATTCGTTACTTGATTTCATCGAATATTGGAGAGGTAATATTTTCTGTACAAGTAGAAGAACGAATAATCATTTGTTTTGCTTAGGTCGTTTGTATCTTTTTGACAGCTGCACTTGGTTTACCAGAATCATTGATTCCTGTTCAATTACTCTGGGTAAATTTAGTTACTGATGGTCTACCAGCAACAGCTCTTGGTTTCAATCCACCCGATTTGGATATCATGGAACGTCCACCACGTAATCCAAAAGAGTCTCTTATCACACCATGGTTATTCTTTCGATATATGACTATTGGAAGTACGTTAATGAATTTTTTTTCGGAAAAAATAAATCTTTCTAGCTTAACTAATCGGATGTTTGGAGCATAAGGCGAAATTGAAAAAAAAAGAAAAATGAAAAAAAACTTTTCTGTCTCTCACGTTAGCATATGTCGGTTGTGCTGTGGTATGCAGTGCATCGTGGTGGTCGATGGATGCCGTCAATGGTCCTAAATTATCTTATTGGCACTTGGTGTGTACTTGATTTGACTAATTTTTTTTCTTTTTTCTTCTAGTATACGTAGGAGCAGGCACTGTTGGTGCCTCATGTTGGTAAGATATTTGAGCCTTTTGAGTGCAGTGTATTCATTTAAGAAAGATATGTCATTTTACAGGTGGTACGTGTCGTATCACGATGGACCACTGTTGTCGTGGTCGCAACTGGTGAGATTTAGAGAATGAAATTATTTAGGGAAGGACACATGCATAGATTCTTTTCCTCTACGTGACTATAATTTCATGTTCTGTTGCTTAAGACATGTATTCACCTATTCATAACATTCTTTGCTTGTTTTGGTTTGCTGTGTTTAACTTTTATCTCGTTTGATGAGAAGCATTTAGAGTAGATTACTGAATGCGATTAGTTTCCATTAAAGAAAAAAAAACGAAGAGAACATTTGTTGGAATAGTTTAATTGAAAAAGTATTCATATTTAGAAACATCACTTCAAATGTCGTGGCGGTGGTAAAGAATGGGAAGATATTGATTGTGATGTCTTCGATGATCCACATCCAATGACAATGGCTCTTTCAGTACTCGTCACAATTGAAATGTTAAATGCACTTAACAGGTTAATATCTCGAAGAAATTAATTTTTTTCTTCTGCAAATACGACTCATTGTTTTTACACTTCAGTTTATCTGAAAATCAATCTCTCGTTAAAATGCCTCCATGGTATAATAAATATCTTCTATTTGCAATTGCCTTATCCATGTCATTACATATGATGATTCTCTATATTCCTATGTTCAATGTAAATTTATTCAAAAACAAAAATAATTCATTCAAACAAATATTTCTTTTAGACCGTATTTCAAATTTGTCCTTTAACATGGGAAGAATGGTTTGCTGTATTGAAAATATCTGTTCCTGTTGTTCTACTGGATGAAGTATTAAAGTTTATATCAAGACGTTACGTTGATAGTAAGTAAAATTTGCATGCGTTGTTATTTTGATCCTATCCTTATGTTTGCCGTGTTTTTCCTTGCAGAAACCGAATCGCATATAAGCGTGTGGAATGGTTTGATAAGTTTAGCTATAATGTGTGCTCTCTATGGAGCTCTTATTACCTATTCGCCTATATTCCAATCTTGGGATGGCTTTACTCATCATCCACCTGCAAATACTACAACCTACACAGACTTTCGTTATAAAAACATGGATCTATGATAATGTGCATGTGTTCCTTTTTAAACATCTTAGTTTATATTCTGTTGTTTGTCTCATAATAGTTATTGTGCTTGGCTTTTACTTTGAATATTTTTAAATAGCAAACATTCCAATTTTACTAATACAATTTTGTTTTCGATATATAATACGTTATTTTAATTTATTTGTTTTCGTTTTGGCTGGTTATGTTTTGAATAAAGATACAATTACCTTCGAGTTTTGCATGAAGATAATTTTACTGTTTCGTTTTTTCGGTGAAAATATATATCGAACTAATTGTATTTTTTGTTTTAGTTGCACCGCGAAATAGTGAATTAGAGGAAGCAGAAGGAAACTAGAAGAAGATTTTATTTTCGAATAAATTGTCCGACGGTGATCTTTTTTCCATGTGGATAAAAACAGATGTGTAAAAAAAGATCAATTTATAGAACTTACAATTAATTATCATTCTATTACGATAATTCCCTACCCGTTTGTTCTATTTCTATATAGACTATTCATGTTAGAATAGAACATTAATACCATTTTCTTTTTTTTTCTTGTCTGGCTCATGTGTTAAAAGTTTAATTTGTAATAGATTTTTTTTGTTCTTTTCTTTTTGATAACATGACCCTGAAATATATGCAGTTGTTTAACTTCTTTTCCTGTAAAAGTTTTTTTTTCTTTCTTTACACTATTTTTCTCCTATTTCTCTCTCTCTCTCTCTCTCTCTCTTGGCCTTACATTTGCAAACATACCTGTTGTTTTGCTGATGGCAACAGTTCTTTGTTGTCCCTGTATTTGTTCTTTCTCTTTTTGGAATACAAACACACGAGTCATGTGTTCAATCTTTTTCTCTATAATCAATTTAGTAAGATACAAGTAGCTATAAAGCTTCAATCGATGTTGGGTTAGATCAAGAAGATGACCTATATAATCATAATAATACTAAAGTATCGGTAAAGAGGAATGAAAAGAAAATAGCATATCTATGGGCTCAAATGAAATAATGTTTACCTAGGCCGGTATCAAATTCTACGTTTTGTTTTTTAGATAAATTTGCTTCTTTAAATTCTTTTTGTTGCTGTGTATTGAATTACAGTTTTCTGAAAAAGAAAAATTTTCCAATGGCATCAAGAGCTAAAGCTAAACCGCCAAAGAAGCGTCAACAACGTGCGACGTCAAATATTTTTGCTATGTTCGATCAATCACAAATTCAAGAATATAAAGAAGCTTTTAATATAATTGATCATGATCGAGTATAATTAATTGATTTAGATCTTTTTTTTTTATATCATAAGGTCTTTTGTTTTCGTTATTTATTAGGATGGTTTTATCAGTGGTGATGATCTTAAGGATATGTTTGCATCATTAGGTTCGTAGAAATTTACTTCAATCGATTTGGAGTAAAATAATTTTTCCTTTTTAGGTAAAGTGGTCACGGATGCTGAAGTTGATGCAATGATTCGTGAAGCACCTGGAGATATAAATTTTACAATGTTTTTAACTTTATTTGGCGAAAAACTAACGGGTACCGATCCTGAAGATGTTATTAAAAATGCGTTCATGTCATTGGATGAAGATGGTTCTGGTAAAATTTCCGAAGAGCGTTTACGAGATTTGTTAATGGCCATTGGCGACCGATATTCTGACGAAGAAGTTGATGAATTATTTAAGGAGGCACCAATTAAACATGGTTTATTTGATTATCAAGAATTTGTTAAAATTCTCAAATATGGTCGAAAAGACCAAGACTAAAAATCTTTCTCTTTCTTTCTTTCTTTTTATTCAGATATTTCAAAAGAAATGTAATGAGTGTTTGATATGCCCCAGTTAGAATCGCAGGGATAAATCTGTTTTTTCTTCTTCTTTGCTTGCTTATTATATCTTTTTTCCATATTAAACATTCGATAATCTCTTAACTCTTCCATGTACATGTTTATTACTAGATTAGTTAATCTCAAATTTTATTGTTTCTTGTTTTTTATTCAGACGAAAATAAAGTGAAAGATAGACATATCATAATATGCAATTATTCTCAATTTTAATGAGAACACATAACTTGAAATCCTCTATTTCACAGCTCGTTGCTCTTTAATAAGTACATCGGCAGCCTTGGTCGAAATCATATTTTGAATTACTTTTCTTTGTTGCCCTAATAAATGAAACATTAGATTGAGTCAACATTTGTATATCGAGCAATGATTAGTCAAGGTTATCTTTAACATATTGCTCGTGTCAAAGTCATGCAATTAATCAAGCTCGTAGACATGTTTCAGAAATTTTTTCCATACCGAATGAAATATTTATAATTTTCAAAGGAAATTTCATGTGTAATTGAAGGTATAGGTTGATTGTTTAACAAAAATGATGGTACCAAATAATTTGCATTACTTATGTTTTTGAGCTTTCTTCTCTGGTTTTCATTCAATGGGGAAAGTTTTTCATCGAAAAATAACGCTTGAAATATGGCATAAAGTTGCTACATGTTTTGGTTTTTGTTGTTGTTGAACTGACTCGTATAGTAACATTCAGTATGGAATTATTATTTCATTGATTAACTTTGTTATTTTGTTTCGATTTATATTCGAAGACAGTTGGTTCCGTGAAGTACAATAAAAGAACCTAAATGAAGCATTCTTCGCAATTATCATCACTAAAATAATACGTATGTCGATAAAGTACAATCTAAAAAAAGAGAAAGGCCATATAAATAGCTACAGACATTCTTAATTTATTAAAAACCAGTAGTTTAAAATGTTAGTTGTGTCTTCTCCAATCATTGGAGAGTGCAGGGTGCAATATTTTTAAAGGCTGATGCTTACGTATTATGTCTCAAGTATGAGATTTAATGTGTGTTTTTTAAACGTTTAGCGTAGCTTTCATCATGATTTTATATAATGCTGTCCAGTCGTATGGATTCAGATGTACAAATGTTGTCATTTTGCTTATTTATGATGAGAAACGCTTAATTAAATATGCCGATATCACAAGGAATACTGTCATATCATATGCTTATTTTTATCTTCTCCGCATGTCAAAAAGAGAAATACTTGAAAAGTATGGTTGAGGAATTAAATTTTCAAAAATCTCCAAGACAAAGAGAATTCACTAAAAGAGTTTTACTAGTGAATGAAAAGAAGCTATTTTTAGAGATGCTCAGTGAGTTATTCTTTGTTTTGAATTTCTCTGTTGCAATTTTAGTTTCTATGATTGGCATGATCTTTTGTTTTCTTATTTTATTCATCGTTGCCACTAATCAATCATGTCAGACAGTAACAAACCCTCTTGCATGTAATACTGCTATCGCAACTGTAAGTTATTTCCTCAACAAGTTCATCACATCGTTTTATGGTTTTCGTGAAGAGACTGGACAATCAATCAACCAACCATTTGTATCGTGTTTACTGGCGTAAGATTTTTCTGAACTGGATTCTCTCGCTGCTATACTATGATTGAGTGTGCCATTTTGATTTGATAATAGCTATATCTTCGAAGAACAGTCACGCCTGTGCACACTTACAACTCAAACATTCACAGGATCGGCGTATATTATAAATGAGTGAATTTGCGTGTCCACTCAGTATTGATATCATCATTTATAGGTCAATCTTTCTTCATGCTAGATTATCTCGACGAGTGATGCCTTTCACATCAAACATCATCAATTCTCGCATGCAAAATCTTGAACGAAAGAGTAAATTTACGCTTAATATGACAATTGTTCTATTCATTTTTTCGTGTAGAGGAACACCTTTTCTGATTCTTGCTCTTTGTCATGGTGTTAACCCTAGTAGGTTACTACCAGAATCATCTTATCCATTAATTATTCAAGCAATCACAATATCTGTTACTGTGAAGATGATCATGATATTTTGTACGAACACACAAATGAAGAATATTGGTATTAGCGATGTACACTGCAGAAAAGCACGTGTCACCCTAATTAACAATAGTCAACGACCGATGATGCGAGAAACCAGATTCTAAAAATGATTGAAACCATAGATATAAACTAGAAAAGTTTTAACGACGAGAAAATGGCGTAGATGGTTCTTTCGACATATTCTATTGTTCTTGTAACATCTTTCGACTATTTTTGATAATATGATATGATGCCAATTTTTTATCATTACTTATTTTCATGCTGGTAATTCGATGCTGAAACGATACACCAGTAACCGATTAGGATCAGTTATTAAAACTGGCCCCTATTGGCGTGTTGAATACTTTTTGTAACATTAAAAAATTCTTTTATTCATAAAAATATGGCGTAACATAAAGCCAGAAACAACCTCGAAAAAATAGATTACATGAAAGTAACAGAAGTTTTTATTTAGAAGCCATCTAGATATGATAGAAACTTGACCTGTTTTTTAAATATCAAGTGCGCGATCAGAACTATTTGATCGTTGTGGAATAGAAATGATTCATCTGAACGCAATATGAAAATAGATTTTTTTTGGAGTATTCTGCTTTTTTATTTCAGCTAAACAACTTATCAGTACATGATTACTTAAATTCAAGTAAAAACAATAGAATCCTATTTCTAAAAATGCTACGAAAAGAAAATCAGTTTTGTTTAGAGAAGTGAACAAGAGCGAAAATCCTCCCAGGCACAATCTGTGTAAAATTACTCAAGGTTTTCAAGAGCTATCGCGTACTAAGTTTTGTTTTCGAAAATGAATATATCAGCTGTTAGGTATTCTATCGTTTATCTAAGCTGAGACATAGGCAAAACAAAATCTATGCAAACATGAGACGGTACGTCACATATAAATTGTAGGATTTGTTTCCGATTATGCTGAAAAGATTTTTTCCTGTATTATGTGCATATAATAAGTAGTTTGAATTCCATTGCAAATACTGTGATGTTGCTAGTTAAAATAGTGCGCTAACTTTGTGCTTATTTCTGGATTGGTGGATAATTGAGAGTGATAGGATTGGTTATTGGGATCCCATCAATGGCTTCACTCATGCATTTCATTGTTTGCTGAACCTGGATTGCGTTTTCACTACAGTAGACATTTGTAAAATTTATTTGTCTTGACTCTTACTGACTGTATGAATACTTCGATATCTATTGCTCATTACAGTACCCAATAGAATTACTATTCTCTGTCGGTCGGTCGATGTACTGAAATGATGTCCTGTTCAGCTAGTATTACGCTGGTGGCTATTTATTTCTTTGTTTAACTCTGAATTTATTCTCTGTTGTAATTTTATTCTAGAATAAAATCTTTTATTTATTTCTGAACGTAGCAGCTCTCTAACAGATGACTATAAAGAATTTCGATGTGATTCATAGTTTAATGTTATTCGTTTTCGACAACGTATAGATAAATTTCCTTGTGTGTCTAATTAAATTTTCGTTGAGATTTTATGTTTTATGTTAAAAAAAACATGATTCAGACTGTTGCACAAAATGAAAAGTTTGGAGAGAACTAATCAAATCGTCCGAATGATACAGTTCCCAAGTTATGTCATGCCCAGAATCTTTAACCGATGGTTTACATTAATAAATTTTAGTTTTTGCTTTGCATTGTATAAACAGACTAATTATTTCTCTGTTTTTCAGATTACATCTCTTTTTGTTTTATCATTCTCATAATTTCCCGGTAATCTTGCAATGGCAGATGGTATGTAAAATATATTGCATTTGACCAGAGAATTCATTTTTTTTCCATTTATTTGTAGGAGATGATGTTTTAAATGAAGAACGACAAATCAATGAAGATTATAAAATTTGGAAGAAAAACTCAGCATTCCTGTATGATTTAATTATGACTCATGCTCTCGAATGGCCATCACTTACCGTTCAATGGTTACCATACACATCCAAGTAAGGTTTTCGTATAGACAACTAGATATCATAGCACAATAATTGGAGATAAGATAATCGATTAATCAATGCCAGTTCTTGAGAATAGTGAAAAAATTTCAGATCTCTCTTTCTATCGTTTATAACAGACATGAATTATTTTTTCTCAATTTCAGACCTGATGACGGAAAAGATTTTACAACTCATCGTCTTATTCTCGGTACTCATACATCCGATGAACAAAATCATTTAGTGATAGCAAGTGTACAAATTCCAAAAGAAGGTACATCAAGTGATTCAACACAATATGAATCTGAACGAGGAGGTAGATTTCATTATTTTTATTTTCTAAGGCAAAAAAAATAAAAGCGTCTTTCTTTCAAATAGAATTCGGTGGTTTTGGTTTGTTTAATGCAAAAATTGAAATCGAATTAAAAATTAATCATGATGGAGAAGTGAATCGTGCTCGTTATATGCCACAAAATTCATCACTTATAGCAACAAAATCTCCATCAGCTGAAGTATTAATATTCAACTATACTAAATTAGCTGGTCTACCAAAAGAACAAATAATGTCGATGAGTGCCGAAGCTTGTCCAGAATTGCGGTTACGCGGTCATACAAAAGAAGGCTATGGACTCTCATGGAATCCAAATGCAAGTGGAAACATTTTATCGGCATCTGATGATCATACGATTTGCCTGTGGAACATTGAAAAAACTCCAACAGAAGGAAAATTCGTTGATCCATTAGCTATTTTCTCTGGACATCAAGCTGTTGTTGAAGACGTTGCTTGGCATTTATTTCATGAAACACTTTTTGGTTCTGTTGGTGACGATTGCAAATTGATGATGTAAGCTTTAGAATTTAAATTATATTTTCGGAATTTGCGTTTTTCTTGTTTAGTTGGGATACACGTTCATCAAATTATACAAAACCGTCTCATGTTGTTGAAGCACATGCTGCTGAAGTTAATTGTTTATCATTTAATCCATTTTCAGAATATATTTTAGCAACTGGCTCAGCCGATAAAGTATGTTTTTCTTGAATAATTTTAAACTGGTAAAAAACATTTTTCGTCCAGACTGTTGCTCTTTGGGATCTTCGCAATCTTAAATTAAAATTGCATACATTTGAATCACATAAAGATGAAATCTTTCAAGTTCAATGGTCACATCATAATGAAACAATACTTGCATCGAGTGGTACGGATCGACGATTACATGTTTGGGATCTAAGGTAAAATATCTTAATTCGAATTTTCTTGACAATTGATGCGTCTATTTTTATTTATAGTAAAATTGGTGAAGAACAAACAACTGATGATGCTGAAGACGGTCCACCAGAATTATTAGTACGAATAAAATTGATGTTTAGAAAAAGCGAAAATCTTGTTTTGCTTTTCTTTTGCGTAGTTTATTCATGGTGGTCATACAGCTAAAATCTCGGATTTTTCATGGAATCCAACTGAACCATGGGTTATTTGTTCAGTATCAGAAGATAATATAATGCAAGTTTGGCAAATGGTAATCAGAACTTTTAGTTTTAATGAAAAAATTTATTTACTCTTTCTTTGTAAATATTTTAGGCAGAAAATATTTATACAGAAGACGAAAACGAAGCGAACTCTGTTGACCTCGAATAAATTTATAAATCTACTTTTCTTGTTCTTTGTATTATTGTAAAATGTGAAATCTTTGTTGACTAGTTAGATGATGATGTTTAAAATGTTTGAAAAACAAAATAAATCTGTCTTCAATAAGTTGATTTAATCAGAGGAAAATATTTCGACACACAATAATATTCAGTGTGCATTTTATACCCTGACAATTAATCATCATTGACGACGATACTAAATTAGTCAATCGTATCATCAGAAAATGTGCTATTTTTGGTAGTTACTTTTTATTTGATCGCTATCACTGAGTAATATTGTATCATTAGGTGATATCGTATTGAATCCAACCTCTAAATACGCCGATCTTCTCACAGAAGAGAAAGCGAGAAAAATAACAAATTTCCCTAATAGGTATATAAGTGTGTTATCATATATACAACGACCGTCAAAATTATCCAATTACCTAAAAAAAGCTTTTTATTTATTCTATATTTGACAAAAAAAACGTGACTGGAGGTTTGTAACTTTTACCATGTTGTAGACCACAGTTTCTAGTACGTTTGCGTTCAGCTTCATATCAGAAATTCGTGTTGTTGATTTTTTATTAAAATGGGAAAAAAAAGTATGTCATATATTTCACGCGTCAAAATTATCCGACCACTTGTGTTTTTGTTCTACCTTTACGCTCATCTAAACATAAAGAAAACTTTATGTTACACCATTCGAAAAAGCCTAAAAAATAGTGTTTTGAGCAGTCCGCTACGACTTTATGAGTGACCGGCTGTGGACAGACAATTTTTTCTACTAATGATCGGGCAAATCCACTGGATAATGCACTGTTAGGAAGAGCATTAAAAACTACATTAGATAAGACGATTAAACGAATACGGTGTGACGCCTAGCTGAGATGACCAGATCTAAAGTGTACACCAAATGGGTATAGCTGTCCATATATTGCCTCTTTAGCCGGCTGAAAAATCATTTGAAATTTTGAAACAGCTTTTACATTGGTAGCGAATTGTTTTCTTTACATACCCTAATTCTAACCATCTGAAACAGATTGCATTCTCAAGGTTGAGAATGAATTTTTCAGCAAATATGACAGAAATAAAAATTCTCCCATAGCTTGAACAAGAATTTGAATACATATTAAATGAAATAGAAAGTTATTGAATCAGGCTAAACCAGGAATTTAACTTGAAACTCAATGCTGTATTCATTGATACATCGTGTGTTAAAATTTCCCTCAGAGTTTATTTATGAAACTGAACGCAAACGTACTAGAAACTGTGGTCTACAACATGGTAAAATTTACAAACGTCCAGTCACGTTTTTTCGTCAAATATAGAATAAACAAAAAACGTTTTTTAGGTAGTTGGATAATTTTGACGAACACTGTACGATTACTCTATAACTTTGCACTTTGGACTCATTGCCTTCAAATAAAAATAATAATTATTATTCTACCGATAAAAGAACATTTATTTTTACCTTTGCTGCATCTGTTATTTATTTGAAATTAGAAAAAATGGCGACAGCATTTCTTGCTGTTGGCGTAGTGTTAATTCTCTATGTAGGCTATCGCTTATGTAAACATTTATTTCCACCGCCGAACATAAGTCCTAATGGTAAATACATTTTAATAAGTAGTTGTGATTCAGGCATTGGCCATGCACTAGCCATCGATCTTGATAAACAGGGTTTTAATGTATTGGCAGGTGTTTATGATCCGGACAATGAAGAACGTGTTGCTAGTCAATTATCAAGTCGAGCTACTGTTTTCTGTCTCGATGTAACGCGTCAAGAAGAAATAGATGCTGCCTATAATATGGTGACAGAAAAAACCAATACCCTGCATGCATTAATAAACAATGCTGGAATATCCGCAAATGGCTTGATTGACTGGGTATCCGTTGAGACTATGCAAAAATTAATGGATGTTAATTTTTTTGGACATGTTAAAATGACGAAAACGTTTTTACCATTACTAATATCACGACGTCACTCGCGAATAGTAAATATTTGTTCAGTTGCTGGTTATTTAGTTAAACCTGGAGCGGCAGCATATGCAGCGTCGAAATTTGCATTAGAAGCTTTTTCGGATTGTCTACGCCGCGAAATGCACTCGTGGGGCTTACATGTATGCATTGTTGAACCAGGGTTTATGAGAACGCCGATTATTGAAGGACGTGATCGTGTATGCCGTGAGGAATGGTCAAAACTTGATAGTCAGACTCGAGATCGATGGGGAGAAGAATTTTTTCACGATTTCATACATGGATTAGAAAGAAGTCCTTTTGTTATCAATGCTGAAAATCCTCAAAAAGTAGTGCAAGCAATTCGTCATTCTGTTATGAATAGTGTTCCACGTATTCGTTATCGACCAGGATGGCAGTCGAGTCTTTTTCTTTTCCCAATTTCTATGCTACCGGCTTGGTTAACAGATCTTATTATGATAAAAATGCACACTGAACATGTTTCACCGGCTGGTCTTCTACACCAGCATAATTAAAAGAAGTTTATTTACGCAAAAAAATCATAAACCCAATATATCGATGACAAAAACTTTCTCTTATGTACACTATATCATAGGCTTCTAAAAGAAAAAAGGACAATATCCAAGGAGATAAATGTGTTGATTTGTTAACATATAAAATATTTACGCAATAAAATAATTCGAAAAGTAATCGTCACTATTTACAAATAAAGAATTGGATCACATTAACTCAATATCGTTGTTTCTACTTTCTGTTCGAGATCCCAACTGATTATAGCCAGTGTTGAATTTAATATTCGTTAGTTCATCATTATTTGTCTCGAATCGATCACTGAAAAAAATAGTTAGAATAATAAAAACATTTTCGAAATAATTTTCTCTTACTCTTGAAAATTTCGTTGTTGAATTTTTGATAGAAAACTATCTGAGAGTCGATGTGAATTAAGTCCTTGGTTTTGTGGATAATCTTCGGCAGTCAAAATTAGATAATTATCATCCGGAATTATAGGATTAAATTCCCTCGTTTCAGGCGATATTTTATACGATAGATGAACATCGATTGTAAAACAAATCATTGCAAGCATGAATAAAGGAGTACACAATGCCATTCTTTGTTGATTAACTAATAAAAACATGTATTCTGCATTTTCCTTATATACTAATATGAACGGAAGTATATTTTGTCTGACATTTCTTTTATGTAAATCTGTGACTTTTAAGTATAAGGAAACGTCATATTTAATCAGCAGCTCGCGTGCTCACTAGCTAGTCTTCAATGATATTCTATGATGTCAAGATTTAATCAGAATAATAACACATAAATCTTACCAGTGAGATATTATTATTATTATTAACCGTTACGTATTAATTCATACAAGTAATACATGAACACAAAAACATTTACTCTTCGTCGCTACTATCTTTAGCATCCTTTAAAACATCTATATATAGATGAAAAATACTTCGTTAGACTTTCTGATATGCATAAAAATCTTTATCAAGAATATATTTGTTTTTTCCTAGCTTAAGCTTTTCATCGTCGGGTATATTTTTCGCTTTTATTGGTCTTGTTGTGCGCTTTTGAGCCTGTTCTTACTCGATATAAATAATTCTTGTACAAAAGTGCTTTTTCTCCTTTTTGAGTGGCTGACCAAGTGAACTTAGTATTCATTGCGTCAAATGAAATATCACTTTTTCTCATCATTTTATATGTATCAATCATACAAAAAAATCATAATCAATTTCGAAATAACTAATCAATTGAAAATGGTCGCAGTTTGGAAACGCAATAAAAATGAGACAATAAAATTTCAATCGTTCCAAACTGTGGTCATTTTTCAGTAATTGGCTTAATTTTTGCCCGCAATTAGTAAGCTACGAAGCTACGTTATTAACAATGTCGCTCTATTACTCTGACTACAGAATAACGTGGTAATAGCTAACGAGTTGTGATTTTTAGTAATCGAACGAGAAGAGTTATAGATATTATTCACGACAAAATTCTACAAGATATTCACTTATGTCATGCTTTTATTAATTGAAGATTTGAACTGGATGTGAATATCAGAATGATATCAGCTGTATAAACTTCTTTTTTTCTTATTTAGTAGCAGATAATGAGACGTATATATATATATATTGTCTCATTTGATTGTTGAAAACCACATCGTCTTAGCTGTTGTCATTGTTGAGTTTACAGCCACGCCTCTTGAATTTTGGCACGAACACATTAACTAACTAATCGATAGAAGAAAAGATGTATTCTATTTTTCGTTCTCTTTGAAATAAGTATGACATGTATTCGTAAACAAAATTTTAATCGGTTTTTCTCTCAAATTAAATCTATGGTCAAATCAAACATAGAAAAAAATTTTGTTCTCCATGAAAATGTCCAAGAATATAACTCTGAATTTGATCTTATTTTGTTTCTCGCTATTGCGTAATAAGCTAATTATGATTGAAATCAACCATTAAGAGAAACATTGATGTAGCGATCTGCTATTGTATGTTCAACAATGAGAAAAAAGTCCGTGTGCGGTGATCAAGCTTAACTTTTCTTTAGTCTTAAAAAACGAACTCAACGTTTTTTTTTTCATCAATCTTAAATAGGGATTATCTAATATCCTTATTTTGAAATATTTCTTACGAACGACATCATAGAAACATAAAATAAAGTTTTTTTAACTTATTTCGCATGATTAGTTCGACACTATTACTGACGAAGTCAACAAGTCGTCATCTCCCGTTTGAACACGAACAAGTAGATTAAGCGGCATAATACCATGTCAACAATATTCTTCATTCAATTGACCACGATCAGGGCCATCCAATGTCGATTTCCTACTGGGTGATCCCAAGAGTCAAACATATAGAAAAACTAAAATCCTCTCTTTCATCTCAATTTCTTTCCCTTCCCTTCCCTCTCTCTCTCTCTCTCTGTCTGTCTGTCTCTCTAGTCTGTTAATTACAATTCGCGATGACGACGTGTTTTTCAATATTGTAACAGTCGGTCGCGCTTTTCTTTGATGAACATGCATACCATATATGTACGTGATAGGGTGGCAGGCGTGCATGCGACACGTAATACGTATATTTTCCGGGAAACGAGAGAAAAAAATGAAACATTTTTAGCCAACAGGTAGACGAATTGACATAAAACGAGAAATCAAGATGAACGGAGAGAGAGAAGGAGAAGGAGAGGGAGAGGGAGAGGGAAAAGAGAGAAGGGGAAAAGAAATTAGTTGTATATCAATCAATTTCAATCGAGTATTAGCTAAAGAAGCCGCTATGAATAGTAAGTAATAAAATTCGAAGTTTTTTTGTATATTTCTCAATGCAAAATGTATAAATTTAGATTCGAAAAGTCCAGTTACAAAGGATGAAAAATCATCCAATGGGCACCATTTTTCTGAATCAAATCAATCTGCATTTCGTCGTATATCATCAATTAAATCTGATCCAACTGATAAAATCAATGAAAAATCAACTAAAAATGGAACATCAATTTCATCGGATGATCTTCTTTTAAATAAATCTTCAATGCCAAATCCATTTTTATCACCATTAATTTCTTCATCATCTGATTTTCATTCTCATCTTGCTCTTCTTCGTCCGTTTCTTTCTCAAACTTTACCATTTGTTCCAACGCTTCCACCTCCAAGTTATTGGCATACACTGCCATTGTTTCATCCCTATCTATCTTCTTTTCGTCCATCTGGACTTCTTCCACTGCCACTTTCTTCATCACCATCATCCTCAGGAGCATCAGCAACAGCATCTCTTCAACCAAAAGCATCAACATCGACATCAACAAATGCAAACAATAAAAAGTCCTCGTCCGCAACACACTATCATCAATATACAATTACAAATAATAATGTTCTTGTTCCATCTCCAGCATCCTTAATGGATTTTATTCGACGACCAACAACATCCAATGGAGATACAACAAATGCACATCCAACATCGAATAGTTCAAAATCAAAGAATTTAAAAAAATATAAATGTGATATTTGTTCAAGAGCATTCTCGAGAAGCAATACATTAGTTACGCACAAGGTATTGTAGAAGACGAAGAAGAAAAAAAAACGCTTTCTTATCCAATAAGATTCTTTGTATTTTAACCAATAAGAAATTAATCCAATAGTGACAGAAAAGAACACGATTGTTTCTTCCGTTATTCCGAGCAGAAAAAAAGAAAAAAAGTGTTTCACTACTTATCCATTTGTCTCTCAGCATTGATTTTGTGTTAACAAATATATATATCTTAGCACATATATTCACTGGTTGTACTCTAATAGAACGTTTGATGTAATCGTGACATATGTCCACTAACAGTAGTGTGAACGTGTGTCGGCTTGAATAACAAACGTTTTGACAGATTAACACCAATATTGATGATGATGATGATGATTGAACAATGGCTTATCTCAGCTAAAGACTTTTCTGTTCTTTACGGTTCTTTTAAACTTTATTTCTTTTTGGATTTCTAGCGTATTCATACGGGTGAAAAGCCATTTGTTTGTGAGGTATGCGATCGAGCGTTTCGTCAACCAGGAAATTTAACAAGACATAAATTAACGCATACAGCTGCGAAACCTTATGCATGTGAAATTTGTTCAAAAGCATTTAATCGAGCATCGAATCTTCATGCTCATCAACGTACTCATTCATTGATGATGCCTATGATGACAAAACCAACAACATCAACAAACAATAACAATAATAATAATAATGGTCATGGCCATGGTCCTTATACATGTGCGAAATGTCATGAAGCATTTGAACATAAATTCGAACTTAGTTTGCATATAGCTGCAATACATCATTCTGGTGAGTTTGATTTTTGATTAATAAAATTCGTTGATTAGACTATATTATTTTAGACATTAAATTGTTCCAAAAAAATAATGAAGAAGTTGAAGTTGACGATGGCGAGGACGATGATGATATTGAAGATGAACACTCGTTCGACAAAGAGGAAGATATGTCCGACGATAGCGAACAAAATATTGATTTACTTGAAAATTAGCTCGTTTTTCTTTTATCCGGTTTCGTTATCTTTTTTTCCCCTCTGTATTCTATTGTACAGATAAACGAAATTGACATGCACACACACACACATATATATATATATCATTAAATAAAACATCCAAACTGGAACAAAATACGCAAAAAAAAATGTTTTTTCTCCTAAAATTTAAATCATTGCACCATAAATCGCAGCGAATGGAAAATATAGCTGTCATGCAACAGTTCTTTTTTTCTTCTTCTAATCAACGGTTACTTTCTGCTTGCAATTGAGTCAATCGGTATATGTTGTCACTTACATTTGAAGAATCCTATCGAATAATACTTGCTGGGCATATTTCAACTTTACAAAAAACAAAATCATAAAACAGAAATTTCACGGCCAAGAAAAATCAGCGCACGGATAGAATCGATCAACTATACAAGAATAATTTATTTATGATGTGGATGTTATTTTCGAATTTTTTCATGTAGTTTTACGTGTAATCAATTCATAGGAAATTTCAATGTTAGTAGAATCATCAGCAGAAAAACATACAACGAACCTTTCTGTATATCGAGAATCTTCTTTCAAAGTGACACATAGTGTCCGTAACTTACGAAATGTAAAGATCAACAACAATAAATATATTTTTTCATAAAATAGTCGGCGCATTACCGGACCCCATATATTGTCAACATTGTTTTGCATTATTTTTTTTCAGGAAAAAATATATTATTAGCTAGAATTTGTAAGACTTTCTTATTCAATTAAGAAACTATTTTTTTGCTGCTTTTGTTGTAAATAAATATGTGAAAAAAAGATTAGCGAGAAAAAATTTGTTTTTCTAGTCGTAACTTTTTATATTCATAGCTTCTAATTTCAAAGTTAATGTTCTTGGAAAAATTATTTCATGGATTGCCTATCACTCATCATTGCTAACGTCATAATTGTTTTGAATGTATATATTGATATTGCTAGCGTTTGCTCTTCCTGGATGCATGAAAAAGTTTTGAACAATATCATCTAAATGAAAATAGGTCAGTGTAAAAGATAGTTCGAACGTAAAGAAAAAATAAATTGATATGAAAGAGAATATAAATTAATAGAAAAGAGAAAGTAGTCTGAATCTAAAGAGAAAATAGACTCATATAAAAGAGAAAATAAATTGGTATAAAGGAGAAACTAGATGATTGCCTTTGGTAGACTTTATTCAGTCTACAAATAAATTAAAATCGTGTACAAAGTCGAAAAGAAAATTTCCAGGGAGAAAGCTATAACGGAAAAAAATTCGAGCAGGGGGAAATCCTCCACTGCACGCGCTCATCGTAAACTATGATTGTCAATAATTGTTTCCTTTTTTCGTAAATAGTCATCAGTAACTAACTATCCACCATCGAAAACATATCTATTTCTATTCGATATGGATCACTCATCCCTTGTGATGATGCTGTAAAATTCATTCTACAGATTTTCATTTGTCATACGAACTTCTATTTAATCAATAGATGAATTCGCGATAAATTATTCTAGATTTAATAAAGAGTTTCTATACGACGGATAAACAATGGCTGCCTTTCAAAGTCTTATTCGAAGAATGAATGTGAGATTCACTTGTGAAATCAGATGGTAGCAAAACAGTAGAAGGAAAATTATATTATTTCTAATAGCTTTTGCAAAAAATCCGTTTTTCAACCGAGAAACTCATTGCAAATATTTTAGTATCTGTTCTACTGCACTGAAACATGATCGGAAATTTAATAATTCCAAACTAATGATCACAAATGACTATATTAAAACAAAGCCGGAACTGTTTAAATAATCGCAAATGATTTATTTGCTGCGCATCATATAATCTTCTTCTTCTATTGCAATGTAACTAATTATCCAAACAAGGAGAAAGTATGTTCAAAGGTCATTAAGGATTTGTCTTTTCTTCTTTTGCGAATGCTTGAAACTAAGTTTATGCTTTTAATCTATTGACAAACATAGTTTTACGTTTAAACGAGAGAGACATAATTGTACATAAACAAAGAACGTTGTTTAACTACTAAAATACTATTGAACAACAATAATTGTTTCTTTACTTTTCTTCTTTATCTCGCCAGTGCATATATGCTGAAGATAAATAGATGCTAACTTTCAGACAAAGCGTGATACTTCTAGTCAGTATCATAACGATACTGGCTATTATTGCCATAATCACTGGCCTTTCTCCGCTCTATTGGCCGCATCCAACAAATTTATTTAACGAAAGTAACTAACCATGATTTTCTTCCCGACGTTGTATGAAATCTATGATCGATTTATTTTAGAGAATGCATCATTATCATTCGTTGAAATGAAGAACAATTCATCGGCTATGAAAACACCGTTAACTACACGTCCAAAATTAGTTTCAAAGAATTTAGGTGAATTAACACCTGATACAGTTACCACTGGATTACCCACAACGACAAATATAGTTTTAGCAAACTCTACTATTATTTAGCAATCAATCGTCGGCATGTAATATTTATACAAACACGAAATGAGAAATTATCAAGTAGTTTAAATAGATATTGATTTGTTTCTCTTTAAATCATAAAAATAGATGAACTGTTATTGATTTTTAGTTTGTAATTAAATAAAAATATGAAGTAAAAAGAAAAACGAATTATATTATCATTATCATGATTCTGTTTTTTGTGTACTCAAAAAGTGAGTACACTGTAGATTCGGTCAGTGTGTCCGTCCGGCCGTTAACACGATAACTCTTGAAAGCCTCATCCAATTGCCATGAATTTTTGTACACAGAATGATCTCATCAATATCTCAGTCGAGTTCGAAGATGAGAAGGATCCGTCAAGAAATGGCTGAGTTATTGAAAAACTTTTCATTAATGACCAGAGCATCCCTGAGGGGGAGGGGTACAGGGATTTTTTCAAAAAAAAACATTTGTTTTTCTCAGAATTATTCATAACATATATAAGTCGACTCTGTTTTTGAAGTACACATAACAATTGGATGTAAATCCGATGTTTCCGCATTTATTTTGTTGCCTTATCGAATTCTAAAAGGAATGTTGAGGACGAAAATTTGGACCTCCGATAGGCGGCGCCGATATGCAATCAAAAAGAGCAAATGAACAAGCCCACGTTAGAGTATATGAACTATTTTCGAAGGATTAAGTTAACGGATGGTAAAGAAATATATCATACAATAGATAAAATCAAACAATCTCCTTATGATAAGTAAAACCACCTTCATCGACTTTCGTTTTCTAATCCCTTAGAAGTTAGGTAAAAAGCTTTTACTTGTGACAAAAATTTTTAATTAAAAATATTAATCACTTTCTAAATGAATTAAACAACATACTATAGATCTTTCTAAACAAAAGCATATCTTGAAAATACGATATTGGTATTTCGTTACTTTTTGCTTCAAAATTCATATTTGTTTTCTTTTCATTTCGATAGAAAATTCCGTGTAACTCTATGGATTCGAATGTTCTTTTAACAAACAACATGAAGTCGATGCAAAGTTAAACTAATATCGTTGGTTAACTTCCTAACATTCGAAAAGAGGAAGCATCACTCGTTGCTTTACATGAGGTTATTTATTTGATTTCTCCTACAAGAAAAGCGATCGAAAGCAAATATTACACGAAAGAATTGATACTTAAATAAAAACTTTGTTTTTACAATTTTCTTTTTTGAAACAAGTTTAAATCGAAAACTTTACTGCAGTATTCAACAAAATGAAACCTATACGGAACAAAGTCTGACGATCAAAATTTTCTTGTCTTATCGAAAGTCAGAGGACACACCAGAGAATATAAAATATGGCTTAGGAGTACAGCGTGGGATGATTGGCACATTGTAATAAAATCATTATTATTCATCGTTTGAATAATATTCAGTAGCGTCTATTTTACCGGCATATTCATTCAGAAGAGTCATTTTCTTTTAGAGAATGGATAAATGTTTTTTTTCTTTTTTCTTTTCAACACCGGTGTAACATTATTTGCATTTGCCTAGTACGAGAGTAGACGTTTTCAAAAAGAACTCTTTATTTTGATTGAAAAACAAAAATTCAACAGCATTCGAAGACAGGAGTTTAAATTTCGTAGTCTCATTAGATTGATGCTTTTTGCTTGCTTTGATCTATGTGCTTCTGTGAGAAAAAAAAGCAAAGAACGAAAAGAACATCACATGCCCTTCTCGAGGCAACACATTCAATTACACCTATGACGATGCATTATTACAAGCATAATAATGACAGTGCGTTTAATAGAAAAATAAAATATTTGCTACATTGAAAAATTATGACAATGGTGACAACATTTCAAGAGTTATGTATTGATATTATTGTTGAAATTTTATCATATTTTAATGTACATGAACTTTTTTATTCATTTTGTCTTCTTATTCCGTGCTTGCCAAAATTATTAGTTAATGCTCGAGTACGATTGCATGTTCGATCGAATAACTCTTATTTTATTCGATGGATTTTACCGCATATTCAATTGACTCAAGTTTATTCACTTAATGTTCCAGCTCGTCCATATAATCCATCTATATTTGAATTTACAGGTCTTCGTTCACTCGTACTCTACGATGTCGACAATCCATTGTTACTTCTTGAAAGTAGTAATAATTGGCCACCGTATTACCTCGAACATCTTTCGCTACATATACGAAATCAAGACACGCCAAGTACATCATCAAATATTGGCACACGAGTACTTGAACGTGCTTTTCAATTACGAAGATTGAAACGTTTCGAATTACATGAATCGAAATCTAGTTTAAAAATGGTCGCAATGTATGATCAATTAATTTTTCCATCGGCTTTTCAATCGTCGACTATCAAATGTCTAATTATAACTGTTTACTGCAATTGGACAACTCTACAATCCATGCTCAATTATTTACCTGATTTACGTCATTTTCGATTTCGCTCTAGTCTGAATTATTTTGAAACTCGTTCTCCTCAATTTTGTTTTTCATTGATTCGTACACTCAATCTTCGACTCGATGGCTTACAAACAGATAATTTTGTTAGTTTATTTCGTAGCGCACCAGTTTTACGTCAACTTCGACTACAATGTTCTTTCACTCTCTTTAAACAATGTCAAATGAATTTACTTAAAAGTGACGCATGGATTCAATTGATGGATACATATACACCTCACCTGAAAGTTATTGAGATTGATCTTCAATTTCGTTTAAATAATGTTAATGGAAAAACAATTGAAATGATCAATGATGATTTAAAAATTTTAAATTTAAAAATTAATAGTGATTCAAATAATGGAAATCATTGTTGGAAAATGGCAGGCATTTTCAGACGATTTTATTCTAAAGAAAATTTAAATTAGTAACAACAACACACTAAAAATATGTGGTTCCTGCCATTTTGAGTGTGTATTGCAATTGTACCATTCTGTATATCATGTTTCCAATAAAAGGTCTAAAATATTGGATGCTCCAAAAGAATTCTATGCAGCACCGCTGTGTAGAAGATCATCGTTGGAATTGATATCGTCTATCCTTCACGTGCATGAGTACGAACCAACATTCAAAAAATCAATGAAAATTTTAATGAAAAAGACCCCATCTTTTAGATAGATACTTCCTGGATCTTTAAGAAAACTCAATGCACAAAATTTAGCAATTCCAAATTCATTGTTCCTGTCGCTTGATGGCCGATTAAACGCTGATACATTGTCACCAGGTTTAATGACTGATACAATATCTTTTTTTTGTCTTGATTGATCACATAAACATATATAAATATCATAAGGAAATGGAAAGACAAGAATCGAGTCCATATTTCCTCGAAGTAATGATACATAGATGGATAAGTATTCTTGACGTTCCGCGCCAGATAGATAAGTTGAACATATACGAAGCATTAGTTTGTATCCCCAGGCTGATGTGGAAAACTCAGGAGTCTGTGTTGAAAATTGTGCATTTATTTCATTGGGTTCTTTAGCAATAGGAAATGTGATGGTATCATTCATATCCAACACTAAAGGTTTAGTAGGCCATCGTGAATTTTTAGCATCATCTATTTGTTTTTCCGTTTCAGTAAGACCGTCCATACATTTCTTAAATTTTTCATTGTCATTCTGCATCTCTTTTCCTATTTCCTTTCCTTGCTGAAGTATATCGTTATTTTTCGTTTTGATATGCTCACATTCAGAGTTTAACCGTTTGCAATCCTCCAATGAATTATCTACAGCCGATGATATGCTATCAATGTTTTCATTAACAGCCATTAATTCTTGCTGGATATTGCTGTCAACATTGCATGAATCTATAGTATTGGATGGATGTTTTTTTCTAACACAGATATCACTAGTAACGTTGGATAGAATTGTCTGATGTTTCATAGAAAGGCAATGTGCTCCCATATCGGACCATTTTATCTAAAGTCGAAACAAAATATTCTTATGAAATCATAAAATATATTTCAATATGACATACTAGTTCCGTACAACCAGGCAATCCGCATGGCATACATCGATATTCACACATTTCTTCTCGATGTTCTTGGTACAGATTTACAGAGTAAAAACGTTGATGGCAATCAATACACTCGAAATCTGCATGTTCTTTTTCTAAATGAATCTAAAGATGAAATCATTGTTTTACTAAGGTTTTTTGAAAAGAAATAAAATACTTTATAATCATTATACAATCCATTCCAAGAACACGAGAAGCATTCGATTTTAACCATATTGAGTTCACGTGCTGCTCCTCGATCAGCATGTGCCTATTCAACAATAAAAGAAAAATTATCATCAAGATAAATTATTATTGTACCTGTTTTTTTGCTTGTGTAGCATTGCAGAATAAGCATGTAAATGGTTCGCTAAATTAAAACATATGATTTAGGGTGACAATTATTTTGGCCTAATTTCAAGGGTTGCTCACTTTTCTGGTACTCCCCTAATCGAACACCATCGGCACAGCCGGCTTCCACAACATAAAAGCTGTATTGGGTCCAATAATAATAATTTACATAATTCACATAATAGATTAATATCGATGGTTTTTGGGTTTCGTATCCTTAATCCTCCAGATATAACAACAGATTTATTTGAAGTTGCCATGATTGATGCTATTAGACGAAAAAATGATAGACGATGTTAAACTGGTATGCATATATGTAAAATGTCGGTGATATTTTACTACGGTGAATTGATCATCATGTAGACAATCATTGTATTTCCCAGTGAAAAATATTCGCTGATTTCAATCAAACTAATTTCCACTCGGTTGGCAATAACATTAAATTTGGGTTAAATGGTGGCCGATTAAAATCAAAATTATCAATGGAATTGCGGATTGAATTTTGTTGCACAATAATTTCATTGAAATCAGCGAATATTTTTTACTGGGTAATAATTGTGACTTTTCCATTACTTATAGATACTGTGTGTTCTAAGGAAGGACAAATTCAGTCATAGTAAACAAAGCAAGGCTACATCTTACACATGAGGTACATGTCTACTTTACTGAGCTATAGAGAATGGACAAAAAGGAGGTTCAGTGATGAGCTTTTCGTTGCACCAGTTAGGCTGATGATCATTAGAAATATGGTATGTAATTCAAGTTTACTCTTTAACTTCTCAATATATATGCATGCGATCAATTGCGATGAATTTGATTCTTTCGTAATCGAAAGAATTCCTGTTTTACTTATTTTATTCTGATTCACATGGGAAAATGTAATTTCACATTTTGGACACTTCAATTACATTTTTAGAAATCATTGAAAACAAGATGGCAACTTTTCAATGGTAAATACTAGAGCCACACAAGAAGCAAGAAAATATCAAATAATTGTAGCCAATAGAAAGGTCACAAATTAATAACAAAATAGTCGCTGTCTATCGGAATCAGATAGAAAATGTATTGCAATTATAGAGGCCGCAAAAACTCGGGAGAACATTTTGTTTCTTTGCCTTTCGTTCAAAATTGCTCCTTAGTATGCATTTTCTTTGATGTACGTTTCTATCTTGATACTCTACCGCTACCTTCATATAATTAATCAATGGCTGTAACATCCATAATTTAAAAAAAATTCAGATGATCTATCCATTCAACTAGAAACTTTATATTTCTATTAATTGTATTCGAATAGAAATGAATCCTTTTTGCAAGAGAAATAAGACCAATAATGAGAAGAACAGCGACGAGCGTGTTATTCATAACTTTCTAATTATTATGTCGAATGCACAGAAAAGTAAGAAAAAAAATCGAAAAAAACTATATTAAACCATTCTCTTCTCCAAGTAAAACAAAAAATATATCACTCGTCTTCTGTGGAATTTAGATAAACTTTTTTGAGATCCTATGAAGAAAATTAATTTTTCTAATTATATTTCATTAAATTAATCAATGTTGTTTTCTATTTTAATATTACTCTGTAGTATTGTTATCACAATTCTATTTCATAAACGTAAACTTCTATTATCTTCACCTCTTTTTACAACTCAGATACCATTTCGATGGATTTCAATGCATCGCAAGTGCGTATTTTCGAAATCTTATCATCAAACTAAAATATTAGTCAGAATAATTTGATGTTTACTGCTACGATTATAGTGATAGTAGAATCTCTATTAGGTTTTTTTATGCAAATGCTTCAATACAATTCTCGCTAAGAGTTTTGACTTACCAAGAATATTAGTGAGTTTATTTAAATAGAACTTAAGATAAGAATCCAATAAGCGAATGCTGTTCTTACAAAAACTTGAATCTGTTACCAATATGTTTTTTCTTCCAAACGACGACGACGACGACGAAATGATTGAAAAAAAAGAATGAGACAACGCTTTGATTACGTAATTCATTATAGCTATAGTCTTTGTGTTTGTAACAAATAAATAGTAATTGAAATTCTATTAGACGATGAAATGGCACATACACCCTTTAATAGAAAAATGAATCGATCTATTACAGACAGTGAGTAATCGCTTTTATGACTGGTATAATTTGCATGATTCAAAAATATATTATAAGTTTTTGATGAAACACAATTCTATGATTTCATTGTAAATCAACAAATGGAATATCTAAGATAACTCTAGGAATAGTATTGCTCCATTGTATTTCGTTGCATCGATATTTCAAAAGTAAACTTTATCTATGACACTTATCTATTGGTAGTTGCATTCGTAAGTACAGGAGCTACCTTGAGTAAGATTAGAACCAAGATGAGATGTCGATTTTATGTGACTAATTCTTGCTGAAAAAAAGAAATACTTTTGGTTTACCTGCCTTTGGAAATTCTATGTAGTGAGATATAAGAAAACTATTTTCTTCATATCAGTAGAAGAATTTTATTTCTGTATGCCTTATTAAATACTGTACAGTCACAATCGTTCGTCCTAATTGATTTCCTTAAAACGGATGAGTAATAGCAGTGTTTTTACTGCTTGAAATTGGCTTTCTCATTATTTTTAATTGAACTATAATCATTAGGAAAAGAATGCGAAGACAAAAGCACGTGGTAGAGTACGTCACAGATATTTGACAAGCTGCAAGATAGGAACCACGCTTGAGTGTGGGTGAAAATAAAAATTTTCCCAACATATGCTTCTACATGATTCAGCTGCTTTCTTCACGTATTTTCATTGGCCATGCACCCATGCCAATTGGATACGTACGTAATGGCATGATCAGTCATATGCATCATATTCCAAATAAAAATAGCTCGCTTAAGTTTAAAAAAATTGTCCTACGCATATTTACGATGATATTTAGTTGACTCCATGTGCTTACAGCGCGATATAACGATGACAGAAGAATAGATAGGCAAGAATTATTAGTTCATTAGAATATATCAAATACACTTGTGCTCTGTGAAGGAATAAACGTTTCGAATTGACGAAAACTTTCGTGATGATAGATCGTAAAAAGAGAGAAGATGAATGATTTCAATTTGTTTATAGGCAGCGTCGTATATTCAAATGAGTAATCGAATGGCGCAAGTAAAATGTTGACTAAAGAAAGACGCATTTTATATTTTGTACGCAGTAATCTCTTCATGATAAAAGTTCATAACTGAGTGACTCATATATTGCGTTCACAGTCGCGCACGCCTTTGTTTGAATGCGTAACATAAGCATATAACTTTACAATAGTAAATGAAAGCGAAAGACAACGACATGATCTATGACTACGACTCTGTCGAGTATATTCAATTTAAGAGATGCATGACAATGAAATGAAGAACGATTTACTGTTCAGCGAGTGATATTATGAGATAAGTAACCCCTGTGTAACGGCAAAATCATAGAAAGTTAATATGCCCTCAAGAGATAAAGTATAAACAGCCGTGCCAATTTCAAAAACGAATACATTAATATTAACGCCATTTTCAGTGCCTCACTTTTGCATGGACTTAACCACATTTTCAAATTTATTGCTTCAATACTGTTCATATATCTTAATACGAACGTTACGTGCATTGCACAGCTAGGACACGTACAAGTACGAAAAGTAAAAGTATTTTACGTGTACTTTTACTAGAAAAAGTACAAAAAATACACATAGAAATACTTTCGTTGGCACTCTATTGCACTGCAATTATACAAGATGCACATTTTTAATCTTTTTTCTCAATTTTACTTGTGACTTTGATTACACTTTCAGCTACGACGCACAATTTATTTCTTACACACGAATAAGCATGGCTCAGAACTTTTAATCATGTGCGTCATGCACGCATATTGCATCATGTATGCACGATAATACTGACAATTACTTTCACTCTAGATGATTCACTTCTATTGAGTAATCAATTTATTTAACCTTCTATTTTTCGAAAGGCTGAACAGAGTAGGTGGATTTTGCTTCTCTTAGATGCAGTGCGAATACAGAACATACATTCGAGATTTTAAAGTTCAAAAAATAATGAGAAATTCTTGTAAGAGATGTTGCGAAGTCTCATAGGACGTTCTGAAGTGTTCGACTTCAGTAGAGCAAAAATTGAATCTTTTTCAATGCTTTTCACGTTTAGGTAGTTGGAGAAATAATTTCGAAAAGTTTCATTAGTTTAGATTAATTGTTTTGAAAATTTCTACAAGATGACTAGGGCATTTCGAAAAATGATTTTGTGATTTTGTGACCGCCTGTTTATGGAAATTGATGGAGAGTCGGGTGTTGCATTTTACTGAGTAGCATTAATTTCATAAGGAAGTTGAATGTGCTTTGTATGCAAAATACGCTATTTTCAGTGATGATAAGATCGAGCTCATGAGGTTATCTTCCACAATTCTAAGCGAAGGCTTCTATAAGTTTTCAGTATTTGAAGTCTAATTTAATAGTATATGAGCCGGACTTATGTTGATCACAACTATCATGACAGATAGTTTCATCGAAAAATGGTAGGTTCGACAGAAAATATAAAAGGAAATATAGGGGACGTGAGATTCGGTTCCCAGGTCGAACATACACGGTCGTATACGACGGTAAATCGCCGTATTTGGCCGTATTACATGGCTCCGTATTACGATCGTAAATCTCCGTGCCGTATACGGCGAAATACGGCGCTTTACGGTCGTTTTTGATCGTGTTTCACCGTATTACGACACGGAGATTAACGATCGTAATACGGAGCCATGCAATACGGCCAAATACGGCGATTTACCGTCGTATACGGCAGAAAACGGCCGTATACGGCCCGTATTTCACCGTATACGGACGTCGTAAAGCTCGTCCTGGGTTCCTGATTCTGGGTTCTCGAGAACTCGAAGCCTATAGTAACTTTCTCGAAACACATAGTAGAATGCTTTAAGAATTTCCTATTGTGTATAAACTTGAATAAAATCGAATTCATGAAATGTGTTTTTCTACACTGAGAACACAATCCTGGTGCCTCTAAAGCCGTAAAATGACTCATTCATAAGATATACATATCAGCAATACACAAACAATGACCATGCATTAGTATACTTAGCCATAGTTATCGTCTTATCAGCACTAAATAAGTGTAAAATTATTTGCTTTATAAACGAACCCGAGATGTATTTGCCGAAAAAATTCAAATTCAAGTGACTACGGTTCTTATTCTATATAAATGTCGGAGTTGACTCTAAAATCCAGTTGCCTTTAAAATCAGCTGGATGGAGCTAATTGATTTTAAAATCAGCTAGGATGGAGCCAGTTGACTTTAAAATGAATAATCATAAAGTTGTTATGCACTAATCGATAATGAATTTGTTTAACTGACGGAAACTTTGCGATCTGAAGTTAACAAAGAATTATTTATTTACTATCAAACCATCATTTCATTTAATAACGAAAGAGGCTTTCTACTCAAAGCTAGATGATTATTTGAATGAGTTAGATACTAAACGACAAGCGAAGTACTTGATAACAACTGAAACATATGAAAAAGGGTGGGGTGTGGGCGTGGGTAAGACTCAAAATCATACCCACACCCTCAAGACATAAATATCACGAACAAATCGCAATTGGATTTCGAATAATTTTCCATTCATTTTGATTATTTTTCAGTTGATTCTCTAGAAGCCTTCTAGTATCACATAAAGGAAAATAAGAAATCACGTTATTTTACTTTAGAACGCAATTGATGTGTACCTCTTTGCGAAACATTGCATCGCTGTCTCACATAACAACTAAATAACACTCCATAGCATGTTATGAAAAGAAAAAGAGTGAATGCATGATGAGAACGACAAAAACAAAATATATAATATCAGTCCAAACCTATAGTAGAGTATACGAGAACAATATACAAAGGACCTTGATAAGATTTTTATCAAAATACAGTTTCTGTTAGCACTAAAAACAAAATTTTCTAGGTTATTACTGTCTGTATGGAATTCGCATGCTCATAAATGTACTATTGATTACATGCGGACTCATTGATTTCAAACAATCAATAGTAAAACTTGCCTGAGACAAACTTTTGAACGTTGCCCATCACTAGATGTCAATATATTTTATCAAGAAATGCACAGATATTTGAGAAAATTTCCTATTTCACAAGTTTTGCAATAATGAAAAATCATTTCTTATGCCTTGCATTTTCTTTCATCAGAATCATTATCACAATGTACAACGTTACTTTGTTTCGTACCAGCCTATATTCATTGTTTAAATTTTCTTTATTAAGGTTTTCATCTGTATTTTTATCGAATTTCATTAAGTCAACAATGTTTCGTTTTCTTTCGAGGTTTCGATTTTGGACTATTATGTTTTCTTCATTTTAAAACTTTAGAATTTCATATTATGATACTATGTATAGTCTGTTGCATTCTAGCAAACTGTGAACAGAATTGATAAAGAAACTGGTGCTATTGGATTAATTGAAAGCCTGTTAAGAATAACATTGAGAATTATAAAAGGCATATTTGAGTTGAGAGTAGCGCGACAGCCGGTGAAAAATATTCTCATGAAAATTTTTACTGATGGGTCATAGCTAGTAAGAGTGTATTTATATCGTTAACGAAAATGTTTTTGCTCATAAATATTAAAAATTTAGAAACTATAGTGCTCCAACTATTGGTAATATTACAAAAAATATCGATACTATTTCTTTTTCTGACAAGTTTTTCTCATCTAACTGAATATCTATTCTTTCAAGATTTAACTAATAAGATATGTTGGTTTTCCTAATTACTATGCTCAATATTCTCGATAGCAGTAATCAATATAATGAAGAAGTTTTATGAAGAATACTCATGCTCGTATGAGATGAGCAACATGAATACTATTTCATATTGCTCTAATGCCTGTTTAACACAGATTTTATACTGTCATCAATGATTAAGCATTGTTTCATCGCAAAATAGCAACAATTATAACAAAATCCTAGCGACATAGCGCCTATCAAACATTTTTACATTGCAACTATCGACATACCTTCGCTTGATCTTCCACATACATCCGTATAAAATGATGACGTCACTAACTAAATATTTTATTGGCGCATTTAGTTGGAAAAAATATTTGGTTGTTTTTTTTCCAACTAAATGTGTCAATATGAAAACAACGACGTCGGAAGATTTTTCGCAATAAGCAAGACGCAATAAGCAAGACGCAATAAAATAACAAATGCCTAGAAGCGAACTAGGCTGTAAAATCTGAAATTATCGACGCCATTAAGAAATGAACTTTAATCATCTAGGTTTCATTTGTCTACCATACATAAGCAGGACTATTTTTTCAGAAATCTTCATGTACAGTAAACGTAAACAGAAATTTGTAAGTAGTGTGCTTATTCGGGGAGTAGGTGAATATCTTTTAATTCTTTTCAGTTCCTTATAACGATATTCTACTATTACACCACGCGGGAAACGAGATAAACTAGTTAAAAGAACCCATACGATCTCATAAATCGGCGTATTTCATATTGAAAAGTTTATAGATGAACTTTTCTCATGAGAATAAAGACAAATTAGTTAACATTTCCTACACAAATAGGAGAAATTGTTTTGCAAACTGCGCAGTTTTCTCTTTTTTCTTCATAGATAAGATGACTCAGGTTGAGATAAACTACATACAATTCGTAAATACACGAGCGCTATCAACAACATGAATTACGTTGACACTGCCGCCAGTGTATGTAGAAATTGTATGTAGCTTATCTCGACCGATGACTCATCGTCAAACTTACGACGAACTAAAGCAAATACGCAATTACATCCAACGAATGAGTTTTACTGTGAATGTGTAACATATACAATATTTACGAAGAAAGCTTTAAAAGTCTGTTTTATTTCTACTTTTATTCAGCCCAGTAAAAAGAAATCTCTCGAACGACAGTAACTTTAAAGAAGGATATTTATTATTTCCTAGTTTACAACCATAAAAACGTTTTTGTATATGTTCATAAGGAATATTATTCCAGTGCATTGGTGTAAACTGACTCACTGGTCTCAGGATTCAATGCTGAGGACAGTGCAAAGCGATCGTTGTAAAACTTCTTATATTCTCGATTCAATTGTCAGAAGGCATTTTCAAAAGTTCTAAACAAACATGAGTCAAAAATAAATGCGAGTTTCTTCATAGCAACGAAAAAAAACAGTTAGCGAAATATGATGCTCACACATTCATGTCAAGAATTACGGGTAGGTTTTGGTTTTAAGTGACCCAGATAATGCAATATCTGATTTTCATGAAACAAACTGATTGAATCGAAAGTAACAAACCTGAGATGCAGTTCTGCTTTGATTCGCCATCATCGTCATATGATCCACATGATGTGCAGCAATGGAATACGCCTTGACTGTCAGTAATGATTAATGCTAATGATCCAGAGATGATGGTGATGGTGAATATTATGTTGATGGCTGCGCTGAATGTAACAGATGCTGATCGATGTGTTCTTCATATTTCGAATAAATGGTGACAATAATTTTAATACACTGCGAAAAAACGAAGTACATCATGAGAAAAGAAGAAACACGCATCGTGCAAATAAGCAGCGTATTGTTATAGAAACAACACAATGACGTCAACGACATATTCTACATGGCTGAGTATTTGTTGGCAGGATTGTTTTCGTTGTTTCTGTTTACTCCGTAAGTTATAGTATTTTCTTTATCACCCACGAAAAACAGAATTAAGCACGAAATTGGAAATAACGGCATCACACTAACCAGCAGTTTTTCAAGGCAACAGAGGCCAGATCAAAAGCAAAACCATCCGATTGCGCTGGAGAACGTGTTTCCTAAAAGACGCAGTACAACGCGGATTCTACGAGCAACGCTAACTGTCTGACGCATGCAACTTTTGAAAAACGCGATTCAACGCGTTTTTTCTAAAGTATTCCATCAGACATGACCGGTGCAAGACTTTCATATTTACCTGAAATTCACACCCAAATTACTAGGATCTGCCATTCAAGCAGCGATGCCGGTTTCTCTCACCCTGAATGAAGGTTGTGGTGTCAAGTTAATCCTCAGATTAATGTAGAGCTGATTTAAAATAATGGGACACTAAAATCCTTCTCTGTCTGACATATGGCTTGATACCAGCATATCCTGTGAAAGAGAAATGAAACTGCGGAATATGGGACGATAACTAACCACGGCTATCATCTTGCCTACAAGTGCTTATGAGACTGGAAATCAGTGAAACGCATGAAGCAATGGTATACGAAATCACGAGGAGCCGTACTTGAAAGACAAGCAATCTATCAACCATTAGATAATCGTAGTTTTCGAAATTATGGTTAGCCAGGATATTGAATATCATGGTTTCATTTCAAATTTTTATGTGAGAGAATAGTGATATTACTTCAATACGATTTTGGTATCCAAAGAATAGAATATAAGTGACTCGAGCAGCTGAGAGTGTAGGATGCGAAAAAGATCCATACGAATGTGGGACCCTACGTGTGTGAGTCTTCAATGTTTCTATACTCTCAGCGTCCAACCATGCCTTGAGCATACCCATTAAATGAAACGCATATTAGACATTTTCTTCTCGCATATACGTGGTAGTTGGGTACAGAAGTTTCCATCATATTCGTAATTTTTTGCTACTATTTCCAACATTAAATGGCAAAATATCATGCAGGAGGTTCACATCGATTCTATCTTATTCCAAAAACACTCATCATTCTGAACATGAAAACGACTGTTAGTAACTGAATGCGTAAATAAATATATGGTTGCTCATTATTTGGATATCTTCACAAAGACATCAGAAATTATATGAAAATATTGTCAAATATTCGTCCCATAATGTTTTATTGAAAATTGGCACAGGCTTCATTGAATATCTTCTTTTATGTTCCGCATTTAAATTCATCTTCTACAGTGAATCTTTTTCGGCTTGTTTGCCTATGGTTTTAGTTTTGAAAGACAAAAAAAGACACCGGAAGAAATGAACTATATCAATATTCATTTTGAAAAGTGAGTTGTTTTTACAAATAGTGTTTTTTTTAAGTTACTCTGAGCCATTTGTATTCACCGGCTCATTTTTCGATTTCGCCAACTTTGATTTCATATTCATAAAATCAATATATACACGAATACAAAAGACGCCATCTTTTAAATAGCTACTTCCTGGATCTTTAAGAAAACTCAATGGACAAAACTTAACAATTCCAACTTCGCTGTTCCTGTCGCTTGACGGCCGATTAAACGCTGATACATTGTCACCAGGTTTAATGACTAATTCAATATCTTTTTTTTGCCTTGATTGATCACATAAACATACATAAATATCATAAGGAAATGGAAAGACAAGAATCGAGTCCATATTTCCTCGAAGTAATGATACATAGATGGATAAGTATTCTTGACGTTACGCGCCAGATAGATAAGTTGAACANGTCTGTGTTGAAAATTGTGCATTTATTTCATTGGGTTCTTTAGCAATAGGAAATGTGATGGTATCATTCATATCCAACACTAAAGGTTTAGTAGGCCATCGTGAATTTTTAGCATCATCTAATTGTTTTTCCATTTCAGTATGGTCGTCCATACATTTCTTAAATTTTTCATTGCCACTCTGTAACTCTTTTCCTATTTCGCTTTCCTGCTGAAGTATATCGTTATTTTTCGTTTGGATATGCTCACATTCAGAGTTTAACCGTTTGCAATCCTCCAATGAATTATCTACAGCCGATGATATGCTATCATTGTTTTCATTAACAGCCATTAATTCTTGCTGGATATTGCTGTCAACATTGCATGGATCTATAGTATTGGATGGATGTTTTTTTCTAATACAGATATCAGTAGTAAGTTTGAATAGAATTGTCTGATGTGTCATAGAAAGGCAATGTGCTCCCATATCGGACCATTTTATCTAAAGTCGAAACAAAATATTCTTATGAAATCATAAAATATATATCAATATGACATACCAGTTCCGTACAACCAGGCAATCCGCATGGCATACATAGATATTCACACATTTCTTCTCGATGTTCTTGGTACAGATTTACAGAGTAAAAACGTTGATGGCATTCAATACACTCGAAATCTGCATGTTCTTTTTCTAAATGAATCTAAAGATGAAATCATTGTTTTACTAAGGTTTTTTGAAAAGAAATAAAATACTTTATAATCACTATACAATCCATTCCAAGAACATGAGAAACATTCGATTTTAACCATATTGAGTTCACATGCTGCTCCTCGATCAGCATGTGCCTATTCAACAATAAAAAAAAAATTATCATCAAGATAAATTATTATTTTACCTGTTTTTTTGTTTCTGTAGTATTATAACAAAATAAGCATGTAAATGGTTCGCTAAATTAAAACATATGATTTAGCATGAGCATTATTTTGGCCTAATTTCAAGGGTTGCTCACTTTTCTGGTACTCCTTTAATCGAACACCATCGGCACAGCCGGCTTCCACAACATGAAAGTTGTATTGGGTCCAATAATAATAATTTACATAATTCACAGAATAGAGTAATATCGATGGTTTTTGGGTTACGTATCCGTAATCCTCCTGATATAACAGCATAGTCATTTGAAGTAGTCATTCCAAGTTGCATTCGGTACTAAACATTGAGAATATTAAGTGAATAGGTTTTTTTCGATTTACAAATCAATGATAAAAGAATTGCAAAAAAACACACATCATTGTATACATTTTATATGCCTAATTTCAGTATCTGCACAATGATTTACTGTTTGCTATTTGAATGTCATCGTGTGTGAAGGACATCATCGCAAAGCATAACGATAGCACTTGCTGGATTTGCTATCATAAAAGAATATTCTTCAAATAGCGAAAACAGTTTTGCCTAATCAGTATCATATATAATCGAGGCAGTTAAATTTAGCATCAAGTAGAACATAGCGTAGGTTTGAATAAACTGCATGTGCAAATGTGAATCAACTGACAAACTTAATTTTCTTTAGGAATCAGGTTATAACATATTACAGTATTGATTTAACTACGTTATGGTTGATCATCATAGATTAATTTTTACCGCTGACGTGCATTAACGAGTTCGATTACTCATCTATCTCTTTAATTTCTATATTAAGCATATGAGTACATATTATTCATATTGGAACACAAAGGTCATTTATCAAGGTACTTCACTTTCAAAATATGCTGAATGCTCTTGAAGTGAAGGCAAGCTAGGGTAGAAATCACATTAGGGAAAGTTATAAGAAATGAGTGGTATAATTTCGTTAAATATTTTCTTTGTATTTATTCATTTTCATGAATGACTTTGATAACTTGAATGGCAACAAGCTTATCGTTTTTATTGGCACCGATCGATAAACAACAATTAACAAAATTACCACTTCAACCTTAAAATAATTTATTTTTAAGTTATCTGAAAATACACGAACACGACAACAGCATTGAAAAAATGGTAGATAACCAGCTGATGCAATTTCGCCTGCCAGCAGATTTCTCCCATGAAATGTATTATGAAAAATATTCAAGTCGATTTTTAGCTGCTTTATCACATATCTGCATCAAGTATAAGATAATTTTACAATCGAGCCGCACGCATTCTGTTTAGTAAAGTTATATATGTAGTACTTCCTATGAAAACAAAATTACACTTTTCTTGCGTAATCTTTGCCGCGATTACGTACCATTATCTGAGTACATTTACATGTGCATGACTTCGAGAGAAACCATAAATGTGCCCACAATACGATCAGAAGTGTTTGCTGTTTACAGAAACAGTAAATCATTTTTCGAATAAACCAACAAAAAAGAAAGACAAGCCCTGGATAATGGTTAATCTGTTTTGTCATTTACACATTATTCACAAGAAATTCTTGAAAATACAATACGATTAAAAATTGAAGTATGTCTGGAATGATGTATTATTATTTTTTCAAAGCGTCCATGGGAAGTTTTGCACTTGGCCAATGCATTACTATCTAATTGAGTATTTATAATAAAAATTAAAGATTCAAGACTGAATGTTAATTTTTTCAATATTTTCGAAATTTGAGAATGCGAATTGAAATTAGAATGTTAAGAATTTTCAGCGCATCAAACAAAACAAAATTTACATTGCCGTTATCAACTTCAATGAAATGTTAGTAACACGATAATGAATTTCAATTTGATTTGTTAACCAAATCATCCATATGGGACCAACAACGACATTCTACTGCTTCAATTTACACTTGTCTGAATCTATCCACTACGTCAATGTATTCACAAAAGGAAAATTTTATCTACCATAATTTCACCCATTTCAAAGAACAGAATTATCGTAATATGCTACTAATTCAAAAATAATATACTGTTAAATGTTGATCAATGAAAACCAACCAAGGAGAATGATTCCGATAGTGGGATTCTATCAGATTCGCGTGGGAATCTTATCGGATATAGTATGGATTTCATTAAACCGACGAAATCCTATCGGTATCCGAATGTGGGAGCTACGATCGGAACCCTAGTGTTGGAACCCGATAGATTCCACTGTTGGAATTTAATGGAATCCAACATAAGCAGTCGATCCATGTGCTCTGTTGGCACCATATGCTTATTCATTGGTGATTAAGAAAAAAAAAATTTTCTGTTGGATCCGTTAGTACGTCCGTGGCCAGGAATCTGATTGGGTTTTATCGGCCTGTCGGATCCCATGAAATCCGATAGGATTTACTGTTGGATTCATTCATATGGGAACATTTAGTTTAGACTTCATGAGAGTAGATCGTTGTTTTCCCTTCATGTTATATCATAAAGAAATATGAAAAATGTGTCTTGATTAATCAATCCTACATATAAATCTATCTCAACGAGTATACTCACTTCGAATAATGCCCGAACGTAGAAGCAACACTACAAAAAATGTGGGCCCGCTGCAAGATGAAATTTTAAACTCTTTCCAATGGCTTTATAGGATCCCAACACGTTGGTTTTTTCCAACTTATTCGTACCGACGCAGTTGGTTTTTTCCAACTGTAATAGAGTCGAAAAGAAGAAAATTCATCTATATTCACAGAACCGAAAAATGATGACGTCTACGATGTAATTTTTTTTTCAACACACGCCAAGAAATCTAATATGATTCATAAGCATGACAAAAACTTCAATCGCTGACTACAACTGACTCATTTCTCTTCCAGTAATATTTTCATATGAGGGTCATCGTCATCGTGATACATTCGATAGATGAAAGTTTAACTTCCGACGAAATGCCGGCTATTACGAAATACATTTTTATTCTGCCGTATGCATACATTTTTGTTCGTTCTGTTTCATAATAATAAAACCTCTAACGTGAGCATGCGTATAGTGTTTTTTTTAACTCTTTTTTCTCTTGTCAACCACGAATACATATATGTTACGCTTGCTTGGGCTAAGTAATGGTTAAATAAAAGTATAACACCACTGCCACAAGTTTACTATGAGAAATCTAACGGGCTCATAATTTCGCATACAACTGAATCAAACAACAAAACTATGTCAAAGACAGAAAGCAAAATGACATGATATGGTTTTTAAAAAGCAAAATTTCAATTCATCACATTTTAGATTAAGCAAAAAATATTCTAAACGGAAAGCTTGAAAGAGTAGAAGTCTTTTTAATGATCTGATTGGTGTTAACGACAGAGATTTTACTATTCAGATGGCTAATGCTTTATAAATTAGTAACGATATTATTAGAAAAACAACTGCAATTTGATTGAAATGCGGTTTTTATATGATCGAAAGATATAATGCAGCATATTTTATTTTCACGACGTAAAACAGACTGAATATTTTATTCATTTATTTCAAAAATTACGTAAAAAAGAAAACGTCCACATCATCAAATGGAAAAATTAATTATTTTAGACTGCTGTAGATTCACAGGCAGCATTTACAATAAACTGCAAAGTCTTCAGGAGTACACAATTGATAATCGAATCGACATCACACATAGGGATGCACCAGTACCAGTATACTGGGTACTGGTCATACTGGTGACCAGTAATACTGGTTTTCTACTTTCGAAAATAACTATTAGCTAAATGAGTCATTTTCTCAGCCATCACCTCCTGTGTCTATATTCAAGTGAAAAATTGAGTTTTGCAGCAGTTTGAAACAGTATAAGATGCTCTATACTCAACTAACTGATAACATTATCTAGAACATTTTTCAATAGCTTTCAGCGTTTTTGAAGAAAAAAGATCATTAATTCAGGTCGTAGTCATGGTAAAAAAAGAAATCGTACTCGAAAATCTATATTGAGTATATTATACAGCACTAAAAGTCAGTAAAT